CACACTAACACCCATATCAAAATAGTTCACTCACAAAAATCAATAAAAATAAGGTATGGCAGTCCCCGGCAACGGCGCCAAAAACTTGATAGGGCAAAAGCGTATGCCTTAATCCTATCTCGTAGTAAACCGGAAAGTCCGGGTATCGTCTCTCAGGGACTGGTACAACCTTAAGTTCTATAAATTTTATAGAGCAAACTATAGGTGAAAATGGTTTAGTTGGTGAAACTATTATCTAATAGCAAAATAATTAAACAAAACAAGCAAATTAAAGTTGTCGGGTTGAAATCAATGGGAGAAAGCTCTGGAGAAACACCGGGACTCACTACCTATCATATCAAAATTAATTCATATATTCCAATCAGTTTAATCCAATTCTCTACAACCAGGATATCACGAATGTGCTAGCTATCCCTGTCGGGAATTACTACGTACTAAACAATTAATTCAAATCCTACTGTCGTAGCTCAATGAATTAACTATTTAGCCTGAAGAACGATATCCCAATCAAGACCGCATAGTACCTTATTTAATCCACTGTCGCTTCGATAAGTTACTATGTCACATGAAATATGTTCAGTAATTAGGGTTTCACTGTCGCTAATAACCTAATTAACTATAAATCGTTGTATTGGTGGCCAGTCAACACAAAGCATTAATTAATTTCATGCAATAGAGATTGAAAGAAAAGAAATATGAATCAATCATTCAATTCTAAAAATAGCTACATCCTATGGTGTTTCCCCCAGAAATTGGGGTTTAGTTCATGATGAAATTGAGATAAAACGATAGGTTTTGATCATCATGTTCTTAATCAACAATAAACAACTAGTTCGGTTTAGAAACTCCAACCAAATAATCACTCTCGTTGAACTCAACTCAAGTCGCTTGGAAAAATGATCGCCAATTGCCAATCGATGAGAGTTGCTCCGCTGCGCTGCTTTTATTCCGTGTTTTTCCCCAAGAGATCTTCGTTCCAAAGAGATTTTCTTCTCCCTTCTCTCCTTAATTCCGCCGCCCAGAGGATCTTTCTTTTATTCCCTGGCCCGATGCTGCTTCCCTCTCGTTCCCAAATTGGCTGCTGCCTTTTTCCTTCTCTCCTTAAGATTTCGTCCAAGCCTTCCTTTCTTTTTTCCTTTATTAATTCCGTCCCAGAATTTGTGGCCGCCCAGAGAATCCTTTTCCTTCCAATTGCAACCGCCCAAATCCACTTCCTGGACAAATAATAATTTGGCCCACCAATTCCCCCCAAAGCCTTTAGTTCCGTCCCAAATTAGTTGCCAGCCTATTTTCCTGTCCCAAGCTTTGTCAAAGCCCAATTCCTTTTAATTTTGTACCGCAACAGAGTTTTTTCAAAGAAATAAGTCTGCCCAGCTGCTCCTTCCAGGCCCACTTCTTCCTTCCTTTTCGTGTTCTCTTCACCTGTAATGCATCAAACTCATGGCACTAGGTAGTAATGGGTTTTCAACCATTCTCGGGTTAGCGAGCCCTAAAATAGCACCAATCGGCTTAAACATACCACGGATAATCGCATAAAGTCCAAGAATTCAATATGTTAAAGCCGATTATCATAACCTCAGTTGGAGAACATGCTAGGCCTGTGAGGATAGGCCGCCCCTTCCACTAATGAAATGTACCCGTGTTGATAGGCCAAGTAAGTCAGCCTAGACCTACTGTAAGGATTGACCCCTTTGAGGCCCAAGCCATATATTGTCCTCCAGTGAGTTTACTGGCAGCAATGTAAATTGGCCGCAAGAGGAAAATATTGGAACGCAGGACTTCATTTAAGTCAGTGTGAAGTCCAAAATAACCTTTCGTGAAGCTCTCAGGAAGCTGCTTTTTTGAATCCCTGCAATTTGGAGCCATGAATATGCTTCATAAATTTTATAGATTTATGATTTGCACTTTTATCTTTGTGTGTCAGCAGGCCCACGTTGAATGGGACATTAGCAAAGACTTTAGCTTAGGAATGAATGGGCTCACGGTGCCAATAATTGGGCCCAATAGATGGCCCTAGACTAGACTAAAGGCAGTCCTCCAATCCATTTAGCTCCACCCGGCGTGGTTCGTTGCCCAATGCTCATCTTCCTAATCTCTCTAACTGTAGTCTGGACAAGAGCTCTTGGGGGTAACGATGAATAGAACGACTACTCATCCTTTCTCTAAGCTCCAGTTCTTCTGGTCAGTACTTCCCCATGCATTTTGCAGTGCTTATTTCAATATATGGCTTATTATCTTGTTGCGGCCTTTTTTCAGCTGCACATCAGCTTCACGCCCACGAGGTGTTTGATGTTTTGCCCAGAGAATTTGAGGTAATAGTTTCCTTACATATATGTACTGTATAACATGTCAGGAAGGATGTGGAATGGCTTGCAATTCGTTACGTCGCCTGACCAGTTGTTTCTTCCTCTATTTGCAGGTATTGGGTACCCCTGTTGCATCTCCTCGATTCTCATTTCGGTTGAATAGATTAGTTATATGGGTTTCGTACTGAAGGATTTTCCATCTCTACTGAAGTTTCTGCCATCCCATCGGTCTTAGAAAAGATATCTTAACCCGAAGTGGAAACACTAAGATGTCACTTGTGTTTGTTGCTTCCTCTGTCTCCTCACCATCATGTTTTAACCAAGTCAAATCAGATATTTTGTCGCATGTGAATAGCTTTACGTCAAATGCAAGTGTTAATTATAAATTTCTTAGACATGACACAACAGAAATCTCTCTGCGAGAAACTTGGCCAGAAGGTCCCAACATACTGTCACTAATGTATCTTTGAATTGGGACGATCTAGAGGCATGGGAAACCGAAGAAGAAGAAGAAGAAGAAGAGGAGGAGGGATCATCGTGGAAAGGTACAATTGTGTACAGAAGGAACGAGTCGGTTTCACATGTCGAGTTCTGCATTACCCTGGAAAGGCTCGGTCTAGCGAACCTCTCGACGGATGTTTCCAAATCAAGAGCTTCAATAAAGGGACTATGGGTCACTAAAGCTATAAAATACTATCTACACGAAACTCCTGTTCAGATTTCTATTGATGTGACGAGGAAGAGGAAGAAGCTGAGGCTTGATGGGATAATCCAGACTAGCGGGGCGCCTACTATCCACATGGAGACGCTCCTTTGCCGAGGTGTCTAACCTTCGGTTGAGCGCCTAACACCTCACTCTTTTAGCAAGGTGTTTGACCTTCAGTGGGGCGCCTGGCTTCTCATTCCTTCGTCTGTGTATGATACTAACAACTTAGAACCTTACTCTTGTAAGTCTAACATTACTTGCTTTGGTTTATTTGAGCGCACAGGCGCTTCAATGAGGTTCCTAGCGACTCGCTCCTTTGTCGGGGTGTCTGACCTTTGGTAGGGCGCCTGACACCTCACTCCTTTGTCGAGGTGTCTGATCTTCATTTGGTGCTTGGTGCCTCGCTCCTTCGCTTATGTATTACGTTAATGGCTTCTAACCTAACTCTTGTAGGTATTACTTGTTTTGGATTACTAGAACATATAGGCAATTCATCGGGCGCATCGCTCTTTTTCCGAGGGCCCGACCTTCAGTGGGGTGCCAGGCACCTCACTCCTTCAGCGAAGTGCCTGACCTTCAGTGGCAGGATGTCTGGCACCCCAACTTCTTTGCTTGTTTTCCTTTGTCAAACTTGTTTTAAAACGAGGATTGGGATAACAGGTGAACGTCCAATCACCCCTTGTGAGACTTTTTCAATGTCAAGCTCTTCCACGCATCGAGGTGAGTTTCACCACTTTTATCGGTCGGAGGCGCCACCTCCCTTCTTTTTTAGGCGCTTTTGTTTTTCTTAAACGGACGAGGACAGATCTGATTTGGCTGCTCCTTTCCAATTGGGGGCGCCTCCTTCCTTACTTTTCGCTAGGCGCCTTTGCTTCGTGTTAAAAGGTAGATACCTTTCGCCTTCTTTCTCCTAGGCGTTCCCCCCTTGAATGCTCTCATCGGCGCCTTTCGCTTTGACCATTTCTGCCGGGCGCCTCACTCCATGGATTAGGTACGTTTTAACTCGGCTGTTCGAAGAGGAACATTCACTCTTTCTTTTGTTTGAAACAGAGGCGCCTCCGAACGTCGGGCTCAATCATACTGCTATGTAGTTTTCCGCTGAAGATGCCGCCTGCTCTCCCCTGCTGGCAGGCGCCTCCCCTTCTTCCTCCTCTCGGCGCTTTTGTTTCTAACTGTTTCTGCTTCCTTTCTTTGCAAAAGTTACCTCTCCATAATTGTTATTTGTTGGGAGTTTCCCCTTCCAGCTCATTAGGTGCTTTTGAGATGCATCAACAGGTAAGCGCCGCCCTTCGTTATTGCTAGGCGTTTTTTCAATTGAAGGCGCCGCCTTCTAGTTTTCTCATCTTACTGCTTTTGCAGGTGTTACCGAGAGCTCCCCTCCGATCCTTTAGGCGCTCTTGCCGACCAACATAGGTAGGCTTTGCCCCTCGTATTTTCGAACGCCATTCCTTGGATTTTGCTAAGCGCCTTACCTTGTTTATCGCTCTATGATACTTGCACCTGTTTATAATGCAGGTTCAACCTCAAGGCGTCTTAAGGAGCCTTTCTCCTAGCGGTTACGGGTCGTGATAGCGGTTTTTTGCCTGCGCGGTACCGGCTTCGGCGTTGCACCCGTTTCTCTTCCAAGACTCGCTTCTCTGCACACCTTTCACTCCTTGCTATGACATCCAATAATTCGCAACCCTCTGCTTCTATGGGTGGCGCCTCGGATGGTGGCACCTCCGATGACTCTAGCTCTTCTGATGATGCTTCGAGCAATTCCGACTAGTAGAGTTAGGGTATCTTTGTTCCATGTTTGGACGATGCTGACTTGCTAATGCGCCTTCTGTTTAGGCGCCTTTTGCTTACTTTGTCATGGAGCTTGCCTTCAGGGAATGTTTTAATTTCGTTGTTGAACATTGATCTCATAATTCTGATGACTCTCCTCCTTAAGAAACTCCTGTTCTTTTGTTGCTGCAACTTGTCTTTGTGTGTTGTTTTGGGCGTTTGCTTTTGAGCTAGGTTTCTTACGCGTAGCCTCTTTGAAAAGAGGTGATGTGTTTTGGTTTCTCCTCAACGGAGGAAGCGGGTCTGGGTGACCCCTTCTGACAAGGCAGGGAATTTCGCGAGGGATATGGCCGAGGCGCCACCTCTCATGGGGACTCGTGAAACGAGCGCCCAACGCTCGGATGAAGATCTGAGTGTAAGCACTAAGGCTCTTCCGCTGGTTGCGGGTAAAAGGTTTTGTTAAGATGACTACCTTAAGCAACACTTGATTTTTCTTACGTGTACCCATGAGAAGGAGGTAACACGCTTAGGCTTCTCCTCAATGGAGGAAGCGGGTCTGGGTAACCCCTTCTGGCAAGGCAGGAATTTTGCGATGGATATGGCCAAGGCGCCACCTCTCACTTGATTTTTCTTACGTGTACCCATGAGAAGGAGGTAACACGCTTAGGCTTCTCCTCAACGGAGGAAGCGGGTCTGGGTAACCCCTTCTGGCAAGGCAGGAATTTTGCGATGGATATGGCCAAGGCGCCACCTCTCATGGGGACTCGTAAAACGAGCGCCCTACGCTCGGATGAAGATCCGAGCGTAAGCTCTAAGGCTCTTCCGCTGGTTGCGGGTAAAAGGTTTTGCTAAGATGACTACCTTAAGCAAAACTTGATTTTTCTTACGTGTACCCCTGAGAAGGAGGTGACACGCTTAGGCTTCTCCTCGACGGAGGAAGCGGGTCTGGGTAACCCCTTCTGGCAAGGCAGGAATTTTGCGAGGGATATGGCCAAGGCGCCACCTCTCATGGGGACTCGTAAAACGAGCGCCCGACGCTCGGATGAAGATCTGAGTGTAAGCACTAAGGCTCTTCCGCTGGTTGAGGGTAAAAGGTTTTGCTAAGGTGACTACCTTAAGCAAAACTTGATTTTTCTTACATGTACCCCTGAGAAGGAGGTAACACGCTTAGGCTTCTCCTCGACGGAGGAAGCGGGTCTGGGTAACCCCTTCTGGCAAGGCAGGAATTTTGCGAGGGATATGGCCAAGGCGCCACCTCTCGTGGGGACTCGTAAAATGAGCGCCCGACGCTCGGATGAAGATATGAGCGTAAGCACTAAGGCTCTTCCGCTGGTTGCGGGTAAAAGGTTTTGCTAAGGTGACTACCTTAAGCAAAACTTGATTTTTCTTACATGTACCCCTGAGAAGGAGGTAACACGCTTAGGCTTCTCCTCGACGGAGGAAGCGGGTCTGGGTGACCCCTTCTGGCAAGGCAGGGAATTTTGCGAGGGATATGGCCAAGGCGCCACCTCTCATGGGGACTCGTAAAACGAGCGCCCGACGCTCGGATGAAGATCTGAGCGTAAGCACTAAGGCTCTTCCGCTGGTTGCGGGTAAAAGGTTTTGCTAAGGTGACTACCTTAAGCAAAACTTGATTTTTCTTACATGTACCCCTGAGAAGGAGGTAACACGCTTAGGCTTCTCCTCGACGGAGGAAGCGGGTCTGGGTGACCCCTTCTGGCAAAGCAGGGAATTTTGCGAGGGATATGGCCAAGGCGCCACCTCTCATGGGGACTCGTAAAACGAGCGCCCGACGCTCGGATGAAGATCCGAGCGTAAGCACTAAGGCTCTTCCGCTGGTTGCGGGTAAAAGGTTTTGTTAAGATGACTACCTTAAGCAAAACTTGATTTTTCTTACGTGTACCCCTGAGAAGGTGGTAACACGCTTAGGCTTCTCCTCGACGGAGGAAGCGAGTCTGGGGTGACTCCATCTGTTAAAATAGGGATAGCTTTGCATTGCCGAGTAGTGAATATCCGTTCCTTGAGCAAAATAGGGAATTACATGGGGTATCGCCAGGGCGCGTCCCTTTCCCCGAAAATTCCTAAAATTACCAACCTAAATTGAATAAAAGGACTCCTCCTAGCACGCTTTTGCCTCTCTTAGGGTGTCTTTGGGTTACGCCTACTTAAAGGGCGCCCCTTCCCCTACAAAAATTCCAGGGCGCTTCTTTCTTTCGAGGCGCCGTAGTTGAGTCGGGCGTACTTCTCCAGGTAGACATCGTCGTCAGCTTCAATTGCGTCCTCCTTGGGTGAGGCGCCCACACCCTCCCGTGGGGAGTTCATGGGTAGCACCTCAACCTCTTGCATCTTTCCTCGGAGGCGCCTCCTCTCCTTTGTGGCTTCTTGGGGATTGGGAGGCGCATGATCGTTTGCCTTTGTTAGTGCTGACAACGCGGTCATGACTTGATCCAGTTGGCCTTGCATGCTGGCCATTTGAAGTGCTTGCTTTTCCCGAAGCTTCGCTAGTTGGCCCTCCAGGCGCTCCGTGTCTTCTCCCTCTCCTGATGGATCGTCGTCGTCGGATGCTTCCAAACTTTGGATGGTGTTCCCAAGCTTGGTGGATGAATTGTGGTTGAGGGTTGATCGCTTCTCGAACAACGACTTGCTTGATAGGGGTCTTCGTTGGTGCCAGACTCCTTTCTTCCCCCTTCTTTGAGTTGGAAGCGTCTTTCAAAGTCATGTTTGGCCCCACGGTGGGCGCCAATTGTTTGAGCTCGGGCGACTGGGCGTCACTCGGGTCCAAGGGGTTTGGGGCGTCAGCCATGACTTCGAGGGGGTAGGCGCCCTGCCTCGTCAGAAGCAAGAAAAGAGAAGAAGTATATAGAGAGAGAAAGTAGAGAGAAGTAATAGTAAGAGTAGATAGATTGCCATTTATGAGGAGAGAACTCCTATTTATACACATTTGAGGGTTAGGTAGTGGTCTGGGCGCCTGCCAAGCCATAAATGCTCTGGTCGGGCGCCTCAGACCCTCTGACACTGTTCATAGTCCTTTTGGCAGAGGGTGTCCCCCTGCCCCTTGTCCTTGCTGATGTCAGGTGCCTGGCCTTGTCTCTTGTCTCCCAGCCTTGTCTTTTTGCTCTTTTGTCTTCTTTCCTTCTTTATGCCATTAGCTAGAGTTTTGCCTTGGGATTACTAATATACCCTATCAAATACTATCCACACGAAACTCCTGTTCAGATTTCTATTGATGTGACGAGGAAGAGGAAGAAGCTGAGGCTTGATGGGATAATCCAGACTGTCATCACCTTAAATTGTAACAGGTAACCTAATCTCAAACTTTTTCTAACCTAATCTTGCCTTCCTTTCGGATGAATGCATCAATTCTATTTGTTATTAGCTTGGAATTAGGCTATTTTTGAAGTACAAGACTCAATGATTTGATTCCTGCATATGTGTTAGACTGCCTGGATTCTTAGTCTCACGAGAATATGGGATAGAGTTGATAGATTTCTGGCATAACCAATCTTGAAGTTATTGGGACATTTAGTTGTAAAAGCGAGAAGCCAATACAATTGGATTATATGGGGGTGTTAGTCATGTGATTAACATAAGAGAATGATGTACGATTCATCTGTAATCCCTCCAATGACTGGTTATTGACAGTAAGAAGAACCTGACTACATACGGATTTACACAATGGAGGTGTGCCCAGCCAGCTGCAGAGTGTATCTACTCCAACTTCTCCCTTTTACTATCAGAAGAGCCCATTGAAGAGCCAGAGGTTATAAGTATAGGACTGAACCCTGGTCAAGTTAACTCCTTCGTTGCAGGTGGAGATGAAGATGGTGATGACGACAATGCACCAATCGATTGGGATGATAGGCTACACTTTCCTCTTGAACAGAGCGAAATCAATATCTCCAAGTGTTAGGAACGAAACAACGACAAGAACGAGGTTACCAAATCTGGAGCTGAGTCGCGGACTAGGTCGCTTTCTTTTAGACGTTTGCAGCACTGCCCTCGATGCGCACGACAGACTAACAACCAGTCGTCTCCAGGATAAAACAACTTCTCTATATACTCGCTGTTTTGTGCGAAAACCAGAGTTCTATAAACACTCTCTCTATTTGTGTTTTGCTCGTATTTTTGGTGTGTTTAGAGGGTCTGGGGAGGCGGCTATTTATAGTAGCCAAACCCCTAAGAATATGCCTGGGGAATAAGTCGGTTTTAATTAGGAAGATAATTACTTTCTTAATTAAAACGCATTTGTAAGATAATTCCTGCGGAATTATCCTTCGAATATTCCTTTTAATCGATTATCCTCTTCATACTCGTATTTATCAAGTATAAAGAATAACCGATTAATAATTAATTATTAGATAATTAATTTCGTTCGGAATTTCTCCAAAAAATATATAGTCTCAAGTGAACCAGCCAACCGATCGACCGACTAGTCGGACGGACAGATGGCGCGCGCATGTGTGTGGTGGCCCGTTAGGTTCTCCCTTTCCCACAAAAGTGGGTCACCCCAAGGGGCATGCCCTTAGGATAGAGGCTCCTATCTTTATACTCATTTCACCAAAGTAAAACTACCAATGTGGTAGTTTTTCCACATTGAGACTCTATAGCTTTCAAAGCTATTCATCCATTCATTTCCAACAATCCCCCACATGAATAGTTTTGAAACTATCTCTAAGCATCAACTGTGCTATAAGATCGGGCATAAGCTAAGGTATCGCGAAGATTTGAACCTTAGCGTAGTGGTTACACTTCCGATTTCATAAGGGTGACTCGTAGTCTTGAACCCACATTCACATAGGTGAGTCTATCAGGAGTAACCCCAAAGTAAAGTACTCCACCCCACATAGGGTATAGATCTCATTAAGAGTTGTTAACTCAACTTCCATTGCTTTGGGATTCATGTTTCACTAAGCATGAACTTTTCGCATACTACTCATGACTTGTTATTACCCATTAAACCCATTTTTTGGGATCTCCAGTCTATTGGGTCGGGTTACCATCACTTGTAGTTCGTGGTTCGGTAGGCATAAGTCCCATACCCTTGGCGATATTCTGGAATTTCTCTCTGGGTAATCCTTTCGTCAAAGGATCACCTAGATTCTGTTCGAATCTTATATGATCCAACCTCACTGCTCCTATCGTTAGGAGTTCTCTTACAGTACTATGCTTACAAAGAATTTGTCGTTTCTTTCCGTATAGAACCGGTTCTCAACTTTAGCGATAGCTGCGGTACTATCACAATGGATCAATACCGGAGGGACCGACCTTTCCCATAGGGGAATCTTTGACAACAATCCTCTCAACTAACTTGCTTCTTCACTAGCCGTGGCTAGTGCTATCATCTCTGATTCCATCTTTGATTGAGCTTGGATGGTTTGTTTCTTAGACTTCCAAGACACAACTCCACCAGTGATGTTGAAAAAATACCCACTGGTTGCCTTGGAGTCATCGGATAGGGTATTCCAATCCGCATTACTATACCCTTCTAGTACAGTAGTAAACCTTTGATAGTGTATACCAAGGTTTGCTGTTCTCTTAAGGTATCTCATGACCCTCTCTATAACATTTTAATGCTCTCTACTAGGACAGTTGTTAAACCTGCCAAGCAATCCCACGACATAGGAAATGTCTGGTCAAGTGTAATCCGCAGCATAATGGAGACTGCCAATGATGCTAGCATAATCAGTTTGTCTTACACTGTCTCCAGTGTTCTTAAATAACTTTACACTAGCATCATACGGAGTACATGCAGGTTTAAAGTCGAAATAGTTATATTTCTTCAAGATCTTCTCTATGTAGCTAGATTGATCTAGAGAATAACCATTTGTTGTTCTAGTTATCTGGATTCCAAGCATAAACTTTGCTTCTCCAAGATCTTTCACCTCAAAGCTCTTTTTCAACATGGCTTTTGCTTCATTGACCACGTGAATATTTGTACCAAATATCAACATGTCATCTACATACAAACATATGATAGTGCAAGTGTTATTCTCTTTCTTGCAGCAAATACACTTGTCACTTTCATTCACCTTAAATCCATGTGAGAGAACGAGAGTGTCAAACTTCTCATGCCACTATTTTGGAGCCTGTTTCAAACCATATAATGATTTGTCTAACTTACAGACTTTTGAGGCATGTTCGGGGATAACAAACCCTTCTGGTTGTTCCATATATATTTCTTTACCCAGATCACCATTTAAAAGGGAAGTTTTAACATCCATCTGGTGTACCACGAGATTTTTCAAGGCAGGAAGAGCAATCATGACACGAATGGATGTTATTCTTGATACTGGTGAATATGTATCAAAGAAATCTATATTCCCTCTCTGCTTGTATCCTTTAACTACTAGGCGAGCTCGAAACCTTTCAATTGCACCATTAGGTTTCTGTTTCATTTTTAGAACCCATTTATTACCTAAGACTTTGCATCCATGAGGTAAGTCTGTTAGATAGCAAGTCTTATTAGCTTCCAACGATTCCATTTCATCTATAACGGCCTCATTCCAAAAATCTACATCTATGGAAGTTAAAGCTTCCTGCAAACTTTTGGGATCTTCGAGGGTGTATACTGTAGTAAAGTCATCACCAAAATATTTGGAGATTCTAGCTCTTTTACTTCTTATAAGTTCATCCTCAACACCCCCACTAATTTCGTTATCTCTAATAGCGGATAGTACATTACCCCCACTATTTCTCGTTTTAAATGGAAATCGTGTCTCAAAGAAATCAACATTAATGGATTCTATTATAGTACGAGAATTCAAATAATAGAATCTATATGCCTTACTATTGGCCGCATAGCCAACGAAGACACATTCATATGCTCGACTAGCCAACTTAATCCTCTTAGGATCTAGAATTCTTACATAGGCCAAACAGCCCCACGTTCTTAAATAGGACATATTAGGTGGCTTATTCTTCAAGATCTCATAGGGTGATTCTTTTCTATTTTTTTTTTGGAAGTCGATTTAGCACATGGAAAACCGTCAACAAAATATCACCCCACCAAGAAGAAGCAGCTCCAGAATTGAGCATATTAGCCACAACTAATTCTGTAAACGTCCTATTTTTTTGCTCAGCTTTACCACATTCATTTCTGATTAATATGATGTCGTGGTTTCATGAATGATACCATGAGAGCTATAGAATTCCTTGAAGGGATTAGAGTCATACTCTGATCCTGTATCACTCCTACGTCTTTTTATCTTTCGATTGCACTGATTTTCAAATTCAACCACAAATACCTTGAACATATCAAGGGTTTCACTTTTGATTTCACCAAATAAACAAAGCAATAATCAGAGCAATCATCTATGAAAGTGATAAAGTATCTCTTAACAGATCTAGTTAACGTCTCATCCAGTTCACAAATATTAGAATGAATCAAATAAACAAAGCAATAATCAGAGCAATCATCTATGAAAGTGATAAAGTATCTCTTGACAGATCTAGTTAACGTCTCATCCAGTTCACAAATATTAGAATGAATTAGATCTAAGGGTTCTGATTCTCTACTCACAGATTTATGGGGCATTTTCATTATCTTAGCTTGGCTACAGAAATCACATTTATCAAATTCATTCATTGAGAGTTTAGGGATATGTCCTAGCTTGCTCAAATTCTTCACAATCTGCGTGTTCACATGAAAAACACGAGCATGCCAAACATTCAAATCACAAACCAAGTAAACTGAAGAATTCATCTTATTAATTTCGACATTTAACTTGAACATCCCATTACATGCATATCCCTTTCCCACAAAACTCCCATTCTTAGTAAGGGTATACAAGTCTGCCCCAATTAATTGATTAAACCCAGCCTTATTAAGAAAATATCCTGAAACAAGATTCTTCCTTATCTCTGGAGTGTGCAACACATCCTTGAGCACCATCTTCTTCCTAGAGGTGAAGTTCAACTATACATCACCAGAACCAACAACCATAGTGGTGTGGGTAGTCGCCAGCAACACTTTCTTGTCAGCAGATGCTTCTGTGTATGTTTTAAACATAGCACGATTGTTGCATACATGCTTCGACGCACCTATATCTTGCCACCATCCTTCTGAGTCACTGGTGAGGTTGAATTCAGCGATCATATCCGTGATCATGGCTACCAAATCCTCTTCTGTCAAGTTAACCCTGGCCGCAGCAACAGGGTTAGGCTTGTTCCTACACTTTTTTGCCATATGACCCTGTTTACCGCAGTTATAGCAGATAAACGGTGAGTCATTCTTAGAGGTTTGGGCCATGAGCCTTTGTTCGAAAGGAATCATTCAGTTGGGGGCGGACCTACTGGTTCTTACTCTTGAAACCTTTCTGGTTAGGTTTAAGAGCTCTAGGGGTGGGTCGTTTAGCAGTGACGACTGTCACCTCTTCTTTCATATCCTACTTGCAGGACTCTTCCTCAATCCTTAGGCGAGTAATCAAGCTTTCTAGTGAAAATTATTTAGTTTTATGTCTAAGTATATTCTTAAAATCTTTCCACGAAGGGGGCAGCTAATCAATAATGCAAGCAACTTGAAACTGATTGTCCAGAGGCATACCTTCAAAGACGATCTCATGAGCTATTTTCTGAAGTTCGTGGGATTGAACTTCGACGGACTTGTCATCCACCACATCGTAGCGCAGGAAGCAACTGACAACGTACTTCTTAGCTCCAGCCTACTCCGTGTCGTATTTCTTTTGGAGCGCATCCCAGATCATCATTGCGGTGTTCTTGTTGTCCGCATAGTAGTCGTAAAGATCGTCTGCCAGGCCGTTGATGATGTAGTTCTTGCACAGGAAGCCATGCTCCCTTTCCTTAGCAGAAGCAGCCCTCTCTTCATCGGTCGCTTCTTCAGGCAGCTCGACGGGCATGCTGGTGAGGCAGTGTGCCAACTTCTTGGTCGTTAGGTAGAACTACATCTTTTGTCTCCAGCGACGCAAGTTGACTCCAACGAAGTGGAAGGGTCGATTGATATCGACAGCACCAGATCCGACCATGTTGTTATGTTCAGTCGACATAGCAGCAACCGAACGTCTTAAAATTGTTGGGAACGGAACACCAACAAGAACGAGGTTACCGAATCTGGAGCTGAGTCACAGACTAAGTCGGTTTCTTTAAGACGTTTGCGGTACTTCCCTCGATGCGCACGACAGACTAGTAACCGGTCGTCTCCAGGATAAAACACCTCCTCTCTATACTCGCGATTTTGTGCGAAAACCACAGTTCTATAAACACTCTCTCTATTTGTGTTTATGCTTGTATTTTTGGTGTGTTTAGATGGTTTGGGGAGGCGGCTATTTATAGTAGCCGAACCCCTAAGAATATACATGGGAAATAAGTCGGTTTTAATTAGGAAGATAATTACTTCTTTAATACAATGGGTCTGTAAGATAATTCTTGCGGAATTATCCTTCGAATATTCCTTTTAATCGATTATCCTCTTCCAACTCATTTATCAAGTATAAAGAATAACCGATAAATAATTAATTTTGTTCGGAATTTCTCCAAAAATTATATAGTCTCAAGTGAACCAACAAACCGACTGGCCGGACAGACGGCGCGCGTGTGCGTGGTGGTTCGTTAGATCCTCCCTCCCCCACAAAAGTGGGTCACTCCAAGGGGCATGCCCTTAGGAGAGATGCTCCTATCTTTATACTCATTTCACCAAAATAAAACTACCAATGTGATAGTTTTTCCACCTTAAAACTCTATAGCTTTCAAAGCTATTCATTCATTTCCAACAATAACATAAGAGATTTGGGGGGTCGGTTAGCATGCTAACCCCCCTTAGGGGTTGGAAAAATGACACCCCCTAGTATATTAAATACAACTATAAAATTTAATACACACATTAAATACACATTAGGAATTAAATGTACCATATTAATTAGGAATTCTCTCACTATTAAATACACATTAGGAATTAAATACACATTAGGAATTCTCTCACTATATTTGATTTTTCCTTTTTCAGCAGTCTCCGACCACCGAACTTCCTCCGACCGCCACACTTCTCCGGTGAAAATCCCATCGGCAGACTCCCTCCGACCACCTCCAAAAAATATACCACTGCACTGATACGGTGTACCACTGTACTGGTAGATATACCACTGCACTGATACGTTGTACCACTGTACTGGTAGATATACCACTGCACTGGTAGCGATATCAGTGCACTGGTAGCAATGTCATATCTGAGTATCAGTGCAGTGGTACAAATACCAGTAAAGTGGTAATTAATGTGGTGTATTTAATGCTTACTTTGTATTTAATAACAGAACATTTATTATGTTTACTTTCATTAATACTTGTCAATAATTAATGAAAAATTGACCAATTAAAAGGGGGTGTCAAAAAACCAACCCCTTAAGGGGTTAGCATGCTAACCCGTCCCGAGATTTGGTGCATGTGGAGATAACAACACAGAGTTTTGTGATGCAATGTGTAAAGGGGTGTGCCTCTAGTGTGGCACTAACTTGAACACCAGCAGCTGTAACTGCAACAACGAGAAGGCCTCTGGGAAAACTAATGGCCCTCTTGGAAATTTGAGAGAACAAATGCAATCGAAGTTAACTCTGTGTCTTGTTAATGAAATAGAAACCAGTTCCATAGCTAATTGCTTTCCCTTCTTGTCATGTTATCTGATAGTATGAGTTCTCATCCTGAATGAAATTTATTGTTCTTGTAACAATAATCAAACTATCAATTCCATAGTAAAAAATCCACAAATTTACAGCGAAATCTGTCTACTTTGTGACCAAATAACAAAGTCAAATTCTTTTAACATACGAGGAGACAAAAACAAAAAACAAAGCATAACAAGCTACCGAATGAGCCGTTCTGTTACCACCATGACCAATGAACCTTAGACTACTCTGTTCATCAAGTCGAGTAAAGCACCTTTTTCGTTTATAAATCCCAGCTAGTTGTGAGTCTAAATTTGGAATCGGACCTTAGAAATCAGTAGGCCCATATTGGTAAGCCCAATTTTCAGTTCAGGCTTTAAGCCATGGTCCCATCCCAAAACCATCCCATCGGAGCAAGCACGTCATTCGCGTGACCGACACGCACGGAAGAGTCGAAGACTAACACGTAAGCGTCCACGTCATCGCGCGTTCTCATTCTTTCCCATGTGCAGCCGCCCGCCACACCGTATCCTCTCCAACCAATAAACGCGGGACGGGGCACGGCTTCACAAACAAAGACTTCAAATCGCACAATCTAGAGGGAATTTGGGGGAAAAAAAGCTTCCATCTCCACTCCGCTTCAAATTCTAGGGTTCCTCGTTCTCCCATTCCGCTCCAAGCTTTTCAAGAGATCAATTACGATGGTGAGTTTCCCTTCCGCCTCCTCCTTTCTTTTCAGATTTCTCTCTGCGAGATCTGCTTCCTTTTTTGAAACCGGATAAAGCAAGGACAGTGTAAAGATGATTGGCTGAGATCAATGCTACCATCTGCGATGGAATTAACCCTAAATGGCTCTCTCTTATCGTTTAATGGGATTCCCTCTTCTGCCCTCTTCCTCTGGCCTTCTCGAATTGGGGATGAGTGAGCTTCGGAACTAGTTTTGAATTTGTTGGGTTGTTGTTGTAGGAAGCGAAATCAGTGCATGGCGTTGCGTTGGTGATTTCGGATGAGCAAGTGGTGCAGATGACCACCATTAATGATGCGCTGAGGGAGTTCGGCAATGCAGCTTTGCAGTGTGACGTTCAGCTCTATACTCAGTCATCCTCTCAAAGTAAAACCTTCCGCTCAGTATCTTTTCAGTTTTCTCTATTAGTCATGCTGTTGCAATCGTCAGTTGCTTTGGATGTTTCCTGATCAATACAGTGCACTATTGGCTAAGCAGATTGTTCATGGTTTTTTATGCTTGTGGGGCTTCAACGAGCAATGTTATTGTATAATTCCTTGTGAATATTATGGGACTCCCTTTCAATTCGTAGTGCTGTTGTGATCGCTGATCAGAGATCTGGTCTTTGCTAAATAAGTGTCCTTTGCCGGATTTTCTGCTGCTAGGTAAACTACCGGTGGAGCCATCCTCAATAGACTTTCTGATTTGCATCAGTAGATCACATGAATCTCCTGGTGGGAGTTGGTTTGATGAAATTTCGCGGGCGTTAAAACCTGGTGGTACTCTCCTTGTCTATAAGATTCTGCAGTCTGCTCCAAGGGAAACCGAGAAGGTGAATATTTTTTGCTATTGAATGCTACAAACATGAGTTTGTCGTTGGATATCTCACACTGGTGTTCATTTGCAGTCACTTGAACGCCAATTACTTTTGGCTGGGTTCTTGGATGCTAAAGGTGTTCAGCGGAGCTCAAATGCTGTTCTGACAGTTGTGGTGAGTTCTGAGTTTCTTCTTGTTGAAAAGTTTTTCACTTCATATGTGATTGCAATGAAATTCACCATGCGAACATGTGCTGGCTTATTGAACAACCTTGTGTGCGTTTTTCTGTGGAAGTGATCAATGTCATGAATGTTGAGTGTGATTGGTTAATGTTTTCTACTCAGATTGTGAAGGCAAAGAAGGCTTCTTGGAAAATTGGGACATCATTTGCTCTCAAAAAGGGTACAAAAGCGCCGGTGAAGCTTCAGATTGATGATGATTCAGATTTGATAGACGAAGATAGCCTTTTGACCGAAGAGGATTTGAAGAAACCTCAAATACCAGGTGAGTTGAACAACACGCAACTGATGATTTAATGTAAGTTGGCTCCTTTTTTTCAAGAAGGAGAACTTAAACCAACCACTATCATGCAGTTGGTGACTGTGAGATTGGTACCACAAAGAAAGCTTGCAAGAACTGTACCTGTGGGAGAGCTGAGGAGGAAGAGAAAGTTAAGCTAGGATTGACCACAGAGCAGCTGAACAATCCTCAGTCATCCTGTGGAAGTGTAGGGTTCCAACTTTTCCTTACATCGACTGTCTCTGTTTGCCTCTGATTCTTTTTTTAATCTAACTTTGTAATTCTGTCGCCCTTCTCAATTTGTGGGATTGCAGTGTGGACTCGGGGATGCTTTCCGTTGTGGCACATGTCCATACAAAGGTCTTCCTCCATTCAAGCTTGGTGAAAAGGTAATTAAGAAACCCGTTTTGTGGTCTCATTTGTCGTGTGGAGCCATTCGTAACAAAACAGGATTCTAAATGAGATCATCTTGTGTTTATAGGTATCCTTGTCCAGCAACTTCCTCGTGGCAGACATTTAAAAATGCACCATGTCGGACTTGGACTTCTTAAGAAGCTTTTCGAATGGCGAAGGAGTTTTTGTCTGCTAAAATGGTATTTTCAGGTTTCTTGAGGTGGTTCAGAGAATGTCAGATGGTAAGAAGGGCGTCTATTTTGTTTGCAACGTTCAGTTGAAAGTTACTACAGATAGGAGGATAAGTGCTATTGAACATTTTCATGTGCTGTACTTAGGCGAGGCATAACGTCTTGCCAGATTAACATGCTGTCGAATCTAGTGTACGAATGGTTCCTGCTAGTTGAAATCTCCTGTACCGAGATGACGAATTTAGATAGAGTGGGTCGAGATAGATTGAATTTGAGCTCTCTCATCAGAGCAATTTTTGCTGAATTCTAATAGAAGTCCAGCGTTATGAACGTTGCCTATCTGCGCAAATAGAAATACAACTTCGGATCTTCTTATTTCATGACCAAATAGAAAAACAACCATCAACAGTCTGCCTTGATCATCCGTGAGTGGGAACATCATCTAGTCCCGATACATAAAAGCAAGTCTCCCTTGACCACAGAGAAAAGCCAGGAAGAAATATCCATCTGCACAAAAATCATAGCTAGGATGATACGGCAAGTACACAGGCCTTCCATACTCGTTTGTATGCGTAGCAAAAGTCCCCTGGTAGTAAGCCAGCATCGTCATGCCACCTTCCGGGTGGGCCGTCTTCGTAACCCACCAGTTTTCGACGTCGAAGTGGCCGCCGTTCCCAACCCAAACCTCAACCTTACGGGAAAGCGGCCACTCATCAGTCCCTCGATCCTTTAGTGGAACAACAGTTGATCTGTTGAATGGCGTCAAAGTCGAGATATGTCGAGCGTAATTGTAGCTGCTGAAATAATGTCCACTGAGTCTACTCTGGTTTTTCGAAAACGTTTCTTTTGGAACCTGTTGTTTTGGTATCTGGTTGATATCACCGCCGGTGTAAAAGCGATCCGTAGAAATTAGCTGTCTGGACCACGAATTTTTAGGGCACTGATCTAGCTTACCTAAGAGTTGGTCCTTTAGCTTTCCTAGTTCTTGCAGCTCGACATCCTTCTCTCTGATAAGCTCTTGGAGCGCTTCCTTAATATCGTTGTCGTCCTCCTTCCGTGGTGCTTGCACCGTTTCTTCATCGTCCTTTCTTCGTCTCAGAATTTCTAGCTCCTCCCTCAGCTTTTGTAATTTGTCGTCAGCTTCCTGCCTCAACATGTTTAGTTCATTCTCCTTTTTCTTCAGCTGATGAAGTGCTTCTTCCTCGTTCTCTTGTCCGAGCTTTGCTATTTCTTCGTCCTTCTCTCTCTGCAACATTTCTCTTTCATCATGCATCTCCCGTTTTAGTTTTCGCATTTCTTCGTCCTTCTCCTTCCTTAGCTTTCGCAACTCCTCGCCCTTTTCCTTCTTCACTTTCCGCAACTCGACATCTTTCTTGTCAATTGCCTCTTTCATCTCTTGTTGGATCTTTCGCAACTCTTCGTCCCTCTCGTCCGTCATTTTTTCCATCTCGTCTTCCATTTTCGCGGTTACCTTCTCCAGCTCCTCCTCCTTCTCGTTCAACATCATTTTTAACTCCTCGTATTTCTCCTTGCTCACCCCGCCGCCCACCATGGATGACTTTGGTATTTTCTTGTGCTTTGGCACGATGTACTTCAACACCACACGCTTCCACGTGGTGATCCTTGCCGAGTACACATCGTGGATGGACCAGTTGAAGAGATCATTCAATCGGAGATAGTGAACCCCGAAGTCTTTATGCTCGCGTAGCTCAGTCACGTCTTGGTAGCAATACCCTCCAGGGCTCACCATCAAGCCCAAGCGAGTCAGTTCCTCAGCTAGCTTTGTGAGGGCTCTCTGCCCCTCGATCTTCCCATGACCATCGAAAAACAACAACCCTTCGTAGCATTGCTCGCCCTCCATGTCGTCATCGACCTCTCTAGTACTATTATCATCACGATCGACAACGCTGATGCTGCCGACTTCTTTCCAGTGAGCCTTTCGGATAGAAGCAGGGTGAATAGCATGGTTGCTCAACTCACAGACTCTGAGGGTAGTGCTGTCCGAGGAAGAAACGAAGTGGTTGTCTGACTTGAAATCAAAGAGAACCATGCTAGCTTGCTGATATTTTCTTTCACGAGATGGAAGGGATAGATGTGATGGGGATGATGGGTAAAGTTAGGGTGTGGAAGCTATTATATAGCAAAATCTCCCATCCATCGACCACAATAAGTACATATTGGCATATAATACTTTTCAGCGCATGACTTTGATTAACAAAGACCACAAAATATATAACAAAAATTTCACAATGACCTAATTAAGAAAGACCCTAGCCGATGCATCGTCAATTTCGTGTTCACAAATAAGACGATGACCCTTGAACAAGGTTGTCGCCCGGGTCGACCCATTTTGACTCTGAACCGGTGAGAAAAACGGGTCGTACGCACCCGCCGAGCCGACCTTAGGTAACCAGTTCGTGGAGCGAGAGCGGGAGCGGGAGCGGGAGCGTGAGCGTGAGAGCGTTCATATTACAAGAATTCAAGATAGAGAGCGTGATGAGAGCGTTATTATTATATTAATTTTAATTATTTTTTTATACATTTACCTTGCAATTAGTGCCAAAATAGTATCTAAATAATGAGTAAAATATATATAGAACACAATAATGATAAAAAACAGGGTGAAGTTTTTTACAAATTTTGATGTGTTAATAATATAACTAATAAATTATATATTTTGAAAAAACTAATCATTTACCTCTAATAAAACTTATTTTATTTTTTCTTCTTTTATCTGACTTCCTCTATCCGCCCACACCACCAATATAGATAGATTAATATCTATCTCCCTCCATTGTCTCTCTTTCCACTCTCACTTTACCTTCTCTCCAATCCAGAAGAGCAAGACAAAGCTCTGTTTTTCTTCTTTCTTCTTCCATGACTTTCTTCTCAATGCATGCACAATTTTCTCTTTCAAATCTCAAAATAGAACAGTGAATCCACAAACTTGACCTTCGATCTCTTTCCCCTCTCCGACCCTGCAGAGATCAGCAAGTTAAAGCCCTTTCCTTTTTACGATTTGAGGAAGAAACAAACTCTGGGTTGGTGACTGTCGATTCACGGTGGGGAAGGCCAATATAAACAATAACTGCGTTGCCGACCTTCGATTCACGATGGTGGAGAGCGATTGTTACAACGACTGCGCTGGTGACCCTTGGATTCACGACGACGGAGGGGAATAGAACTTCCGACCAGCCAAGAATGGGAGTTGTTTCTCTTGCATGTAGTAAAAGTCTGATAATTAGAGGATTCGTGAATTATCAAACATAATTCGCGCTCCATTGAAAAATAATTCGCGAATTATGCCCGTTCTATAGAGAAAGCGCGTTTTCACGCTCCGGCGCGGGAGCGGCGAAGGCCCATTGACGAATTGGGTGACCTAAAGCCGACCGCTACAAGGTATTGGGTTGGAGGTCAAATTGTGTCAATTTTTCACAATTTGACTTTGAGATATAATACTTTTCAGCGCATGACTTTGATTAACAAAGACCACAAAATATATAACAAAAATTTCACAATGACCTAATTAAGAAAGACCCTAGCCGATGCATCGTCAATTTCGTGTTCACAAATAAGACGATGACCCTTGAACAAGGTTGTCGTCCGTGGGTCGACCCACTTTGACCCTGAACCGGTGAGAAAAACGGGTCGCTGGTCGCACGCATCTGCCGAGCCGACCGCTACAAGGTATTGGGTTGGAGGTCAAATTGTGTCAATTTTTTCTTTGGTTTGCGAAATGCGCCTATTTTCCGATTTTTCTTTTCGCCTAACTAAATCTTTGGAATTCTTAGTTGAACATTTGAATATTGATGTTATAAGTGTGTGTGAATTTTCACACTATGTTGGATCTAAGTACGACATGTTACTTTGGCATAAGTTATATGTTATTACTCATATGTTAGATGAAATTTGATATAATTTATCTGAATAAGTACAAAACAATGACTCTTTCCATATTTCCGTGCTCAAACGGGTGACCCGTTAACCCTTGACCCACTAGCTCAACCGGGTACGGGTCAACCCGCGGATTGACAACCTTGCCCTAGAAAGATTCACCCAAAAAACATATAGAAAGACTTTGTATTGTTGGGTGTAGGGATGGCGCGCAATTGGAACCCGCTCGACCCGCGATGGAAGGGGTATTACCAGACCCACTGCAGAGTGGAGTGCGGTATGTATATCTACTTTCGAACTGTCTTGTCCCGCTCGGTCCTGTTCTTGGCCCATTATAACTCTTTTTTTTTTGTCGAATTATATCTCAATTTCTTACATTTTCTATTCATATTTATCCTATTTTGACTTTTATTCAACTAGTTATACTTGATCTTTTAACTAGTTAGACTCAATTACCCATTCTATTATCACTATTTTTCATTCATAACGTGTTTCCCCTCCGTTTTATCATAAAAGTAAAATTATGTGTATTTTTTTTTTCAAATAGCGTGTAAGAGTGAGTCCACCCGTCTTGCTCCGTACCCGCCCCGACTCGTATTAGCATGGAGCTAGGCATGGATATTAAGGTATAGGAATCCAGTTGATCTCAAATAAATGATCTCGAATAAAGCATGTGAAATCATTTACAATTCGTTTTTACGAACAAATATTTCTAAAACTTACTTTAGTACATATTTAGAAATGCATATAAAATAATGTCAATAATAACTTGTATAACTATGAACTGCGCCATGTGGGAGATTAATGTATAGTGCTGTTGGGAGATTGTAAGATGCACCCTGCAATATCTAGGGACCTTGGTATACATTTACACAGTCATAGGATTTTGTATAGAGAATTTTAGAATACAGGGGTTTGAGACCTTATAGCTAGCATCCCATTATTTCTACAACATGACAAAAATCTGTAAACACCTTTGAGTTTGAGACCTAAAATCCTCGCCTCTATATATCACATACTTGGTTGATTCCCAATATCTGCCACTCGAATTATACCCAAAACCCAGTGATGTCAGACATTCGTAGGAAGGGCACCCTTAGCTTTCTTCAGATAAACAAACCACAATTGACGAATTAGGACATAATCAACTGATTTTCGTACAGTGTAATTTGGGCTGTATTTTCTGACGTTTCTCACCTCTTGAAAGATTTACGGTTCTTTAGGGTTTTGAATAGAATCAGGAATTGGTATTGGAAAGAAAAGAATTGGGGATTTAGGAATTTAAAAGAAGAAATTGGAGATCGAAGAGAATCTAATGATCGTCGTCCGTTAGAGATAGGTGATGAATTTGAGAGAAGAGAGATTGGAAGTTTGAGAGAGATAATTTGATAATACTTTTATTCATTAATTCTTACGTAAGACCCAAAGTACATATGTATAGGAAATAAACTGGAAAACCTAATAATCAACCATAATTTAACCCTAATATACTCGGCACTAATTGGCTGCCTAACCCTAACATAATAATAATAATAATAATAATAATAATAATAATAATAATAATAATAGTATTAAGGATTATCAACAACAATGTTGCCACCTTCTTTCCAGTGAGCCTTTCAGATAGAAGAAGGGTGGATACCAGGTTCGACATCAATGAATAACGCGCTAAGTGTCCATAGTAGTTACAGGAACGTGGTGACATTCATTTTATAAACACATGCCCACAGATTATGTCGTAAGGACAATATCTAGATTAACATAATATCCTGTTCACAAATAGATGTATTGTTGTGAATACATGTAAATGTGATACATTCATTGATAATTTGATGCATTGTAAAATAAAGTGTTTGGTATATGTATGATTGTGTATGCAACATAAACTAAAAACTGAGATATGACAATCTCAACTTAACAATCTCAGTTAAAAAAAATTAAGACATAACGATCACTCATTTAGTCATTTTGAGTGATAGTTTCTATCATCACATCACATACATTAATAAATACATATGCAAAAAAGAAAAAATAATATATTCTAAACAATTAACATATAGTAAGAATCTCACCAAAACAATCTCAAATTTCCAAACAACTCATTAGTTTATGTAATCCAGGCATTATACCTTCCTGAGTTCACAACTGAGACGAGATGATCATAGAAACACCAATTGTTGTTGTTGTTGATATATAAAAGCAATGGTTCAACATTTACTATTCATTAAGCGATTCTTTCATAATTAATCCCGACAATAGGGATATTGTTTAAGGAGGACACATGGTATTGTTGAAGGAGAACACATGGCAAGAAGAAGGGTATTAGTTCATTAGCCTTTTCAATTACTTTTTATTTATTTTATTTTATTTCTTCAATTCTCCCTTTTCGTTTGTTTTATTCGTATCTCCAAGTACGAGCTACTATTCATTAAGCCATTTTTTGTTAATTCTACGAAACTTTAGTGTCATTAGGTTTACTATTTATTATGTCGTAAAAACGTAAATAACTCCACCTTTAGGTACATCATTTCAACATGTCTAATTTTTTTTATATAATTTTTATTTATTTATTTTTACCTCTTCTCTTTTATTCCCAAGATGCCACATATTTTGTGGCATTTCATTGTTTTGGGTACATATGGAAACTTTTAAGTGGTCCATTTTTTTATCCATTTGTTTTTCCTACTCTGAAATCGGTAATTTGTTCATATTTAATTTGCATGGTTAATAATCTCTCTCCTTCGGCTCGAATAAAAAGACAACAAGGAAATCTTCCATCCGGACGAAGAGGAAGAAAGTGTCATCGAAACTGGTGGAACCATATGTTATGTTTTCAGTCTTTGTCCTCTGCTTTGGTTGACTTTTTTTATCCTTCATTATTTTGTCTTCTCTTTTTCATCTCAAATGAGAGTGCAACACCTTAGGAAAATACCATATCGACAAAACACGGGAGAGATCCGTGGTTAATAAGTAAGAAATCGACCTTAACTGACAAGACGCTTTTTAGGGTGAAATGAAGTAGTTTTGAGAAATCTGAAGTTAAACTTGATATGCACCCCAAGATTAAATCCGCGAGAGTATGGACCCAAAGTGGACAATATTTTCTTCGGAAAACTGTTCGGGATGTTACAAGTGGTATCAGATTCTCTTCGTGTCCCTCTTGAACGATGGTAGAACAAATCTCAACGAGGACGTTGAGTTCCAAAAGGGGGTGTATGTAACAAATTAAGCAAATCCCACATCGACAAAACACGGGAGATATCCATGGTTCATATGTAAGAAACCGATTTTAACTCATTATAAAAAAAACGACCTTAACTGACAAGACGCGTTTGGGGTGAAATGAATGAGTTATTGTGAGAACTTTGAAGTTAAACGTGTTTAGGGTGGAACTCTGGAAGGATGGGTGACTTTATGAGAAGTCAACTTGATATTAACCCCAAGACTAAATCTGCGAGGGTCTAGACCCAGAGCGGACAATATCTTATTCGGGGAAATGTTCGGGATGTTATAGGGAATCCTAGGTTAATTCTAAGTTCATCCTTGTTCATTTTCGTTTTAGATTTAGAAACTTTGTGAATTCTCTAACTAATAGTTGTGAAACTCCAAATTGAACATATTCTTACTTAACAATATGTAGATCGTCCTTCTCTAATCTATAACATTGTTGGCCAGCAAGTGCAAGTTGCTATAAAGTTCCCCACTATATTTTTGTGATTTCTTTTTGTTGGTTTTATAGTTGTCTGATGAATTACAATTCTCTAATTATTTCACACATTTATATCGTTAGTTTCGCTCAATGCTCTAATTATTTCACACATTTATATCGTTAGTTTCGCTTAGTCACCGCGAAGCGCAAGCGAGCTTATCTAGTAACAACTAACAACTAGCTGATTCCCTGGGGTAAGCATGTTTCCAATGTCGTGCAAAGAGGATTAGAGACAAAGGAGCATTTTTTTTTTTTTTTCTTGTTGTGTATGAGAAGGTTTAGGGGTCAAGTCTATTGGCAATGGGGACTGGTTAATTTTGCTGCTGCAAGTCGACTAGCAAACTCTACAACTCCTCGTCGTAACTATGGAGCTTCCAACATTCGTGGACAAGCATAGTGCTAGGTTAGGGACCATCAACTAGTATCACTCCTCGAAGGAAACTGCTGCCATGCCATGTTGACCATAATCCATATAAAAACCAAGCGTAATGTTATGGGAGTAATTAATTTTTCCGGTATATTTCTAAACAACTAATCTTCTTTATGTTTGTGGAGACATGCCTAATTGATTCTTTCTAATTGTGTAGAATGAAGTTGATATTATCGAGTGGGAGTGAAAAAGCTTAATTGACCAGGAGGAAGACTTAATCATGTTGTTTATGGCTAATTTGTGATTTGCTTGAATTTTCTATGATGGTGTTTTATATATGGATAATTTGTATTGAGAGATTGATATTTGACTTTTATTTTGATAGAAACTTGTTATTGTAAATTTTTTACGACAAAAACCCATGGGTACCCATGAACATGCAGATACCCAATGGGTTGGGTTTGAGTTTTTCAAACCCAGTGGGTCTTACCCCGAGCTTTTTTTTTTCACAGATAAACCCATAAGTTTGGATTTGAGTTTGGCAAAACCCGACCCAACCCGACCTATTATCATCCCTATGCGAATCTCTCCAGTGTGTTGGGATGTCCATCAAACTCATGCACTAACGACCACACGCGAAGACCCGCCGAAAACTTGAATCTAAGATACAAGGGTAAAACATCGTTGTCAGCGAGTGACTTGATCAGTTGTCTTACTTCCTCCAAGCAATCCCCCCCTATCCGCGCTAACTGCTCCAGAAAGTCTTCCAAAACACTAGGGTTGGGCCTCCAACCCGACTTAGAACCATTCACAGCTCTCTTTATGGTTTCCATGGCTTTCTCAGTTTGACCAAGATTGAGGTAACCTATCGCCAGGTTAAGCCAAGAATTTGCATGGGCTCGCCGACTTTCTTTATTACCCTCTCGACCATTGTCTCTGCCTTTTCCAGAAGAGCACTTCTCGAGTAAGCACGAATCAATATGTTGGGAATACGGACATCATAAGACAAATTCCGGGATTCCCACTCATCAAATATCTTCTCCGCAGTCTCAAAATCTTCCAATTTCAGTAGAGAAGTTATCACATTCATATATCCCTTATTGAGAACCTTCCCATTCTTTTTGAGAAGTTCCCAAACCCCCAAGACTCTAGATTTCTCCCCCATGGCAGCATAGTTGGTGATGAGGCAATAATAAGCTTCCATATCCTTGTTCTTTGTTATGAGCCCCTCGGCTTTCTCCAGCATTTCAATTCCTTTCTCCTTCATCCCAGATTTCCTGTAAATGGTTGCCGCTTTGTTGTAAATACCCCAGCCTGGATTGACATCTGGATCGGATTCCATCCTTATCAGGACTTTCTCCATTCCATTCACATCAAGAAAAGCACCATATGAAGTATGCTATAAGTCATTGCATCCAAGGAGATGCCCCTATCATCGATTTCCTTGACGAGAGCATCAAATTTCTTTTTGTTTCTGAGGCTCGACAGGTCATGGCCTCGGTCTATTTCGTCTCGTTTCTCCACAGCTTGAACATGACCGTAAGAGCTTAGAAGTGCTCCATAAGTATCAATCCCCTTGAGTTGTTGCGGTAGCCTAGCGAAATACCGCTCCGCTTCTTCTATCCCTTCGACCTTTGCTATCAACTCCAGTCTCATAGCAGCATCTTCTGATGTGAGGTCGAGGTGCCTTTTGTCTGTCATCCACTTTGAAATCTGCAGCAGGACCAAAGGGCAGGATATCCTTCATAAATTCATGGCAACAACAAGAACAGCATAAAACAAAAAACCCAACTAATGATGGATTGATTCTAAACTGCTGAAGCTTCAAAAGCAGTATGATTCCAACATATCAACCACAAAATCACAAGCAGAGTCAATTGATCCACTAATGGCAAGCACAGTATAAAGAGGTTAATCAACTTATACTTCTTTCAGAGTGAACGAAACCCTAATCAGGGATTTCAGTGTTCAAGGTAAAGCCTACCATGAGGGCGCGATAGTGGCGGCCGTAGTAGCGAAGTTCTTTAATGTAAGAAACGAGTTGGTCTTTCGTAACGGATCTTCCTTCCTTTATCCAGCTATTGAGAATCCGAATGCTGGGGACCCTAAGATCTCCCACCGGCGAAATTCGGCGGTATAACTCGGTACCCGATCGATTCGTTGGACTGTTAAAGTACCGGTTCCGCACTGCGGCGGAGCTGAAAGAGGCATTATTACGAGGAGACGAACGCGAAGGGGCAACGGTGGATGACAGAGATGTGGCGGCAACCCTGACTAATCGAGAGAAAATCATTTCTAGAAACTTTACGAATAGGGTTTAACTGTTACGGATAGGTTCAGTAAGCCCGAGTCCAATGGGTTGGGCAAATATAGGGAAATCGACAAATATGGGAGGTAAAGTCTCCAGAGTCCAGACGCAAGGTTGTCAACCCCCGCGGGTTGATCCGCTTATATCCTGAGTGTATGTGGATTGGTCCGTATCGCCACGGCACGAGCATGATACGGTATATAAGTGGGTCGTATATAAGAACTGACATAACACGAAAATAATATTTATTAGTTTTTTACCCGATCAGTTGGCGAAGAAGTTCATTTTATTATTTATATTAGTTAACTTATTTACATGTTTTGAACTTTTTGGATCTTGTATACATTTTCTGCTCTCGCTTCATAAGTGAATATGTAGTATGTCTATATCGAATAATATTTAATAGTTAGCACACTCGCTTGTGATGTTTTTATTCTTTAATCATAAATCATGTTGTAAAGGTTTATCATGTCCCATTTAGGATCGTATTTAAAAAATTTTCCACTAAGACGCTCAAATCTATTATCTTATACAACATATATCAATTCATGATTCTCGAGTTTGTACGAACTCTCACCCAATTAATCAGAGTTCAAATTATTGGAAAAAGATATTTGATTACTGGATAAATTATGTTTATCCCAATTGAAATTTGACACACATCGTATCCCTTAAAATGATTAAATTTTTAAACGTCGCTCATTTTTATTGTTGATGTTCATGAAGTCTTTGTATAGCAACTTATTACAATTGCTAATATTTTAAGTTTGTACTAACTCTCAACCCATGTTTTTTGTCTAAATGTTCGTTTAGAATCTGAATCCAAGGATTCATATACACTATCGAAGGTTCTCATCTTAACATGTTCCTTCAATGTATAACTTTTCAACTATTTGAATGTCCATTCGCTAAAATTTCTCTATATTTGGTGTTTGAAAGGTGAACTATTCTTATTTAAACCTAATTTAACTCTCTCCCTCCGCCCCGGAGGGTGTTGTCCGATGATGATGACCCAAATGAGAGGATTGAGCTCCGACCATTGAATTTGCACCCCTCCTTTAGAATCAAATCGGGCTGCTACGAGCAAGTAGCATTTAATCTTGGCTTCTCCTTTATCCTTTAGCAGGCCTAACTAACGGGCCCAAAGTTGGCAGAGTGAGGCTCGGTTACAACTGATTAATTTCACCATAATAAAAGTGTCTATTGTCAAAAATATCCCTCCGCAAATTAGCGGCTGCTTCTCTGCAGCTGATGTGGCAAATTGCTCATATACACTCCTGTATATATATTTGTGTTGATGATGATGTTGATGTTGATGTGGGCTACAATAGCTTCCAGAGGTAATACCTCATCTATTAACTCGTGGAAGTGTTGAATACCTGTTGAATGTTGGTGATCGCTTCTATTAGTGCTCTGAAGTCTGACGCAGTTGAACTGCACATTGATAATCAAGTTGTACTCGAGTTCTTCTATGTGCAGCATCTCAAGCCAACTGAAAGCATTTCCACTGCTTCTCTAAACTTCGCCGCGATAATGAAGCAAATACACAGGTTCATAGCAAACATCCTACATGATCTTGAATAAAGCATGTGGAATCATTTACGATTTCCTTTTACTAACAAAATATTTCTAAAACTTACTTGGTACAATTTTAGAAATTCATCTACAATAATGTCGATAGTAACTTGTATAACTATGAGCTGTGAAATGTAGGAGATTGATGTATAAGTAATGTTGGGAGATAGTAAGATGACCTTGGTATGCATAGTCGTCATAGAAGTCTGTATAGAGAATTTTAGAATACAACAGGGGTTTCAGACCTATACAACGACCATCCCCTTATTTCTACAACATGACAACAATCTGTAACACACCTTGAGTTTCAGTGGTGATCTCTTCAAAGTTCTATGTGCTTAGGAAGGAGAACCCCTAAGGAGGCATAGCAGTAGCAGCCACTTCCAAAAATCCTCGCCTCATCTGTATATCACATACTTGGTTGACTCTTGAGCTGCAAAAGCCTCGCCCATCTCTTGTCAACACCAACCGGGTTCTGCTTCCCAATATCTGCCGCTCGAAGCAAACCCAAAACCAGTAATGTCAGACATAAACAAGGGCACCCTTCACTTTCATCAGATAAACAAACCACAATTGACAAAAAGGAACATAATCAACTGATTTTCGTACAGTGTAATTTGGGCTGTGTTTTCTCACAACGATCCGAACATGTATCCGACGTATCCTGCATCAAGGAGTACAACATAAACGCGCGCAAGCTCGTGTCTAGAGTCCTTACCGATAATAAAGTAGGGAGGGAGTTATAGCTTAGCTTAGCTTCTGCGGAGGGATGATACCTTAACAGAAATGGCTAAACGGACTGCATCCCTTACCAATGAGTCAAGATCGGCTTCGTGACCTGGCTTCACGTAGATAACCTGTAAGTTTTGCAGAATGACAAGAGATTTTATTTTAATTCAGAAGGGGAAACAAAAGGGGAAAAAGGGTTATCAGTCACTTTAGAGCAGGGGAGATTGAGTTTACAGAAGGGTCGTCCCCTCCAATGAGTGGAAATTCATCCATTGGACCTCTGTCGTGCTTCTGTCTATTCGACGGCAGAACCCACACGTTCACATTTGTATCAATCTGTTCATGGAACAACACACCCACACAAACGGCTCTCGAAACGGGTACAATGGAATGAACTGATTGTCTGCAGGCTGCTGGCTGCAGGTGGAATTATGTTACGAACCTGTGTGGAGTAAGGGGAATTGCAACTGATGCATTTCTTGGTGAAGGATGTGACGATGGTTCCGTCCACTGAGAATCCAAAGCTCGCGTGCTAACATCCGAAACCATACACAGCAGAAAGAAAGGGGGGAAATACAATCAATCTATCAATCATGTTACTTCAAGGCTCTAGCAAAATGATACAAAAATGTTGATACCATGCTAGTGGGGATGCTCGATCCAACAACGTCAACCCGATTAGCGTAGTAGTAGCCCGATTGAAATGATATATATGGTAGTAAAGGTAAAAACGTCTACCTTCTCAACACATAGCTTAACAGAGACGGTGGCATCTTTCTGCTCAACAGCGTCCTGGACCAAATCTTGGAGGCCGAGGTCCCTAAAAGTGAACAAGTAGTCACAGCTCCATTCCCCATTCCACCTCCCGTTCCCCGTCGATATCGTGATCAACCGCCGTGGAGCTTTGCCGCTCCTTCTGCTGCTGCCCTAAACCCAATTTCATCGCTAACCCCATTCAACGACTTAATCGAGGAAAGAATGAACCATCGCATAGCCAGAGCAATTTGATCAAGGCTAGAGATTCTAACAACTAAATGAAGTATTCTGTACGTACAAGCTGTTGCTGCGGCTGGGTGTGGCCGGCGTCGTGACTTCTGGAACCGGCGGCTATGATTCTGGGAGCGGACGGCGGCGGTCGTTTGACGGAATGCCTACTGCTTCTGATTGGTCTTGTTCTTGTTGTGGTGATGGTTTGGCGCAGGTCCCCGCTTGTAATGGTTCCGAATTTCGAAACAAAACCAGCAACCTCAGACATTGTCTCTCGCTCTATCGGTAACCTGGAGATTAAGCTGAAGATTTCTTCAGGATAACAGCTCGCTTCTGAGCAACCTTATCCTCGAGCTAAAGCTCATTCTAACATGGTTGGCTCTCAGTTGGACACCACGCCCGATATTCTTCTTTCAAATGAGCTCATATAAATATGGGAATCGTGATAGTACGCCTACTACTAAGATGACTATTTTGACATCTGACTTGATACACTGCACTTTCGATCTATTTAATCGGGTTAATTGCCTGATTGGTCACTGAGATTACAAAAACCGTTCAAGTTTGGTCACTCGAAATATTTAAATTTATTGATGGTACTTCAGTTTACTGAAACCGTTCACGTTTGGTCACTCTCCGTCCGACACCGTTAATTTTGATTGATGTGGCAGTCAACTATCAAAGTTGACTGTTAACTTAGTGACGTGGCAACTAAAAAATTATTAAAAATAAAAACATAAATTTTTATATTTTCCACCTTATTATTAGATTCATTAAAAAATCTAATTTTTTTTTTCTACAAACCCCACACCCTACCCAACGTTGAACTGTAGTTGAAACTAGGATTGTAATATGCTGAACTGGTTTGATTTCGGGACTTTGCACTTGGAAAACCAAATGTAGGAAACAATCTAATTTTCTTGATGATTTTCTGAAAAATGATTGATTTTTCAGTTGCTTGATGAGTTGCAGCTCCTCCGCCAGAAAAAAACCCACCATCACCACCACTACTCTTCCACCACCGACGATTCCACCGCCACCCTCGCCCCCTACAAGGGATGTCACCCCGCCCGTTGCCTCGCCAAGAAGCCCAATCCTACGGCGGAGATCCACAACGGGACAACTACTCATCGGAAAGGGAAAGGGGCCGCCGTCGGCGGCAGGACGACATCCCCAAGCTCCCCAAGACTTTCTTCATAATAGGCCAGCAGAGCAGCGAGGGGAGCCGCCCATTTACTCCCACCACCGCCGACCCCTTCAACAAGTCGATTGCTGAGTCGACCGAGTCGCCGATTCACTGGGGGTCTGGCGACGGAAGGAAGTTGTTTACACCATCTCTCTCGCCTCCGAATTCGGCAGCTTCACCTGCCAAAACGTGAACAGTAGCAGTAGGAAGAACAATCACAAGCGAGAGGAGGATATAGACTTAGAGGAAGGAAGGAGTACAAAGCATACTGCAATTCATCACGAGGAAGAAGGGGAAAAAGGCGGAAAAGGTGGGGTCGTTCGCTAGAGAGAGGCTAGAGGCTTTCGCGGAGAAGCGGTGGCCGTGGAGGCGGTGGCGGCGCGACAGAGGAGCGAATTCGGGTTCGGGATGTTCCATAAGGATTTCGAAGGGGAGGTGTCACCGGTGTGGACGCCGGTGGTCGGGAGGTTCGCGATGAGGAGTTCCGTCAACGTGGGTAGGGTATGGGGTTTCTAGAAAAAGAAATTAGATTTTTTATATTTTTTATTTTTTAATGAATGTAATAGTGAGGTGAAAAATATAAAAAAATATATTTTTAATAATTTTTTAGTTGCCACGTCACTAAGTTAACGGTCAACTTTGAGAGTTGACTGCCACATCAGTCAATGTTAACGGAGTTGGACGGAGAGTGACCAAACGTTAACGGTTTCAGTAAACTGAAGTACCATCAATGTATTTAAATATTTCGAGTGACCAAACTTGAACGGTTTTTGTAATCTTAGTGACTAATCATGCAATTAACCCCTATTTAATCATGTAATTTTTAGGCAAAATACACTTATATAGCCAAAACTTTTGCCTTTTTGTCAATAATAACCAAATTTGGAGAAATAACACTTATAGCCAGCTTTTAAACTTGTTGTATGACAAATATAGTCATTTCCATTAGATACTTTAACAGTGTTATTAACACCGTCAACTTATTTGACGGTTCACTGACTAGACACCAACTTAACGGACACGTCAACGCCAAACAAACCAAAAGTGACACGTCATAATTTTAAACTATTTAATAATTACATGTCATATTTTAATTTAAAATTCTTTTTCCTTAAATATTTTTACCTCTATTCCTCCCCCTGCCTTCCATTCCATCTTCGATCCCTTTTTCTTTCCCAAAAAGCCCACCTCTCGTCAAACAAGATCCTTTTTTCTTTGATTCCTTTTCACAACAACAATCACAATGGTGTACCTAACTTCCTCTTGTTCCAGGTGCAATTTTCCCTCACCTTTCATCATCGTCTGTTGTTGACACCCAAAATTAATTTGGCCTGAATTAAATACCGCATTAAATAGTCTCGGCATTTAATTCGACACCGCAGGTAAAAAAACGAGGTCGTTTGGAGTTGAGCGGCGTCACAGAGATTTAATACGATGCCGCGAAACAGAAGAACGGTACCGCAACACCGGAAACGATACCATTTGCCGAAAATCAAAAATGGTTGCGCGTTTGGAAAGGAGTTTGTTTATAATTAATTATTATTTTTATTCTTTGTTGGAAGGGAAAAATCGGTACCGCGGAGAGTTAAAAAGGTACCGCGGATTTAAAAACGGTGTCGCGAGAGCCTGGTAAGCGGTACCGATTAATTAAAAATCATATCGGGCAAGTGACCAAAATTCACCCAGCCCAATGTGGGCTCCAACTGCGGAGGTTCCATGGATTAATATTTTGTGGCTTATCGGCGGTGTCGTTTAATTCAAAACGGTACCGCGGGTAAGCCCAACGGTACCGCGGATTAGCAAACGACAGTGGTTAAATAAAAAAACAATGTCGCGAAGGGAAAGGCAAACGAAGCCGTTTTGGGCGCTAATGATGTCGTTGGTCAACACACGAGTTTGACTAGTGATGGCCGGATTAATTAACTAATATTGTTAATGATTTTTTAGGACGATGTCGTTTAGTTGAAAACGATGCCGCAAGAGGAAAGAAACGACACCGCGGATTATAAAACAATACCGCGAGTAGGCTAAACGATGCCGCAGCAGTTAAAACGACAATGTTAAAATTATAACAGTGTCGCGAAGCTCAAAAACTCAACGACATTGCGGGACAAAGATACGATGTTGTTTAACTAAGAACGACGCCGAGGGGTGAGAGTTTGACGGCGAGTTAACAATGAGGCCTGATTTAATTAATTAGTATTTTATGAGTATTTTAGACGGTGTCGTTTAATGAAAAGCGATGCCGCGGAAAAGTAAAACGACATCGCGGTAGTGGTAAGAGTTCGGCCAAAGGCAGCCCGCCAAGCCCAACGACGGCGCAAGAGTAGAGAACGACGTTGTTTAATGGACTAACAATGTCGTTGGTTAAACCGGGTCGGGGCAGTTGAGTTGGATTATAAAACGACATCGGTTGGTGAAAGGCGATGCCGTGGTATTGGTGAAACGTCATCGTTACATGGACAAGGTTGTAAGTCGTTTCCCCAAGTTTCTGCAAAGCAAGAGCGGTTTCGAGGGCACGTGATTATCACGCAACAAGGAGGAAGTTACATGCACGGTTGACATGAATGAAGACGTGGGAGACAAAGGCGCGAAGGCAGTTACTATGACGGGGGAGAAGCGCGAAGTATAAAGATTGGGAAGAGAGAGAAGCTCGAGACGGCAAAATCAAATCACAACTGCACCGTCGCAGAATTTATCTTTTTTCTCTCTAGTTGGTAGAACTGCTCTGTCAAAGACCTCCTTTGCAGAGTCGTAGATCGTAGCTTGTAGTCGTAGTCGCGGAGCTCTCCAGAGGAACCTCCATAGGAGTAGAGGTAACGTAACTTAGAACACTCCCGGTTTGGTTTCTCGTTTCTCGTTGAACACCCTCGTTCGAACGTAGTTTGGAGAGGTGGTGAACCGAGTAACGGTTGTTTGATTAGAAGTTAAGGGTGCATTGATCGAATCAACATCGCCGACGCCGGCGGTGGATATTTGACAGTCATCTTGGTTTCTGTTTAATTGATCAAATCAACGGCGCCGACATTCGGCGGCGGATATTTGACGATTGTGATTGACTTGGTGTTTTTGTCTCCTCGAAAACAGAGCACATTGAACGCGCGAGTTTCGCCAACGAAACAAATTGGCACACCTGGTGGGACCCGTGTGTTCGAATGGCTCCGCGACGAAGGAATCAGGAAGGGGATGTTCCGCCCGGATTCGTGGAGGAACATGTGGCCAACATTGAAGGAGGCCAAGGAGTCGGTGCTGAAGACATCGGCGGGTCTGGGAATCCGCCGTCCGCAGCTGGGCCGACCGAGGATTTGTCAATCCGCCATTTCATGGAGGAGAACCGTCGCATGTTTGCTAGCCTCAACAATGAGTTCGCAGGCTTCAAAGGCGAGGTAAATCAACGTTTTGACGCTTTAACTGCACGACATGATTCTCTTGAGTCTCGTGTTGATAGGCGTTTAGGCCAACTCTTTGAAGTTGTGACTAAAAACAGACATGATTTTGATGTTTTTGTGGATAAAAATCTACGTGATATGAATGAAATTAGAGAGCTTTTGGGTAGATCAGTAACACAACCTAGGGATTTGCCGTTAAACGGTGAAAATAATCTAAACAGTGAAACTGGTTTTCCAAACAACGGTGCTCGGAGTAGCCCGCCAAGACAAGGGGTTCCGCCGACACCGGTGGTGAACCCACCAACTCCGGGAGTTAATATTGGCGAGACTAGCACTGCCGCTAACACTCGGGTTGAACCACCACCGGTTCACGGTGGGGGTCCACAAAATATCCCAGAGGCGAGGCCCTATGTGGCTCCGATGAGCGGTGGTGTTGGTGGAGGAACGATCAACAATGATCATGTTCCCCCACGCGGCTACCCGCAAAACGTCCCTCCTCCTCCAAACGGGCTCGGCATGGATCCTGGTGGATTCATACCACAAGGGGGGGGGGGGGGGCAACTCGGGGGGCAATATTTTAATTTGATTCGAGATCAGGTAGCACAGATGCTGGCGGATCAGTTTGGTTTAGAGATTAGCGATGCCGCCGGTATATCGAAAACCATATCCGGATTGGGTTGATAGATACTACCCATTTCCACGTGGTTTTCGCGTACCTGATTTCATCACCTTCAGCGGGACTGGAGATCAGTCCACCGTCGAGCACGTTGGACGATTCACGGTTCAGTGTGGTGATGTGAGTGATTTCTTGAAGTTGCGATTGTTTGGCAACTCGTTGACCGGGCCCGCATTTGCGTGGTACGTCAATTTGCCATCGAACTCGGTTCAAACATGGCAGCAAATGGAACAAATGTTCCATACCCAGTTCTACCGCTCTGAGCCAGAAGTAACTATGGCAGACTTGGCACGAATGCGCCAACAGCCAGGAGAAACAATGGAACATTTCTTAACTAATTTTAAAAATGCAAGGAATCGCTGTTTTGTGAACTTGACAGAACGCGAGTTTGTTAAACTTGCCCAGGGTGGATTGAATTTTGAACTTCTTAAAAAGTTTCAAGATAGGGAGTTCTCCGATTTGTTTCAATTGATGTCCTGCGCTGTTAGATATGAATCTCTTCTTCATGAAGAAGAACATAAGAGAAGTGGCTCTCGTGGACAATATTTCCCTAATTTTGAAAACTATGGTGTGAATAACGTCGGCAGCGATGTTGATAAGGTTGAAGTTGACTTGGCCGAGATTGTGAAGGGGAAGCCATATGTGTGTGCTTCTCTAGCCAAGGCCGATGGGGAACCACAAGGTGGAAAGCCCAATCGTGCTCCAATTCAAACTAGGAAATATTCCTTTGATGTTTCGAAATCAGAGTTGATTTTCGACCAGCTTTACAAAGATGGTCAAATTAAGTTAACTGGGGGGCATACTATCCTGCCAGCTGAAAAATTAAAAGGGAAATGATACTGTAAATGGCACAACAGTGCATCTCATTCAACTAACATGTGTGTTGTGTTTCGCAACGTTGTGCAGGATGCAATTGAGAAGGGTCGGTTCAAGTTCCCAGAGCCGAGGAAGGAGGCCATGATTGTTGACACAGACCCTTTCCCAAACGTGGTCGGTGTCAACATGGTCAATCCCGATTTCTATAAGATCAACCTGTCACGTTTCAAGCTGGTGGTGGATACAACGCCACCGCCAAGTGGTAGTTCTGATGTGGCCCAGGGAGCTTCATCCTCCCAAGTGCAGGAGGGGCCACGCTTGGACCTAGCTGAGGAAGAGAAGCTGTGTGCCCAATGTCGTGGAAAGCTAAACATTAGGGGAGCAAGACCAAGCCAGACGGTCCACCAGAGATTGGGACCACGACAGTTCAAACCGAGGTACCCTTCATATGAACGCAGTGTCGAGGGAGTACGTGCACCTGCATGGGGAAGAGGGCAACGTAGGTAGTGGGTTGCCCAAAGTGCCCCACCTTTCAAAAGTCTGCCTTTTGGACTTGCCCGACCGGCAAGAGATCCCCCACCTGTCAGGAGAACTTTCAGGATGCCAAATGTGCCACAGGGTGGTTGGCACACCTACGATGTCCGTCGTCAGCAGCCTATCGCCGTTGACCAGATGACAAGGACGCAGTATCGAAGGTACCTCCGCAAGAATGCTCAAGGAAGGAGGATTGCAAGCTTGCAAGCAAATGTGAATGTGGATAACTCTACCACGGGTCTGAGAGTGACTGTGGCCGGTGCTGGAAAAGTTGTAGAGGACAAGCGGGACGGGAAAGAGCAAGGAGTGCAAAAGTCGAAATTTGATCGAAAGAACAAGGACGACGATGATGACAACCAAGGTGCTCCCATGACGATCCAGTTTGGAAGCCTACCACCAGTGGTGGTGAACAACTACATCTTGCCATTGATCTTCCACATTGATTTGGAAAATCAGGGAGAGGATGGCGAGGTCGTGATGGAAGTTGAAGAACTGGACGAAGCTGCTCAGGAGGTCAACGTTGCTGAACTGGTGAGCGGTTTCGCTCAACTGACTTTAGAGGAGGAGAATGAGGAGCCAGCGGCGGCAGAGCTGGTTGGCGAGTCTGCGGATCTGCCAATCGAGGCTGAGCCGTAGAGTGCAATGATGGCTCGCACGAATGGTCGAATTGACTTGGCAGTAGAATCATCCAAACAGAACAAGAGTTCGCAGCGGATCCTGAAAGAACTGTACGAAGATGGCCACAAAGCTGTTGGGCTACTGGGCGAAGAGGGGGGAAGATATCCTTTTTACGTGTTATACCAAGGCCCGAAAGAGTCAACAAGTGTGCCAGTGGAGAACATCACATGGGGGTCAGACTTCGACGAGCTGGAGAAATCTATCCGAGCTGCAGAAGCGAAAGGGAAAGCCGTGGATGAAGGAACCACGGGTGAAGAATCAAATAGGGTTGTTGTTTTCAACGAGCCCGAGCCGAAGATGATGCGTCATTTGAGACCTCTCTACATCAAGGCCACACTTGATGACGTACCAATGTCGAGGGTCTTGGTTGACAATGGTGCCGCAGTAAATGTGATGCCAACAAGGATGCTGAAGAAGTTGGGCAAGAGCACTAATGACCTGATCCCAACAGAAGTGTTTGTGACAAGTTTCAATGGCGGGTCCACTTCTGCCAGGGGAATCCTCCCAGTTGTCGTGGGAGTTGGGTCACCGAAGCGGATGAGTGCTTTCTTCGTGGTGGATGGAATGATAAGTTACAATGCACTACTTGGGCGGGATTGGATCCACGCCAACAAGTGTGTTTCTTCATCGCTGCATCAGTGTTTGATGCTCTGGAATGAAGACGGTATCGTTGAGGTGGTCCAGGCTGACGCAAAGCCGTTTGCCGTTGGGGCCAACGTGGCTGAAGCTTATTTGTACCATGGAGATTTTGGACCACTCGAAATCAGGAGTGGGGATGGAGGAACGCCTAACGTCCTAGTGTTAAGTGCACAAGTGTTGAGTAAGGCGTGCTTGGACCCATTGTCCGAAATCGTGAGACCATCGATGATCACATTGGATGGTCCACTGAAAGCTGATGAACAAGTCAATGATGAGTGAACCACCTCGAGAAAAGGTGGTGGAGGCCGAGATCACGGCCTTGCGGGAGAAGTTGGCCGTCTATCAATGTGAACAGAGGCTTGTATGTATGGAGCCTATCTTGATGGCCGACTGTGTTCCCGACGATGATGACTTGCCGACCAACGGCGAGGTTATGAGTGACGAAGTGGAGAAGAAAAGAAACTTGGCTGCATGTGACATTTTAGAGGAGATCAACCTTGGCACGGAGGAGGATCCACGTCCAACCTTCATCAGTGCTGGTTTGCCAGAGTCTGACAGGTACGAGTTAATTGAATTCCTTAAAGAGTTTAAAGATTGCTTTGCATGGGATTATCATGAAATGCCTGGTCTCGATAGGAAGTTAGTTGAACATAGACTTCCAATTAAAGAAGGGTATAAGCCACATAGACAACCACCTAGGCGGTTTTCGCATGATATCTTACCTGAAGTGAAAAAGGAAATTGAACGTTTAATGAAGGCTAAGTTTATCAGGACTGCTAGATATGTGTTGTGGTTGTCGAACATTGTGCCCGTTAGAAAGAAAAATGGCAAAATACTTGTTTGTGTGGATTTTAGAAATTTGAACAATGCTACGCCGAAAGATCTGTATCCCATGCCGGTGGCTGACATGTTAATCGATGCCGTAACCAGGCATGTCAGGTTTTCTTTCATGGACTGTTACTCGGGCTATAACCAGATATACATAGCCGAGGAGGATGTACACAAAACGGCGTTCCGGTGTCCAGGATCCATTGGCTGTTTCGAGTGGATCATGATGCCATTTGGGTTGGCCAACGCCGGGGAAACTTACCAACGAGCCATGAATGCAATATTTCATGACTTGATTGGCGAGCTGGTCAAAGTGTATGTGGACGACATCGTCGTCAAATCAAAGGTGACAAACCATCACCTTGCTCATTTGCGCAAAGCATTTTTGCGCATGCGTGTTCATAAGTTGAAATTAAATCCGCTCAAATGTGCGTTTGGTGTGAGTGCAGGAAATTTTCTTGGTTTTCTGGTAAACCAACGTGGAATTGAAGTAGATGGCAATAAAACAAAAGCCATCATCAATGCAGCACCACCATCTAGTAAAAAAGAGTTGCAACGTTTCCTCGGCCAGGTAAATTACATTCGAAGATTTATCTCGAATTGTGCTGACCGGACTCAAGTGTTTTCCTCATTGCTGAAGTTGAAAAAGGAAGACAAGTTTGTATGGAGGGAAGAACATCAACGTGCTTTTGATGATATCAAGAGATACCTGGCGACACCGCCGGTAATGAACTCTCCCAAAGCAGGGGTGCCGCTGAAGTTGTACTTGTCGGCCACAGATACCTCTGTGGCGTGTTTGTTGGCTCAAGACAATGAAGCAGGCAATGAAGAAACCATTTATTATCTAAGTAGGCTTCTGAACGAGGGTGAGAGAAAGTATTCCTCCATAGAGAAGTTATGTTTAGCGTTGTACTTTTCGTGTACAAAGCTACGCTACTACCCGGTCCCTGTCCAGGTACAACTCATTTGCCAAACAGACTTGATTAAATACATGCTATCTCGGCCAATTATTCATGGCCGAATTGGCAAATGGACCTTGGCTCTGTCTGAATTTAATTTAGAGTATGTACCCCAACGAGCCATAAAAGGGCAAGCATTGGCGGACTTCTTGGCAGATCATCCCTCCTTGAGGTGCCAATTGATCCCGTAGAAGTCTGCGAGGTTGGTATAACGCCATGGATCCTATATTTTGATGGATCAAAAACTCGTGGCGGTGGTGGAGCAGGCGTGATGTTGAAAGCACCATCAGGTCGAGCCATGCATTTTGCTTTCTCGTTGGATTTTCCTTGCACCAACAACCAGGCCGAATATGAAGCTTTGGTGGTTGGGCTGGAAATGCTCATCGAGCTTGGAGTCCGCAACGCTGATGTTAAGGGAGATTCACAGTTGGTGGTTCATCAGGTCCGCGGGGATTTTCGTTGTATCAACAGCGTTCTAGAAACATACCTGGACCACGTATTGTCGTTGGCAACCCACTTCGACAGTATGGCGATCAACTTTGTTCCTCGTATGGACAACAGCGAAGCCAACTATCTTGCACAAATGGCTTCGGGATTTAAAGAGTTTGCGAAAAGCAATGTCGTAGAACAGATAGTGGTGCAAACACTTAAGCCCCTACGGGAGCGGTTGAGAGTCGAGCAAGTTTGCGTAATAGAGAAAGACGCCGACGACTGGCGTGCACCACTGTTGTCTTACTTGCAAGATCCAAACAAGGTTGTTGACCATGCCGTCAAGTTTAGAGCAAGGAGCTACGTAGTTTTGGATGGGACCTTGTATAAACGCAGACCTGATGGGTTATTGTTGAAATGCTTGGGGGCAAGGAGGCACTGCAGGCCATGGCAGAAGTGCATGAAGGAATATGCGGAGCTCACCAAGCTGGTCCTTCCATGCGATGGATTCTACATCGCTATGGATTCTACTGGCCCACCATCGGGCCAGATTGTGCCGCATATGCCAAAGGCTGCGAAGCTTGTCAACGTCACGGTCCCGTCCAAAGAGCGCCGGCGGTGGATCTGAAATCCATAATCAAACCGAGGTCGTTTTATGGGTGGGCAATGGATTTAATTGGTATGATTTATCCCCTGTCGTCAAAGAAACATGTTTTCATAATTTTGGCCACTGACTACTTCACTAAGTGGGTGGAGGCGAAACCGTTGAAAGTGGCAAACCAAGAGGAAGTGATTTCTTTCATGTAGGAGCACATTATCCATCGATTTGGTTTGCCAGCAACAATAACGGCGGACCAAGGAACCGTGTTCACTGGGGGGCAAGTTATGGAGTTTGCGGCAGAGCGGGGGATAAAAATCATCCATTCCACTCCGTATTAAGCACAAGCTAATGGACAGGCGGAAGCATCCAACAAGGTCGTGAAAAATATTTTGACAAAGATGATTGAGGATAATCCGTGACGTTGGCATGAAATTTTTTCAGAAGCGTTGTGGGCATACATGATGTCCCCGCGGAGCAGTACGAGAGTGAGTCCATTCTCGCTAACTTATGGTCATGAAGCATTCCTTCTCGTGGAGGTGACCGTCAACTCACTCCGGTATATGAAGCAGCACGAGTTAACACCTCGGGAGTATCATGAGTCGATGATGCTCGAGCTCTGCGATCTTGATGAGCTACAACTCCGCGCCCTCGATAATGTTCAAGTACAGAAAGCAAGAGTGGCAAGAGCTTATAACAAGAAGGTTCGGCACAAATCATTCGAGGAGGGAGAACGAGTTTGGAAAGCTCACTTGCCGATTGAAGAAAAAGATCCCAAGTTTGGAAATGGTCGCCAAATTGGCGTGGACCATTGTGGTGCATTCTGTGCGTCCTAATGGAGCATACTTGCTGAAAGACTTGGATGGAGTGATGCATGAGCGTTTGATAAATGGCAAATACTTAAAGCCATATGTGCCGTCCCTATGGGACGCAGCTGGTCATTAATCAAAACAATGACGAACAACCATGTGCTAAAAGGGAGTGGCTTGGTCGGCCACCAAGCTTGCACAGTATGGTTGAATAGTATGCGGTTGGCGAAGTATGCAACAAATACACCAATTTGCCAACTCAGTTACTAATAAAGAAAGTTTTAATGCCTTTAAGGCCAGCGGCAGGGTTCACTCGAGTCCAGCCGGTGTGGTGCCGCTGTTCGGCACCAAACTGTTCCTATCTTATCAAACGAAGCTGTTTTTGCCGCGAGAAGCAGGCATGAGTAACAGCGTTGTTGGGCATAGACGATTTGGTACTTGGCATAAGAAAAATTAAGAAGGCTATCGTGGCTAGAACTAGCCAGTCAGCCATGCTCAAACACTGTCGTCGAGATTAGAGTGGTGCAACGGATTAAAGAAAAGAGAGCAACCGTTTGCCAAAATTAGATAAACAATGATGAGCGAGCAAAGTTGTTCATGGGTCGAATTAACATGGCAAAAAAGAGTGTGCAATCCGAGAAACGAGGCCGAAACAAAAATCCAAAGTAAATTCCGAAATGCTGAAAAGAAATTCTTTATGAGTCGGACGGCTCGTGATCGGCGAGCTGCTGGGCAATGCGGGATAGAGTGGTGCGGACCCGAGTGAAAAAGCTTTGCACTGCTTGCAGATCAGCCTGTGCTTCTATCTCTGCATGAGTGGGGTCAGTGGCGATCCGGGCCGCATCCTCACGTCGCATTTGTTCAGCCCCTTTGACGAGAGTCGGCATTGTACTTGCTCTAACCACCTGCAAAGCTGGGGCCACAGCTTTCCCACGTTCCACTAGGTCTTTACCCACTGTGCGGAGGAACGCCATGTCAGCAGCACTAAGTGGTGGGATGTTAATACTCAAGGTCTCTAGAGTTTTGCAAGCAGAGCCGGGCCATACTATGGGTTGATCACTCATGGAAGTTACCAGAGGAATGCTAAGAAATTGATCCATCATCTTCAATGCTTCTCTGACTCGGCGTCAAAGTTCATTCATGGGCGACGACGCGGGAAGGGAGCTAGATGATTCCATCGCAGTGTGGAAGCCGGTATTACAATCGTCAGTGTCTTGCTGCAAAAGGAAGCAAGGGTGTGAGTAGGATGTTAGCTAAAAGATGGTCGGGTAGTATGAGAAAGCATGGGTATAGCTTACCGCGATGACGGTAGTGGTGCGAAGAAATGGAGGGGGGCGAGTAAGTGGATGATGACTCTCCATAGCTGCAATAATTAAGGTTTCAAGAGGGCGGCGAACACTTACGTGAGTAATGCGGGAGTTAAAATATGTATGTCACAGCAAGCATAAAGAGGAGTGCGAGGACGAGGATCATACCTGCTCGCCGTTTCACGTGAGTATTGAATGCTGACGTAGTTGAACCACCATCGTGGTCAGGAGCAAGCCGGGCGAGGATATCAGATAATGGCTTGCCAAATATGCGGGATGATAGTGAATTCCATGCATCCTTGAACTAGGGCGAGACTTTATTCACCACGTTTTTATGAGGAGGAAAGTATTGTGCAGAGTCTTGGTAACCTCGTACCTCCATAATTTGTCCAGCGGTAAGCTCCGAAGAACGAATGTGGAATTTTGGAAAATTCATGGACGAGGGAGGTAACATAGGCCATGCTTGAACGAGGTTGAATTGTCGAGCTGCGAGTTGAGGGTTGTAAGTCTCAATGCTGAGTACTTCTGAGCCGGTAGGAGCAAAGAGGAGGTCCCGAGCTGTAAGGTACCATTTGCGCTCTTCGATGAATTCATGACAAGCAGCGGCAACGGGATCACCTCGCGATGGTGACTTGTCAAAAATGAATTTGAACGAAGTGGAGCCGAATATCGATTCCGCAAAAGGAGTGAAGCTGGGGATCTCTCTGACCTCATAAAAGAAGGTAAAATAATTAGCAAAATCCCCTTTTCAAGAAGATGCTTTAGCCAAACAATGGCCATATTTGAGCATGGTGGTATCTTCAACTGCCGTTTGAAGAGCTGGTAGAGGGCCGCGAGTCGCCGGGAAATAAGCATGCAGCCAAAGTTGTAGTAGCCATAGAGGGCCAGCACTGAGGATGCCACCTTCGTATGGAGCCACCTTGACACGGTTCACGATGGTATGCAGACCGCGATAGAGGTGGCAGAGCACAATTTCATCAAGATTGACACATTCGCCGGTGAAGATTGCAGCGGTCGTATGCGCATCCGTGTTGGGTTGTTGGGTGCAAAGCACGAATCGGCCAAACCAGTAATGGAGAAAGGCCACCCGCTCGTTGTCGGATACAGGTTCGCCAGGGGTGAGTGGTGCATTGCTGTTGTAGAGTGATTGGTAAGAGCGGCCGAAGACCATCAATGAAGTTGGATCCAAGGCTCTATTTGATTGCACACGCGGCTTTGATATGCCGGTCAGGGCCGCTATGTTGAGCAGAGTGATCATCATCGATCCCAATGGGAGCATGAAACAGTTCGATTCCGTTGACCAGAAGCAGATAGCGGCTTTGAGCAACTCGGGATCAGGGCTCGACAGCTCTGAACATAGAGAGAGAAAGCGGTCGAGGCCTAATGCCTGCTATTGAGATACAGTTGTGGCATCATGGGCCAACCGACCATGCCAACGTTTGAAGTCGGGATCCGGGATGGTCAACGGGAGGGCTCGGGTCTTCCGTTTAAAGAGTGGACTGATAACGGGAAGACGAAACAGAAGCTGGGAATCGTGAATTGGAAAAGCGTCCAATAATTCCATGATGGCAGTGGTTCGGTCATGAATGAGTGGACCAAGCCAGCCCTCCTCATTGTCATTTTTCGATATTATCTCAAGAGAGAAGTCAGCCTCGGCCAGGTTTCCTACGAAATCCCGTCGTTCCCCCGGAGGTAACGGGAGGAGAAACGCGACGAGGCTGCAGTCAGAAAGAGATTAGTTGGGTTAGTGATGCAGCGGCGACTATTCGCCATAACAGGAATAACATTAACTGGGAGAGAACAAGGCTTCAACATTAATGTGGAGTTAGGAAAGCAGAACATACTCGGCGGACGACGAGAATCCTAGCAATGACATGACGGTGACTTCAGCGGCGCAGAAATCTGAGGTACAGTTTTCTGCTCAGTGAATCGTTGTTGGTTGAAGTTTTTGTTTTTACTGGGATAAGTTTAGGGTTGGCACACGCGACCTATTTATTGGCATTCGCCGCGGCGGGGTAGAAAGAAATAGTGTCCTTTTTGGTTTGGGATTACGACGTTGGAAGGGGATAGGAAAAGAAATATATCCGCGTAGCTGGGCATTGCTAGAAGAGGACTGCTGCAACAAGCCTGTTTCAAAGAAAAGAATAACAAAATATAATAAAATGTTTCTCGGTCCTTTTGGCCAAACAATGCTGCCGACAGGTTCAGGATTCAAACGGTACAGGTGATGTGTGCCGCGACGTTGGCGGTTTGGCCAAGGCTCAAGGATTACATTATATATAATAAAGAAAGAAGAGGGAGGACATGGACGTTTTGGACAATGGTGAATGAAGGACTAAATTTAATGGTCAATGATTAAACACAAAATGTCTTAACCTTGTGCTTGCAGTGTTGTTGTGTTTCTATTTTCGAGCAAGACTGGCCGAACAAATAAAAGCCAGACATCGATGATGTTATTGGAAGTAATAAACAGAATGCTATTACTTTGTAGTACGCCCCCACAAGGTTGCAAGTATTCACATGAGGAGCCATATGCAGGGATGTGGCCTCGTGGGTTTGATAGTCGAAGGAAACAGTAACGTCTACGTAGTGATGGATTGACGCAGGAATGTTCTTGCTCAATATCACCGCAGCTGAGTTTTAAACAACCTTGCAGTTTTAAAAATCTGGGAAATAAAACGATGGCGTGTGGACGACGCCATGTTACGGCCACGTTTGGTTACATGGACGGGAGAGCAAGAATGCTGGTGATTTGCTCCTCGACGTTGTGGAGCAAAAGAAAAAAAATGTGCTGAAACGCCACCGTCAGGACGAAATCAGCGCTGCAGTAGGGCGAATTTCATGAAATGTCAGAACAGAGAGATAATAATGTTAACGTCCGATTATTTCAGCGCTAAAAAAAATGTATCTCAGCGCTTCGGCCAAGCAATGTTGTAAGCTAGTGTGGATTGCAAGCTAATGTCGTTGAAATGGTGGAGTATGGCTCTGATAGTATTGCGAGCCAAGCAATATTGTAAGCTGGATGGGGAAATAATAAAGCCCAAACCTTATATGTTTTTGCCATAGTGTTTTTCTCAAGGTACGATTGTTCAAATGACAAGGTATAAGGAACTAAAGCCTTTAGGGAATTCCCTAGTGCCTAGGCCATCGACAACGTAGCGTGGGTCAAGACGGCCGAAAAGAAGAGTACTCTTTATTTCCTTGTCGGGACAGGAGAGCAAGCAGCACTGCAAGGTGGCCTCAGGCTTGTTTTCCCCCAATTATGAAACATACCGAAACACGGTTGTTTCGGCCAGATACCACGAGTGAAAGGTAAAACAACATGGCGGCATGTTGGGAGTATAAAGTATATACTCAGGGAAACATTGCGGAGGGTGCAGTGTTGCGAAGCCAGGAATCGAACAATGAGGCGGGACACAGCTCAGAAAATCGTCAAAGCAGAGCTGGTTTTAGCCAAACTCATCACAGCAACTCCGCATGTCTATATAATAATAAGAGAGAGGGGGAGAGTTCTATTTGGCTAAAGAGTTTTATTTGGCCAACGTGAAAAGATGTGGCCGCAAGACTGATGAGTAAAAGGGCGTCGTTATTTGGCCAGAACTGGTACGGGAGAACAACGTTGTTTAACAGGACAAGGGAATTACGGACCATTTCGGGTCAGCTTTTCACGAAGCAGAGATGGAAGAGTGGCGCAGCGATGTCGTGTTGTCGTTGGCACCCCAGTGCGGAGAAAACGAAGGAAGCATATTATTCTTGGCCAAAACAACATTGTTAAAAATATGATGAAACGCTACCGTTAGGACGAAAAGCAGCGCCGCGACATTGTGTTAGGGATTAGGTGCGGCCAGAACGACCGTGGTTACTGAAATATCAGTGCTGGTAGAGCGAATTTTTCGGCATCGATGATGAACTAAAATAGAAAAATTCCGATTGTTCAAAAGAGCAAACCTAGTGCAAAAGAAACATTCGTGGCTGCACGAGCGTGCCGAAACAAAATAAATTCAGTTCAAAATAAATGAATTTTGAAGGTAAATGTAATGAGCTTCTAGTCGGTGAGATGCTTGGCTATATAAGCCAGTTCCGCCCGCAATGTGTCAAGACCGGTTCGGGCTGCCTGCCGAAGTTGAACGGCCTGCGCCTTCCTAATCTCAAACTTGTCATCAACCAGGGCTGTTTCCCGCGCCGCGAGTGTTTGGGTTTCAGTCGTGAGAGCAGTGATGGACGCCTGAATCGCTGTGCGGTGGGAAACATCTTCAGACAGTTCATTTTTCTTAGCTTGCACGTCTTTCTCAAGTTGTTCCAGTTCGGCCTTCATCGCAGCGATTTTGGATTCGTCTGCCTGAATTTCCTGTTCGCGAGTTACGCACTGCTGAGATCGAGCTTCGTATTGGGAGGACAGATCATTGAAGCGCGCCGTGTTAGCGACGAGATGATCCCTGATTGAGTGGAGGGTAGTTCCCCTTTCAGCAATGTGTTTCTCTAGCTCGAGGGCGTCATGAGCACACTTCATGTATTTTTGGGCAAGTTGCTGAGCTGGCTTAGCAGTGGTCGTTTCTTCCAACCCAAGTCCAGGCAAGATTTCGGAAGAACCCAATCCGCTCAATACGGTGAAGGCTGATTCAAGCTCGTGTCGGTGTGGAGGGTCCATCGCTTCTTCTAAGGGTAGGGAGAGAAATTGAACGATCTGGCCAATAGCATTTTTCACGGTTTGGGATCGTGGATCCAGGCGGACCTCGCTAGAGAGTGGAGTTCGAGGTTTTGCCAATGAAGTGAAGAATTGCACTGCCGTGTCGAGATCTGGTATGCCCTGCAAACCATAAGAATGAATTAATGATCCATAGAGTAGAGGAATTAGCGAGGAAGAAACAACTGGATTTATCGTTGGAGTTGGATTCGGTGGAGCCATGCCAGTAGTAGATGGAACGGGACGGGTAAGATCAGAGAAAGGAGATGACCGGGCAGCGAGGGGCGCGAAAGAAGGAAGGGTTGTACTGGCTGGAGGCGTGTGAGTGGAAGTCAACACAAAGCTGGCAGGTTTGAGGGAAGGTATGGTTTGAACAGCGACGATGGTGTCTCCCCGAGCCGAAGAAGTAAGCGTAGAGTTGGCGGGAGTAGCTAGCGAGTTGTTAGTCTGGACACTGGTGATTTCGCGCCTCATCGTCATTTGCGGGCTATCCCCATCGCATGTCTCAAGAGTCGAGCCAGTTAGGTTCTCTTCATCTTCGTCAAGGTCGGCCTCAGACTCGATGTTCATGGTGTCCGAGGTGGAATCATCCTCCTCTTCTGATTCATCGGTTCCTTCATCCTGCAAAGAACATAAAGTTACTTAAAGAAGCAAATACCATTGCATCCAGGTTTGGGCCAAAACAATTGTGCTAGCATTGAAGTTACGTGCGTTAGAGGAGAGGAGGGCATACAATCATAAGAGTGGTTAGTGCGTCAAGTTCGGCGAGGAAAGTAAATGAAGCTGGAAAGGAGGTAATAGGGGATGCAAATGGCCTCTCAAGGCCGTAACGGTGGAGATACAAGGTGGGGGGCATTTACCTCAACATTGGTACTCGAGCGGCTCTGTTTGGCGGGACGAATTTCGCCTGGTGATTTCCCGGCAGCTGTGCGTGAGAGGGAGCTGGGTAAATCGGCTATATACATATAAAAAAAAAGGGGTAAATAAGAGGATGAGAATAAGTACGTACATGCTCGGCGCTTCGCGGAATCGTGCGGAGAAGGTGCAACGAATTCCCCATCGTCCTCATTGTCGTCAGCATCGTCAACCTCGCACTGGGTTATGCGAATGATGGCGTTGGAAGTTGGATCGTTAAAATATTGGACTTCTTTATCCTTCCAGGCCAATTGGAACAACGATGTTACTACGCCCTCTGTTGCATTGAAATGTTTAAAAGCGTTAGGAAGCAGGTAATCCTGGCAAGACTTTACATTCGCAATACTCCTTTGCGAGAGCGCTGCGAGCCGCGTGTGCAGCCGCGGATAGTTCTTTGAGAAGGCGAGAGGGATGGGCCATTGTAGCACTAGCCCGAACTGACGTGCGGCGAAGTGGGGATTATAGACTTCGAGGCTGAGAGCGGTCGAGGCTTTAGGGGCAAAGAGCATGTCCCTCGCTACTAACCAACGAGCCCATTCTTCCACGTACCAGTTGTAGTCGTCGAGATCTCCTTGTAACGGTTTTTGGGTGAAAGCAAGCTTGAATGATGGAGGTCCAAAAATCCGAGCTACAAATGGGGTAAAGTTCTCGATGTCTCTGGCCTGGTACAAAATTGGGAAGTATGTAGCGAAATCTTTCTTCAGTGGAGCGGCTTTGGCATAGTAGTGGCCATATGACAAGATCGCGGTGTCATGGGCCATCTCAGTGGGAGCAGCCAACGAGCTTCGAACGGCGGGGAAGTAAGCATATAACCATAGTTGTACTAGCCAAAGGGGACATATACCGGTGACCTTTTTAGCCTCGGTCGCCTTTTTGATCTGTTTAACTGTCAAGTACATACCCCGATAGAGGTGACATAACACCGTTTCAGCAAGATTGTCACACGTACCGGCAGCAATTTGGTAGGTTGTCTCGATCACCTGCACTGGTTGACTGCCACCGGGACAGAGAATGAACTTATTCAGCCAGTAATGGATAAAGTAGGCTCGCTCCTCATCTGTGATCGGCGCCGCTGGGTCAGTGGGTGAATTGGTGTTGTAGAGAGAGCGGTAGGAGCGATCAAAAGGAATGGGGTTGTCGCGATTGAAAGGAATTCTGGGGATTGTAGGAGGTCGATGCCGGGAGAGGCCAGTTAATGCGATGAGATCGAGCATAGTGATGGTCATGGTTCCCAACGGAAATATGAAGCTGTTGGATTCGGTAGACCAGAAACATATGGCAGCCCTGAATAAATTTGCATCCGGTAGAGGAGGATGGGCGCAGAGGGATAGGAAGCGATCTATGCCGGCATCTCTCCACTGAGAAGTAGCGGTCCCATGGCAAGCAGGCGACAGTACCATCTCGCAAAGTCCTTTTCAGAGAGAGGCCATGAAGATAGAATTCGTTTGGGCCTCTTTTGGGTGAAGTACGAGGCAGGTGGGCAATGAAGGAGTAACCGGGCTTGAGCAGTGGGATAAGTGTTCAGCTTGGCTATGGCTGTATCGCCAAGGTCGGTTATGACAGGACCGTGCAAACCCTCTCCCTTGTCGGTTAATGAAAGGGTATCAAGTTCAATAGCCGAAGAGCTATCCAGGTTCCTCCATCTACTCTCTAGATCATCAATACCGCATAAGTGAGCCGCAAGGTCGGGTGGTGGTGGCCTGCCAAGAAAAGAACCAGGTATGTTTAGTCATTCTCATGATCGGAAGGGTAACTCCAGTCACACGCCGAGGCAAGTGGCGGCAACATAGAAAGCGTAAATCTACCAAGTGCAGGTACGTTGTCTTTTATTCACAAGATCATGATTGCACAAACAATATACGTGCCAAAGGTGAAACCAAACAATGAAGCAAGAACATATATATGCATGTAGTTATTCTCCCGCAAGTTTGCATGGGGCATATGTACTAGCCCCATATATATCTAATGTTGCCGTTTAAATGGCGAGTAACGAGAAGGGTATAAGAAACTAATACCTTTTTTGAGGAGGTGTGCGGCCGCCGGGAGCCATGTCCGTGCCTTGGTGGATTGTTGATGGGTTTATTTGGTATGCTTGAAGAAGAAGAAGGTGGTGGGTTGGCAAGTATTGTCGCAGGTTGTCAAGGGGGAATGGGGATTATGGTGGTGGCATGGTGATTTATTTATAGAAATCCTATATGGAGAAGGATTTCTTGATATGTTCGGATGTGTTCTTTCCTTGGTGGAAAAGGAATGAGACTGGGTAATGGGTTTGGGGTTCTAATTCCGCTGCGAGGTTGCAAAAGCGCCGCTGTTCGTACGAGAAATAGTGGGGCGAGGCTAGACAAGAGTTTTTGGAAAAGTCGTTTCAAGAATGCTAAGTAATATTCAATGTTGCAGTGGGGTTCCGTGTCCGAGCAGGCCGCATAGCGGTTGTGGCTTTTGTTTTTAGCCAAAAGAAGGAGCGGCGAGCTAAATAGTGTGGAGCTGCAAAGCTGCATGGGGGAAGAGATTTTAGCTCCCTAAGATCTATTATGACGATGAATGGACACCAACGAAGTAATGTTGGCCAAGGAAGTCCCCGCAGCATTGAAAGGATGGTTGTTTTTGAAAAAAAAAAACCATTAAAGGTTGCGAATTTGCCGTATGGATAAATCCACAACAACTTAGTTTCAAAACAGCGTTGCGGCCTCGGTGGGAGTTTGGACTCGGAAAACGACAACGTTTTGGCGGTCCGCAGTGTTGCTAAAGGAGGATGAGAAACAGTGCTGTTGAGAGGGAAGGAAAAATCGGAGCTGTTTGGGAACACTGTCGGCACCGAGCTGTTAAGGCCAACTATGACAAAAGCCAAGTCTGTTGGTTTTATTTTATAAATAAAAAGTATATTATAATAACTAACATATCTTTTTGAGCCAAGACAGCGGTGTTGCGATGGGCCGCAGTGTTGCGAGAGTAGCAAAACGCCGCCATTTGGTTATTCGCGAAGCCCCGGCAGTGTTGTTGATTTATTTATTTTTCTTTCCTCCTTCTGGCTTAGCAATGTTGCGGGTTTGTGGAAGGGAACTAAAACGCACGTCGTTTTCTCCAAACAATATTGCGAGCCAACTTCAGGGCATTATGGATCTTGTCTGGTAGCTTGCTTCAGCGCTGTGGAAAGAAAAGGAGTATGAGTTGGCCATATAAAGTAGTGGACCAATAACAAAGGAGAGCCACTGTCTTGGGCGACCTAGAATTCCATGGGAAATCAGCTTCATCCATTAGGCGAACTTGGTGTTAATTGAAGTTAATCATAGGAATATTGCGGCCATAGGTCCTCCTTGACGAGGCGGTGAGGTTCGTAGTTGGCAAATATTTTAGTTGATACGATTTATTGTGTCAACTATTTGGTTCATAATTCTTATAATCCAAATTGTGGGGGACATTTGTTGACACTTAAAATTAATTTGGCCTGAATTAAATGTCGCATTAAATAGTCTCGGCATTTAATTCGACACCGCAGGTAAAAAAACGGGGTCGTTTGGAGTTGAGCGGCGTCGCAGAGAGTTAATACGATGCCACGAAACAGAAGAACGGTACCGCAACACCGGAAACGATACCGTTTGCCGAAAATCAAAAAGGGTTGCGCGTTTGGAAAAGGAGTTTGTTTATAATTAATTATTATTTTTATTTTTATTCCTTGTTGGAAGGGGAAAATCGGTACCGCGGAGAGTTAAAACGGTACCGCGGATTTAAAAACGGTGCCGCGAGAGCCTGGTAAGCGGTACCGATTAATTAAAAATCATATCGGGCAAGTGACCAAAATTCACCCAGCCCAATGCGCGCTCCGACTGCGGCGGTTCCATGGATTAATATTTTGTGGCTTATCGGCGGTGTCGTTTAATTCAAACCGCGGGTAAGCCCAACGGTACCGCGGATTAGCAAACGACAGTGGTTAAATAAAAAACAATGTCGCGAAGGGAAAGGCAAACGTAGCCGTTTTGGGCGCTAATGATGTCGTTGGTCAACACACGAGTTTGACTAGTGATAGCCGGATTAATTAACTAATATGTTAATGATTTTTTAGGACAGTGTCGTTTAGTTGAAAACGATGCCGCAAGAGGAAAGAAACGACACCGCGGATTATAAAACAATACCGCGAGTAGGCTAAACGATGCCGCAGCAGTTAAAACGACAGTGTTAAAATTATAACAGTGTCGCGAAGCTCAAAAACTCAACGACATCGCGGGACAAAGAAACGATGTTGTTTAACTAAGAACGATGCCGAGGGGTGAGAGTTTGACGGCGAGTTAACAATGAGGGCTGATTTAATTAATTAGTATTTTATGAGTATTTTAGACGGTGTCGTTTAATGAAAAGCGATGCCGCGGAAAAGTAAAACGACATCGCGGTAGTGGTAAGAGTTCGGCCAAAGGCAGCCCGCCAAGCCCAACGACGGCGCAAGAGTAGAGAACGACGTTGTTTAATGGACTAACAATGTCGTTGGTTAAACCGGGTCGGGGCAGTTGAGTTGGATTATAAAACGGCATCGGTTGGTGAAAGGCGATGTCGTGGTATTGGCAGAAAGCAAGAGCGGTTTCGAGGGCACGTGATTATCACGCAACAAGGAGGAAGTTACCTGCACGGTTGACAGGAATGAAAACGTGGGAGACAAAGGCGCGAAGGCAGTTACTACGACGGGGGAGAAGCGCGAAGTATAAAGATTGGGAAGAGAGAGAAGCTCGAGACGGCAAAATCAAATCACAACTGCACCGTCGCAGAATTTATCTTTTTTCTCTCTAGTTGGTAGAACTGCTCTGTCAAAGACCTCCTTTGCAGAGTCGTAGATTGTAGCTTGTAGTCGTAGTCGCGGAACTCTCCAGAGGAACCTCCATAGGAGTAGAGGTAACGTAACTTAGAACACTCCCGGTTTGGTTTCTCGTTTCTCGTTGAACACCCTCGTTCGAACGTAGTTTGGAGAGGTGGTGAACCGAGTAACGGTTGTTTGATTAGAAGTCAAGGGTGCATTGATCGAATCAACATCGCCGACGCCGGCGGTGGATATTTGACAGTCATCTTGGTTTCTGTTTAATCGATCAAATCAACGGCGCCGACATTCAGCGGCGGATATTTGACGATTGTGATTGACTTGGTGTTTTTGTCTCCTTGAAAATAGAACGCATTGAACGCGCGAGTTTCGCCAGCGAAACAAGTGTTGAAGCTTCCCAAAATTAAAACAAAAATCGTAGATCCGAGCCCCAGCTCCGCTAATTCCAATTTCCCATCCCCGCCCAACCCAAACCACACTCTGACTCAGAGAAGGGAAGAAGAGTTGTGCTGTCATAGAACCAGAAATACGAAAAAGAAATACCCTTCTCCGATCTCCTGCATGGACAGTTCTCCTCTCCCCTTCTCTCGATGGCGACAGGGACATTTGGACTGGGACTGGATAAGAAGCAAATGAGAAGTTTCTAGATCGATTTGGTTGCAGTGGAGGCGACGGCGAGGGCAGAGGCGGCGGCGGGCGGGGGAAGAGGTGGATCGGCGGGGTGGATCGGCAGGGTTGAAGCAGAAGTTTCTAGATGAAAGGTGTTTGTGGTTGCGACGGAGGTGAAAGAATGGAGGAGAGAGAAGGGGAAAGAAGAGATAGAAAATAAAAATGGTTTGGGGCCTGTGGGTTTCATCGAAGGAAGGGGTTTCCCGTTTGTGGTTAAATTTATTCTTCAATTATTTTTCCATTTATTTTTTATTTTTTATTAATCTATGTGACAGTTTTGTTGAAGCAATATTGTCAAGTCAGAATTTCTGTTTGTCCAGCTCTTTAGATGACACTGTTAAAGTATTGGACGGAAATGGTTATAAGTGGTATTTCTCTAAATATGGCTATTATTGACACAAACGCGAAAGTTTTGGCTATACAAATGTATTTTGCCAATAATTTAACTACATTAATCATATTATTATATGGTTCTTTATTTTTTTTATAAGCAAATGCATTTTTTAATTTTTTCATTTAAATTACATATCCATATAGGGTCAACCTGTCTCAATCCGTGCTTCATGATATCATGACTTGTTATGGGGCGAGTATGGATATCGAGATATGCGTCCCCACCTGCCCCATTACTGTTAAAATATAGGTACCAAAGTGTAATTGTAGTTAGAGTTTGTCATAGCAAACCTATAAATATCATTGTAAACTGTAACAGAAGATTAACAAAATAATAAGCACCTAAAACCTGAGAGTGAGATCCTCTCCGTAGACTAATGCCATACCGGTGATACGAAGGGTGGTCCAGGTATGGTTTGCAGACTGAAGCGCTCATTATATGGGTTAAAACAGGACCCAAGAGCATGGTTCGAGAAGTTTCATGGTACGATACTGCAGGCAGGATTCAATCAGAGTCAGAATGATCTCTCAATGTTACCCGGCGGACAGTGGATGGCATCGTGGTATTTCTCCTATACATAGACGACATGGTGGTAACAGGGAGTGATCGAGAAAGAATTCAGGAACTAACCGCATCCTTATGAGATGCCTTTAATCTCAAGGAGTTAGGACTTGTTTCATACTTCCTTGGATTGGAGGTAGTAAGGTCTGATGCAGGTTATTTTATTAGTTAAAAGAAGTATATCTCTAATCTCTTATCTGCCGCAGAATTTTCAGATTACCGTCCATGCTCTACACCGATGGAAGAAAATATGAAGTTGAGTAGAGACAGTGGTGAACTATCGGAGGATCATACATTTTATAGAATCATTGTGGGGAGTCTTATTTAATTAACCCATACGCAGCCTGACATATCTTACACAATACAGGTTGTGAACCAGTTTGTGCGAATTGCGAGAACTAGTCATCAGGATGTCGTGAACAGGATATTAAGGTATTTGAAGCATACTTCAAACTTCGGTTTGTTCTTTCCTACAGAAGGTGAATCGACTATAAAAGCACTTGCAGATGCTGATTATGCTGGTTGTCAGGATACACGTCGATCTACTTCTGGTTGGTGTATTCAGTTTGGGAAATCATTTGTGTCTTGTCGTTGCAGGAAACAAGACAAGGTTTCTAAGTATTCTACAAAAGCAGAATATAGGTCAATGTCAGAAGTGAGTTCAGAAATGGTTTGGCTTCAGAGATTACTGGAAGCAATGTAGTCAAAATCGCGCTTTTAAAACTTAAAAACTTACGATTTTACGCTTCAGAGGTCACTAAAACGTTTTTACACAAAATCTTAGTTTTTATAGCTTATGTAGTTAAAAAATCCTCAATAAAACTTAAAAACTTACGATTTTACGCTTCTAGATCACCAAAACGTTTCTACGTAGAAACTCCCTTTTGACTACATTGACTGGAAGAACTGGGTGTCTCGTGCCTTATGCCTATGAGACTTTATGGTGACAATACTAGTGCGATACAAATCGCAATCAATCCAGTTCTCCATGATCGAACGAAGCACATAGAGGTTCATATTCATTATATTCGGCAATTGGTAGCTCAAGGATCAATTCAGATTAGTTACTTGTCTACTGAAGATCAGACAGTCGATATTCTGACCAAGGCGGTTAGTTCGAGTCGACACTGGTACCTATCAAGCAAATTGATATTACGATCCCAACATCAATCTGAGGGAGGGTGTTAAAATATAGGTACCAAAGTGTAATTGTAGTTAGGGTTTGTTATAGCAAACCTATAAATAGGGGATTGCTATTCGTCGCCCTAAAATTTCTTATTCGTCGCCCTAATTAAGATAATTTTACTCTAATACCCTTAATTCATTTATTCGTAGTTTAAAGACTTAAACCCAAAACAAATTACCGGGAAATAAAATAAAATTGACATCAACTCATCGCCGGCCGCCGCTGTGCGATTTACAGTCCATAACAATGGCGTGGGGGCTCGAGTTAAATCCAAGTTTTGCACTGAAAACAAAAAAACCAAGACGTCCCCTTGTCCCTGGTCAAATGAATTCCAAGAATCCCCCTTACTTTGTCGAATTAATTCCCAGCGAGATAATCTTTGAAAAAAAACCCCTAAACCCTTACTCTGTTCTTGGAGCTTTGTTTATGTTTCTCTTATCGTCCTTTTTTATTTGGTAATTGGGTTAGTTGTTTGGTGGGGGGACTAGGAAGTGGAATCGTTTCCCCTTTCATGAAGCGAGGAAGATAAAAAGGGCTGATGGAAATAATAGATGAGATTGCAGAGGACGGCTTGCCAGAGCGGGGACGCCTTATTCTTCGATTTGAGCGGCGGCCGATTTGGATTGGGGATGAAGAAGGGATTAGAGATTGTTTGGTTAGGGTTTACGACTGAAATTGGGTTGAGGGTAAATATGTCAATTTGTTGCGTTTTAGGGCGATAAAATTTGAATTTTAGGGCGATGAATAGCAATTCAGTATAAATATCGTTGTAAACTGTAACAAAAGATTAACGAAATGATAAGCACCTAAAACTTGAGAGGGAGATCCTCTCCGTTGACTAGTGTCGTACCAGCGATACCACCTTAAAAAAACGTTTTGTGTTCTTCGATTTAGCTTTTCTTACCATTCCTATCAGACAATGCTCTTGAAAACGTGCAGTCATTTTGCGGCCAACATTGGTGGTGAAAAACAATGCGGTATATATATGGTTTCACCATAACGTAATAAACATTAAACATAATATCATATGAAAACACTATCGTCTCTACTTTCTAATGAAGCGGTGGTTTCTCAGAGGGCAAGAGATTCAAACATTGTGATTGAGTTTGGCTCTTGTTGGAAAAATAAAATAAAATGGGAGAATGGTCGAATAAAGTGCTGGCGATACATAAAAAAATCTTATAATGCAAATCATAAAACGAATCGTTCGGACCAAACTGTGCAGTTGATTCCTAATTTTTCATAATAAACCGTCAGGTAAACAACCTGAGCGATAATGAATCAAAATACAATACAAGACAAGGGATAAAAGGCCCATTATCAACAACTAAAGAGTTTTATTTGCAAATGAAGTAGAGTACAGGAGTTGGGATGGCAATCCAACCCGAAATCATGGGTACCCTATCAGACCATAGCCAGTCAACATGGGTAATTACCCGCTTTGACGGGTTAAGGGCCGAGTACGAGTAATACCCGGTTGTAAAAATGCGGGTAGGGTACATGTATGGTAATAGCTAATACCCGCCCCGCTAATTCAAGGGTAGATTTCCCCTTAATCCTAAGAGGTTGTGTGGTTGTTTCCCCTGATTATTGAATCTATAACAAATATGAAGTATTGTGTTTTTGTTTGTGTGGATTGTAGAAACAAGAACAACGATTATGTGTTTTCGGTCTTTTTATGTGGATTGTTGTAGCTAGAATAGTTACCAGTATTGACAATCTTTATTGAACAACTGTATGTATGTACATATATGTGCATAAGTTCATATTTTAGAATTCGTATTCGTGGTTACCCGAATATCCGTGATTACCCAAAAGATAGGGTATGGTATGGTTATATTATTTTTATATCTGGTGGTTATTTGATCGGATATTTTAGGAGGCTTTATCCAATGAGTTAGCAATTGGTATATATAGAGTAGGGATGGCAACAAAACCCAAACCCACGGGTACCCACCCGACCCAACCCGGTCAACGCGGGTAAAACCCGTGTTGACGGGTTTTGGGCCGGGTTCGGGTTTAAACCCGCTACACTATTCACCGGGTCGGGTTGGGTTTGGGTTTAGGTAAACCCGCCCCATGGGTATCCGCCCACACACATATAATTACTTTCCCCGTATATTTAATATTCTAAATAATATTTCCTTAAACAACTAATATTCTTTATGTTTGTGGAGACATGTATAATTTGTTCTTTCTAATTGTTTAGAATGAAGTTGATATTATGAAGTGGAGAGTGAAGAAACTTATTTGACGAGGAAGAAACTTTCAATTAATATTATTGTTTATAGATGTTTATCTTTAATTTTGAACAATTTGTATTGATCATTTGCGGTTTGCTTGTATGCTCTATATTGGTGTTTTTTGTATGAATAATTTGTATGAGAAAATTGATGTTAAACTTTTATTTTGAAAGAAACTTGTTATTGTAAATTTTTTACCACAAAAACCCACGGGTACCCATGAACCCGCGGATACCCAACGGGTTGGGTTGGGTTTGAGTTTTTCAAACCCAACGGATTTTACCCTGGGTTTTTTTGGCGGATAAACCCATGAGTTTAGGTTTGGGTTTGACAAAACCCGCCCCAACTCGACCCATTGCCATCCCTAATATAGAGTGAACCGGCACCCAATCGTACCTATTGCCATCCCACCCAAATTATAATCTCCGCTGAGGAAGCTCACTGACTCGCTCCATCTTCATCTGTTGTTCTTCTGCCCGTCTATCCAAGTCGCAATCAGTAGCCTCTGTTCGACTGTTCCCGTGCCGCCATGTACTCGATTGAGCTGAGCTGAACTGAACTGACGCGCATGACCTAACCAGTCAGTCACCAAGCAATTCGATCTCCGTCTACAGTTTTAGAATTACAGTCATAGTGGTTTCTGCTGATGAGGCGGAAACTGGTGGGACTGCTTTCAGTTCTATCCGCCGTTTTCATCGCCGCCGCCGCATCATCTCAGTCGTCGGCCTTCGACCGCGATCAGGACCGCCTCGGGAGATGGCACGTTCTCGACAGGCACAACTACTCTTCTGAGATCAGAATCCATCCCAAAATCCTCCTGCTCGTCTCCGTTCCATGGTCCGGCGAGTCGAGGTCCTTGATGCGGGAAATAGCCGATTTAGTCGCCGGAAGTCCGGAGGAATTCGGCGCCCTCGAGTTGATGTATCTGCAGAGGAACAAGGAGAAGATGCTCGCGGATGCGATTGGTGCCGCGGAGGGAAGAGTGACGGTGTTCTATCTCCATCACTCCGTGCCTTACAAGTATCAAGGCAGGCTTCGAGCGGGGAATGTTCTGCGGTCGATTCGTCCCTATTTGTTGCCTGATCCTGAAGAAATTCCCCTCAAGGAGCTGAAGACGGAGGATGAGCTGCGGACGTTTGTTGAATCGACAGATAAGGCCGTGCTTCTTATGGAGTTCTGTGGATGGACACGTAAGTTGCTTGCCGGCGCTAATAAGAATGAGACTACTCGTAGTGGTTTGAGATTGCAAGGTTAGTCAATTCCATTCTCACCACTGTTGAAAGCTAAGGTTCTGATTGCCTGGCGAATTTTCCCCCAAGGGGAGAAAACGAATGAGATGTTAGCTCATTCCATTTGTTGCGAGCTAGAAGTTCGATGTTACGTCTTTAGATTATTGTGATGGAGCCTGAATAAGGGAATAGATGCTCTCAGCTGGTCCTTTTGCTCATTGGGGAGTTATTGTGTCAATTGATGATGGCTGCCATGTCCTTGCTTCAGGGGATTTTGCTGGCGCAAATGGAGAAAGTGAGAAACTACCTATCTCCCTAGGAAAGGAAAACCAGAAGGTGGCTGGTAGTTTCTAATTGGCTATCCTAGGTTGTTCATTTCACTAGTCAAGTGGAAAGAGATTGCTAACCATTTGTGAGGTTGATGACTTACCTATCAATGCAGGTGAAGAGAAGGCAGCATTGACATGTGGTAGTGAAAGTGCATTATTCACCGGAATTCCTTCAATTGGAGAATTCAGCTCTGGAAATGATAGCCTTACTCGCCAGGAGGATGAGTACTGGGATGCTGAGAATGCTAGATCAGGAATTGGATTGACTTGTACCTATGAGCAGTTTCAAAAATTTGATGCATTCTTCTCAAAGTTCATGGCTGTGGCAAGAGAGTACTCTCTGCCTCTCGAAAATCATAGATTTGGTCTTGTTTCAGAACGATCGTTGCTTTCTTCTCTTGGTATCGGAGACTCTGGTTCCTGGGTTGTGATGCTTTCTTACAATGGATGTCAAAGTTGTTCAAGGATACTGGGGGACAATGATGACCTTGCGAGTATTCTGCAGTCAGAAAAATCTATTGTTACTGAGGTAACTCCACATTGTTTTCCCTTTTCGCCATTTCAGTAAGATGTTTTTCTGTTTAGAGTTTGTCTTTGAATGATAGTGGAGGGGCCTCCATGGATTCTCCCTGCATAATTCTGTGTAGATGTAAATAATGTACGTGATGGTGTTTTTACCAAGTATTGAAATACCGTACCTGCGGTTAGACAGAAAATACCGTACCAGCGGTATTTAGCGGCTGAACCACGGTTAAACCACGGTTTTAGCATAAAATACCCTACCGCTGACTTTTCCGGTACAACCTCCGGTACGGTATTTCAATCCTTGGTTCTTACACCTTTGTAGTTGTAGTGATTGCTACTTCCAGTTCAGATCCATTTTTTCTTATGTTTAAATCAACCCAAAGTTTGCTCTAAACTACTAATCTGCTTTATCTCCTTGTTCTTTTAGCTGGAAGGCAATGGGGAGGATGTTGATCCTGCATTACCCACAAATAAGCCATCAGTGCTCCTCTTTGTGGATAGGTTATCTGATTCATCAGAAATCAGAAGAAATAGTCGGGAAGCACTTCAACAGTTCAGAGACCTATCATTTCATCTTAAAGTTTCAGATAACATGAGCTATCAAACGAATGAGAGGTCCGGAAGATTGTCCAACCGAGGGCTTCAAAAACTGCAGGTTCCATCATCAGGCCATCCTGCATTGAAGCTGTCTCCAACAGTGCAGAAAATGAAACGAAGAGAGAAGATGTCAATCATGGTCTTAAATGATGCTAACCATGGTATTTTGGAAAACTTGCAGGTAGATTTGCAAGGCAAATCGTTGCAAGAGATAATAAAGTATGTCCTTCAGCAGAAGAAGGAGGTAACGCTGAGCTCAGTTGCAAAAGAGGCTGGTTTCCAGCTGCTGTCTCAGGATCTCAGCATTAAGACAGCTGACTCATTGCCTTCGGAGGGTCAGGCAGACGCAAACCAAGATTCATCTAAATCTTCTCAGGACAGTCCCATCAGAACATTAATCAATCTGAATGAGGTTTCAGTTTTAAGTAACGAGGAACCATCGAGTGATGCCGAATCTTCTCATTTTGAGGAGAACCCAGCCTATCTGTTCACATCCGACAAGCCTATAAGACTTGATCGACTTGTATCAGATGTTGGAATGTCAGCACAGGAAGGCATAAAACTAGAAGGGGATGAGGTTTCAGCTTTCAGTATTGAGGAAACATCAAGTGATGTGGAATCCTCTCATGGCGAGGAGAGGCCAACTTATCATCTCACATCCAAACAGCCTACAGAACTTGATCAACTTGTCTCAGATGTTGGAATATCAGAATTAAAAGGCATAAAATTAGAAGAGGAACATTCTCCCAGTTTGGACTCTTTGGGGGAAGAACAACAAGAAGTTGAGAATTTCCCTGGTTCTTTTTCATTTTCTGATGGGAACTACAGGTTGCTAGAGTCCTTGACTGGGGAGAGTAGAATTCCTTCCTTAGTAATTATTGATCCTGTTTCACACCAACACTATGTCCTTCCTGGAAATATAGAGTTCAGCTATGCCTCAGCAGAAAGCTTTGTTAACAGGTTCCTGAATAGGACTCTTGTCCCCTTCCAACTGTCTGAGTCTGAACCTGCAAGCCCTAGGGAAGGTTCCCACCCGCCTTTTGTTAATCAAAATTTCCATGAGGTAGACTCTATCCCTCGGGTTACAGTTCACAGGTTCCATGAAATGGTCATTGGTTTCAATCAATCTGACAGTGAGAATGCGGTTGGTGCCTCCTGGAATGAAGATGTGTTGGTCCTTTTTAGCAACAACTGGTGTGGATTCTGCCAGAGAATGAATTTGGTTGTTCGTGAAGTTTTTCGGGGCATAAAAGGTTGTATGAATGTGTTGAAGATGGGATCTACGGCCAAAGACACAATTCTCGGTGACAGTAAGTGCACTAGAAATTGTATCTAACTTTTATCTAAGTTCGGGTTCCAGATAAATTGAAGGAAAGTAAAACATGTGTGCTTATGGTTGTTATTTGTTAAGCGTCATGATGACAGACTTCTTATCTTATTGTGCAGCATCTGAGACGAAGTTTCCAAAAGTCTTCTTAATGGACTGCACACTGAATGATTGCAGTTTGACCTTGAGATCAGTGGGAATGGTATGTTAATGTTCCCCATTACATTCTTCAACTCTTCCTTCATTTGCTTTACAATGCTGCATATAAGATTTGGACACTGTTATGTGAGTACCGTGGTTCTTTTCTCTGTGTCTTTCTTATATCCAGAGAGACGTATATCCCACTCTTTTGTTGTTTCCTGCAAAAAGTAAAGTGGCTGTCCCGTATGAAGGAGATGCAACAGTGAATGATATCATTGAGTTCATAGTTAACCATGGCAGCAATTCTGAACATCTAACCAGTGAGACCGGTATTCTTCTTTTGACGCCAATATATAACAGCCCCCCTCTCAGTTCATTGAATTATACCCCTCACATCCATCTTCTTTTGCCTTGTTCTTCTAGGAATTTTAAGGAGCGCGGCCAGAAAAGGACGCAAAGTTCAGAAGTCAACCAAGGATTCATCAGTTACAACCAAACCTCACGACAAGGATGCCTATGTCGAGTCCCAGGAGGTCGTATTGAAACACCGAGCACCAGAAAGAGCCGCAGCCTATAGTGAGGCTGAATCACACACTTCCAGACATTCCAGCAATTCTGCCCCTCCCCATGTGGTCATCGGCACAATCCTCTCCGCCACGTCAAAGATCACTTCCCAGCCATTCGATGATTCACGAGTGATCATAGTTGCAGCCGACGAGAGTGCAGGATACTTTCAGGGCCTAATGTACAACAAGCCCCTACGGTGGGAGGCCGTCCCCAGCCTGGAAGAAGGGCTGAAGGAAGTGCTGAAACAGGCTCCGCTTTCATTTGGTGGTCCACTGGTGAGATCCGGATTGCCATTTGTCGCTTTAACAAGATCAGGAGGAGCTAGAGATGGTCATCCACACTGGCCTGAGGTTGCTCCTGGGGTCTACTTTCTCGATCAGCAGAGCACAGTCGAAGAAATCGAAGCGATCAGATCAGGAAATCGTGAAGTATCGGATTATTGGTTCTTCCTGGGGTTTTCGAGCTGGAGCTGGGAACAGCTGTTCAACGAGATCGCGGTGGGTTCCTGGGATGTTCACGAGAAGGGCATTGAGCATCTGGATTGGCTGTCGTAAACTCAGTTTCTGTTTGTTCACGAGAAGGTTATAGTTGAGAAGAATCATTTCGCGACATAAACCATAACATTTTTCTTTTGGGTTTATCCATGGATTTAAATTAATGTCGTTTGCAGTAGAGGTGGCAGTTCGATTCAGTTAACCTAACTAAACCTTCATTAGAAACTGAAATTCGAAGTAGCCATTTGCCCTAAACCGAAACTTGATTCAATTTTGGTCAGAATAAACCGTAAAAATGTAAACGAACATTTGATTGTGTTAATGGCCTATCGGTTAATTAACGATTTTAACCTATAAATGACAATAATATATAGCATTCCTAAAAGTTCACAAAAGTGCATATCTACCCAATAAAACCCCATTTCTTGCCTCCAAAGTAAAAATAGAAAAGGTAGATTCGTCTTCATAGTCATTTATTATTTTTTTATTTATAGAAAAATATAGCAGTAATGAGATTTGAACAGTGATCTCTTCGAACAGAGATAAAAAACTCTCCCCTAAAAATATTTTTTTTATATTTGATACTTCTATTTTTATACTTTGATTATTTTAATTCTAGTTTAATAATTAATTATATTTCTATTTATCTTATAAAAGGATAATAATTTTAAAATCGCAAGCTTAATGCCATTGGTGCAAATATTGCACATCGAATTGCAGTATTGAATGTGTAGAAGCGATGCAGAATTCTTGACATAGACTTGGATAATATAACTACCACAAAGCAACAATATTTTTGAACATAGAAGTTTTGAGTGAATATGGGGCACATGTGTCTTTAAGAGAGGGGTAAATATGGAAAGGTTGATTGATGTTGGTTTGTCGAATGCGGATTGAAAATGCGCAACTAATATAAACGGGTTTAAATGGTGTCCGACCTACTAAATGCTCAACCACCGTCGCCTCTACAAACCTTCCCACCTACTCGCAACTGCATAACCTCCTCCGCCTATATTGTTATGCAAAGCAATTTTCGGAGGGGTAAATATGGAAAGGTTGAGTGTTCTTGCTTGGAGAGCTGACTGGTGGGTTATGTAGCTTCTTTGACAGTAATGTGTTATCTCTTAACATCAGTTCATTTGGTTGATCTTCTAGGTTGACTTGTGAGTTGATTAAAGATAAACAGTGTCCCGGGCTCCCGGCCTACTAAACGCTCAACCATCGCCGTCTATCCAAACCTTCCCATCGGACTCGACAACCGCCTAACTTCCTCCACCTATATTGTTACGCAAAGCAATTTTCGGAGGGGTAAATATGGAAATGTTGAGTGTTCTTGCTTGGAGAGCTGACTAATGCGTTATTTAGTTTCTTTGACAGTAATGTGTGATCTCTTAACATCAGTTCATTTGGTTGATCTTCTAGGTTGACTTTTGAGTTGATTAAAGATAAATAGCTATACTTTTTGTTGCTTTTGTTATGATACTCCTTTTCAACATCGTCATTTTTCTGATTTGAAATATTTTTGTGGTTAGTTTCCAGTAAACAAAGACTATTTTAATTAGTGTTAACATAGGGAATAGCTTCAATCATACCACTTTTACACAAAATTTAAATGTAAGAGCAAAGATCATTGACGAATTGAACTATTCAACCTATAATGTTGATCTTCAGCATATAAAATATGGTTTCTTTTGAGTGAAATAACCTCATGATTGCAGATAAGTTTTTACAATATGATGTTTTGTGATAGTGGTCACTTGCTTCTAGATTTAAAAGTGGGGTTCTAATTATTACAATATATAAAGTGCGAGTGATAGCGATAATTGGAGCAGATACAAGATGGTTTGATATCCTTCTCTCTGCAAGGAATAAATACATGGTGGGTATATGTTGTCATGGGAAGGACAAACCAAACTCTTTATGTTTATAGTATAGTATGTTGATATATATACACATGTCTAGACTCGATCGATTGGACATCTCCACCTGGAATTTATTGACCGGATTTTTGCTCATCCAAATCGCGTGCCAAGTAAGCTCCCTCCTTAATCCTTATATTTTTCTTAATTTGCACATGCACATCTACAAAATTGTGGTTGTTCTAGAATTTTGAATCGTGATTGTATATCCTCTAAGAAATTGTCAAGTTAAGCTATAAAAGAGGCTAACTCGAGCTTCCTCTTTAATTTAGATGACAAGAGAGCAATGACCTACGTCAATTTGATTGGGAGTTGACAATGCCTGAGAAACGGTTTACCTTCTTCAGAGTATCTCAACCAAAGCAATTTTTGTATTCATGCCTGATGTTGATATAAGTTGTTTACTAAGAGGAGAGTTCCCTCAAGTTAGCTCTTGGAGTTGCGATGCGAAAATGGGTAAGGCAGGAATGTTTTATACAAAAGGTCGTACTATGATCATAAAGAATGCATTGGTAGAGATAGTCATCAATCTTGTTTTATTGACGAAGTCACTGAGAAGAAGAGAGGAATCGCCATTGGTACTCTAAATTTTACAAGGCTATTATTATGATCATTCCTTTCATTTCATGTAAATTTATATTACGACTGAAGTTGACACGTCCCGTCTCTTTTCAAAAACCAACCATAACTCAAACCAAAAACCGGTTACTCCGGAGCAACCCAACCACATTTTAAAATAAACAAACTGACATCTTTTAAGAATTTTTAACGAAAAGCCCCAACACTTGGGCAAAATTCTCAATCTCAAACACTTAAAACGACTTAACACAGAATCTCCAGTTTATACTAATAACCATGAAACAGAAAAATTAACTAATCTAACTTGACTCCTCACGAGCTTTCCGATATCTCGACGACGCTGGTACTGCTGCTCGCCTCGCCCTGCTCCTTCTCGTGATCCACTTCTGCTAGACTATCCTCAACCTGGTGAGTGAGAAGGGGTCAGTCTCGTCGTTACTTCCTAAGGTCTTTGCCCTAAGCAAACTCCTTGCTAACACGTTATTAGAGTCTCCTTCCTAGCACGAAATCCATTCTCGCTTTCTGCTCTTTAAATAATCATCCTTACTAAAACACGTTATTTGGGTTCTTGACTTGGAAAAGTCGTTCTCGCTTTCATCCTTTATACTTTGTTATCAAACAGCCTATAAGATATCTCTACTCCTATCTTATCTCATAGAAGTTATTTACTTCTATCCTTATTACTTTATTCCTTAACAACTTATTTCAACCTTAACTCATAGAAGTTCTCGACTTCTATCCTTAACTCAAACACAAAACACTAGGACCACCGCGTTACGTCTCACCGTCCAGTGTCCTACCCTAGTATGCCAACCGCGTTACGTCTCGTCGTCCAGTTGCATACCCAAACTCGGCAATGGCACTGCGTTACGTCTCGCCGTCCAATCCATGCCCGTCAACTACTGCTTTACGTCTCATCGTCCAGTAGTGACCCAACCGCCTGGGGGTTCCTCATACCATCAACCCTACAACATCACATACATCCATACAAAGCACAATGCGTGCCTCCACCCTTACAGGCGGTGGGATGCCTCACACACATATCGCGCATACTTGAAAAATTAACTAAATAATAACTTGAACGAAAAGCGAAAACTAAAAGACCTACGACAAAGATTTTACCACCTTTACACTCACCTCAAAATCGTCTAAACTGCCTCTGTTTCTGCTCCAAAATTCCATGAATCGCTTCCATTAAATTCTCCTCGCCTCCACGATCATGTTGACGCCGACAGTTCCTTGTTTGGACATCAAACGAACAAGATATGACCAAAATACGAATTATGTCATATTCCAAAACACTAGGTACCTAATCCGTAATTTTCAAAGTCAACACCATTGACCCTGACCCTTCTGGAAAATTATGAAATCAATCCCATATCTTTTCGAAATAACGAGAATGGTACCTGAACTTTGACATATTATTTTCCAAACTACTCGGTTCTCACTCATCCGACGTTCGAATTCGATTTCGTTGACACTGTGACGCTCTTGAGATCTCCCCCTATGCAACCGTATCCACATTTTGAAGTTTCTTTGAACTTCGAAAATTTCCAGATTTTGGTGACACGCCGACGAAGCTCCGGCGAAGTTCTGACGAGGTATCTACAGACTTTCATTGACGATTCTGACTCCATAGATGGATTTCTTACCTCCCTAACGTTCTAGGCCAAGCCATGAAAGCTTGGTTGAAGTCAACCACCCGGTGCCGCCGACGTATTTTTCGTCCGACGAGACCTTGTCGTTGACCATTGTTCACGAACACGGACCTGAGTTAGTTTCCAACGACTGATTCGGATCAGGGGAGATCGAGCTCGAGGTCCTTACCAGAGTGCGAAGAGGGGAGTTTAACGATTGGTGTTGGAGGCGTGGTCTTGCGATTGGAGTGACGACGATGGCGTACGATGGAACAGGAGAACAACTTGATGGCGGCTCCTGCTATTCGGTTTCCCTCGTGGGTATTGGTGTTCCTATTTCTTTTTTTTTTCTTTTTTTTTTCCTACCTTTATTTGATTCCGCTATCTCTGCTTCCTAGGGTTAATTTACCTGAATTGCTATTTGTCGCCCTAAAATTTAAATTTTATCGCCCTAAATCACACTAAATTGACACATTTACCCTTAATCTCCATTTCTAACCTAAATCCTAAACAACCGCCTACACAGAGCCATGGAACTGCTTCCTCTTTGCCTCCGATTCCGAGGAAGTCGATCAAAACGCGGCGGGCGGTTCTTGTAGAATGAACGAACACGGAGGAGAGCATAATCAAGCAAGATGACCGGCGATGGCGACAGAGGGAGAAAGTGGTGAGAGCGACGGAGAAGCAACAGTTGCTATGCTGGTTTCGTGCAGAGAAGTTCGGAATGGTGTGCGTTTGTCTTCTTTCCTTGCGGGAAACATAAAATTGCTCAGCTGTGCATATCATTCTTCTTTTGCAGTTATGGGATTTGAGTTTTTTGTTTTTAATTTATTATGAAACAAGTATCAAAATAAATTTGCTCCCCGCCGATCCCACTACCCTCATCCGTCGCTTCTACTCTCAGCCACCCACCAACAGGATTTCAGCTGCCGCTACTGCCACTCCCACAACCGTTGATACTCTGTTTCCGGCAGTCTGCATGTTGTTGAAGGTTTGTGTTTGTAAGAAAAAAAATAAACTAGGGACATTAGGGTAAATTGATTAAGCGTTAGGGCGACGAATAACATTTTTTAGGGCGACGAATAGCAATCCCCTAATTTACGGTAGGGATGATAAACTAATATTAAGAATGTTACAGGTGGGTGGGATACAATTTAATATTTATAGTGAAGGGAAAGCAAACGTTATAAAGGTAGGGTTTTTAATTGTAGGCAACGTGGGGATACGAGCAGGTGATGATTAATTGATTTTGATGATGATAATAATAATAATAACAATAATAGTAATTATTATTATCTCTAATCTACGGTTGAATCCTTCATACGTAATCGTCAACCGAATCGTTTGGTCGAACCTAGACCCAAATGTCGGGGTGTTACAGAAGTGATATTACCCCAAACCATAAACTGCATCAAGGAATGGTCGTTTGAATTAATGTGCACTAATGCAAAATGTCATGTAGCTGCCACGAAGGAGTAAGAGTGGACCAATCAGTGTGTTTGCCGTCGAGAAGGATAAGAATCGTTATAATGGGAAGTGTTCATGACGATTGACTTATAGAGATTGAAGAGTTAGAAAGTACAAAGTTGTAATGATTTGGATATTGCTGGTGTTTTCCCCCTGTCATCAGAAAAAACTGGCCGACGCATTCCATCGACATGATTTGGATATTGCTGGTTTTTGTTTCCCGGTCAGGAATTCATCGCCTTTGGTGTAGGGATGGCAACTTTGCCCATACCCATGGGTTTCTTACTATCCAACCCAATTGGGTTGGGTATGAAATCCAAATAGATGGATATGGGTAGAGTTTGATGGGTTTGTATCCATACCCATTTACTTTGGGTTGAGTTGGGTTTATATCAAATGGATTTGGGTTTGTACCCATGCCCAAATACAAATTACAGTTTGGTACCCAAACTTAATAGACATGCATATTTAGTACCTAAATTTAATTTTTTTGCATATAAGTCCTCAAAATATCGATGGAAAATTATGTTTTGGTACCTAAATTTTTTTGGTCTTACATTTTGGTACCTAAACTTTTCAAGTTTTGCAAATAGGTCCAATTTTTGCATGTGTAGGTAAAACACCCTCAAGTAAATGGATATCCATATCCAACCCATACCCATTTAGATTATGAAAGCCCCAAACCCAAACCCATCTATAAACCCCCAAATCCATATGCACTTCACCCATACCCAACCCATTATCAATGGGTCTACTTGGGTTTGGGTATAATTACCCATGGGTGGGTAATTTGCCATCCCTACTTTGGTGTCAATGTGGTTTTTGGTCTAAGGGCAATCCAAATTGAGTTTTTCTTATAAAATCTCTTGGTGGCTTCCATTCTTACCATCGATAATTAGAGCTAGGTAAGTATTCCTTTGGTTTTTTAATGTTCACTTTAGGGGCATCATGGTGCATGACAATAGTGGCTATATTTAAGCCTAATGGCTTGGTTTAAATTGTCCATTATAGTGTTTATATTTTACTGTTTTTTTTTTTAATGCATGGGGATAATGACTCTCTATCATATTATCACTACAAAAAAGACAGTCATTACCGACGACACATTTTTTGTCGAAATTAATAAATTTGCGTCGGAAAAGATATTTTTCGACGACATACAGTCGTTGAACTTCGTTAGAAATTGTCCCGTCGCTAATAACATATTAATGGCAGTCGTCCAAAATAAAATATTATCGACGACATAAATTTGTTAGTAATAAAATAAGTGACTTCACAAATGAAATCACTCATGAAGGATGAATTTGACGGATTTTTTTTTCGACGGTAAATTTACTTATTTTTGTAAGTAAACTAGAAGTTCTGACTAGCCGTCAAAAATACTAGTTATACTAACGTCCACAATTCGTCGAAAATAAATATTTGTGACGAGAATTTTAGGCCAATTTTTTTATACGTTGTTCATACATTTGTGCGTCAATAATGTAGCATTTTCTTTGGAGAAATTATTATTTCCGAGGACAAAAGTTCATCATAAAAAAAGGACTTTTCCAACGTGTCATTGGAGATATTATATTTACTGAGGACAACTATTTATCGTAAAAAATAAGCTTTTCCAATGTGTCGTCGGAGAAATTATATTTACTAATGACGCTTACTTATCGTCAATAGTGAAATTATATCTACTGACGAGGATACATTTGTAGCAAATAGCGTGACCAAATTTCATTTGTGACGCTATTACACTTCTTGTGATTGACCACACAAAAAAATTCATCCAAACGAAGTTATGCATAGATGATAATATTCTGAAATTAACATAGATTAACTGTCTTACAAGTAGCCATTAGCTACGACCAAACATCAAAAATTCGAAAGTCTAAATATCCTCTGAAAATGACACAAAATATCCCAAAGTTCAAGCCATACTTAGAATCCTACGATAGCATTAAAAGAAATTCATGCAACAGCAGTCTCGTCGGCAGTCTCCTTGTCAAACTCGTCGTCGGACTCATCGTTATCCTGAGTTTCGCCTACTTGACCATGTTCCCCATTGGCTTCACTGTTGATATCCTACAGAGAATATAACAAGTATATTAACTTAAATGCCCATATTACATAGCTTCGAAAATTATGTAAGGAGTACAAAAGAAAACATGGCAGCAAAGTAGTTACCATGTCAAATGACTCTGGCAGCCGCACTCCAAGTCTCTGCAACATAGATTCAACGATGTGAGGGGCTGCATTCCTCACATCTACGATCTCATTCTCAAACTTCTTCATTTTCTCATCATTTCCCCCTTCCTTTGGTTCGATCCTCCTGACAACGCTTGCTGCAACCCTGACTCGATGGGGGACCGAAGACATCAACCGAGCTCACCTCATGGCCCATCCTAGAACACGCTTGGGCGTTGTGGTCTTATCACTTCTTGATAGATGGCAAATATGTTTGGTTCTTCCCCTTGGAATACTTTTGCAGCCTCTGCTTCTATCATACCATCCTAATCATATGGTAAATAAAATTAATATAATTAAAAAAAGACAGCAGAAACTAGTAAAAGTAGCAACCTAATGATTTGGTTAATACAACTAACATCAATATACAAAAGACAGCAGGTACTGTTGCAAAAAGCAGCCAACAATATTGAACTTACATGCAGGTCTTTTGCCTTTGAGCTAACCCAATTTTTGTCCTTCTTTCACATGGAAACGTCTGAACATTTCGATCGGATCAGGTTCTTTTCCAGTTTTTTTTATCTACCAAACAATTAACACCAAAATGTTGCATTAAAACATATAAAATGATTACAATTGAAGCATAACATAAACATTTACAAGTGCAACACCTTACCTCCTCATGTCTATACTTGGACAAAGGTGTTGAACCGCCAGTGGCTGCAGGTAGGGCTGGAAGTTTGGTACCGGTATTTGGATATACCGAATACCGTACTGAATTTGTCTATATTTGGTATTACCGAATACACGTATTATTTCTTGGGATTGGGATTGAATTTCAATTGTTATTCGGTATTAGGGATTACGGGATTGGGATCGGGATATACCAAAATACCGATCAATACCGAAATATAAGCTAAGTTTGTATTTTATCCTCTCAACTAGACTCTCATGTACTACTACATGACCTTCAACCACCAAAAGTGTCATTTAATTATACACAGACCATTCCATCACTATTAATAGTCATCTCTCAACCTCCAATTCGTCAAATTAAAGATTATCAATGACAAGACTTGAGATGTCTCCTATCCTCCACTCTCCTTAATAATGGCCTAATTTAAAACTCTTTGCTTAGTCTTTTTCCCTAAATTAAACAATAAAATCTAATTTCTATATATTTAATTATTCATTGAAAAGGTAATTAATTTCGTATTCGATAATACCGATTGGGATATCGAAGTACCGATTGGGATACCGAAATATTTAGGGATTGGGATTGGGATATCAAAATTATTTAGGGATTGGGATTGAGATTGACTTTAGGGTGTAATTCGGTATTCGGGATTTTGGTATTGGGATACCAATACCGTACCGATTTCCACCCCTAGCTGCAGGCTCACTCTTCTCCTGATTCTCTTTGTTCTTATCACTTATTTCATGCACAATGAAATAAACCAACCTTAAGCTCACTTTGCAAATCAGATTACTAAGAAAGAACAAAATATTGCATACAAGAACTTACCACCCAATTCGGGTTAGTCCATTTCTGAACCATTTCCCTCCAGATTGACCATTTCGTTGAACGTCTCTTCTGAAACAATGTAAGTGAATCCTGACTTCTTGAAACTAGCTATCAAAGTCTGCAGCTCTGATGTCGGATACTTTGAGAATGTAATTCAAGGACCATTGATGCTCCTTTTGAATATAGGTGAAATCTCGCGCCCTGCTTGAGTGGTGATTATCCGGCACATGCCAAGCATGAAAAATGATTTAGTGACTAACAGATTTTGATTACAACCTAAATAAATAAGCAGGCAGTAGTAGTGTCGTATAGGGTTTACTGACTTGTTGTCATGAAATTCCAGGGAGAGGTTGTGCCTAGGTTTGACTCCCTTTCATAGACCTCTTCCTTCTTTTTTTGGTCGTATCTATCACAAGTTAACAAAAGTTAGCTAATACTAATACTTTGCAAATCAAACTAAACAAAAACAACCACAAAAGAAGGCTCACCATTCGAACTTGCACCCTCCGACGAAAGATCCGCAGCTGAATGATGAGCATTGGAATCAACTTGTTCTGGTTCTTCTACCAATTGAGGAACAGGGGTCCTTTCCTTCGTTCTCTGAGTTTCAGTAACAGGAACATGATTGGTGTTCCTGCCTTATTTTCCTTCTTCCTGAATCTCTGGAACAAGAGGCGGAGAGTTGCTCTGCTCAGTGTCACGAGGTGTTGAATCTTCCCTCTAACTCTTAGAACGGAGGCGTTTATTTTCCTTTGCCATCTAGTGAAAGCAGATTTCGTTACTAGGGGGAGAAGAATGACAAAGAAGAAAGACAATGGTAGAGAAGAAAGGACTAGTATTTTGGGTTTCTTTGCCTCTGCCTCTGCAGAAGCGTGATTATAGAAAGTAGGGTTTAATAATGAGCAGTGGTTGTGTAGTTATTGTGGTGGGAAACGAGTATAAACAATCCACCGGCAAACGAAGAGGCATCAGGATACAAGGAGGTTTTTGGTTCTTTTTTTGAGTAAATCTCGTTGGTATTATCTCCTAAAACTTTTTTTTTTGCAATTAAGGATTAGTTCAGGGAATTGGGTAATGATACTCAATTAAACGACCTAATGACATCAAACAAAACAATTAACAAAGCATGGGGAATGAACAGATTGCATACATGAATGGTTGATTCAGAAATATCAGCATGAATGAACCAATGATGCATCAACGGCAAAAATAGTCCACAAAAATTGCACCATAACATAGTAATTGACCTTTAGACACCAAATCAAAGTGAAGGATATTCAGCCTATCGAACAGACCCGCATTTGTGCATGAATGTGCAAAGAACAAATCATAATTACATGGAATTTTGACTCATACCCAATCTCAGAGAGTTCGAAGCTAATTTGTGGGTGCATTCATGTTTGATTTAGACTTGCAATTGGAGAAATCAGAGCGCATCCTTTTAAAGGCTAGGCATATCAATTGAAATCCTTCTACAAATCAAATTGAAAGAAAGGAAAACGAACCCAGATTCCGGCGACTAAAGATCGCCTCCCTGTCGCCATTCTTCTCTCTCGATACGCCATCAGCGCCAAAACCCAGACCCACCAGAGGATTGGGCTGCCGCTGCGTCGTCTTTATCGCTGCTTAGACCGCTGGCCCATCGGAGCAACCGGCGGCGGGTGTGACATCTCCTTTGCGCCCCCCAGTTCTCCAACCACCGCACCAATCGTAAGCACCATCATCGTCTCCTCCGTGCCCCCCAATCTTCCATCATCGACAAAAATAGATATACTTGAAACCGTCTCAATTTCTGGGTAAGAGAATAAAATTGAACTCGGGTAGGGGTTTAAGCAGAGTGCATGCGAGAAGACGAGGGAAGATAGAGTGATGTGTTCCTTTTAGGTGAGAGAAGATGGAGTGATGATGAGTTGAATTGTAGAAAAAAAATTAAAAGTATAATATTGAGAAGAAGGGTATGATACGGTTTAATTGTTGGTTAGTGAGAAAAATCTAATAGGGTTAATGGTTTGCATATGGTATGATACGCCCGTTTGCGTTTTGCTATTTAGATCATGAATTAACCGGAGTTTTGGGCATGATACTATACCTTAACCACTAATGGATAAACCTCAATCCCTAGTTTTCTAACTCAAATCATGAGATTCGTTTAATCTTAAAATGAAAATCAACAATAATTTTGACAAATCAGAAACGTTGATTTTCATTTCAAGATTAAATGAATATTATGCTTTGGGTTAGTGAATTGGGGACTCGGGTTCACCCATTAGGGGTTAGGGTATAGTATCATGCCCCAAACCCAACTCATAAGTATGGCTATATACGACATAAATATTTTATTTGATACGAACTCATACCAATAATTGGATCACGGGTTGGGTCAGGTTCTACAGGTTGTGTAATCCAAAATCCAAACCCAACTCAAAAGAGGCGGTTTGTACAAAAGAAAACCCTCACCTAACTACCCAAAACCTTCATTTTAGCGATAAATACCGGTGGGTTGGGTCGGGTTGGACGGGTGGGTCGATTTACGGGTGTGTTTGTTCACCCCTAGATGTATCCTATTGAAAGGTATGATATATAATTACACTAAATTGATTATATATACTATCATTTTAGAAACTTTATGAAGTTAATTTTACATTTTTTTTAAACAATGTAGGTATCTGAAGAAGTTAAAAGGTCACGTTCGTAACAAGGCACGTCCAGAGGGATCAATCGCCGAAGCTTATATTATCGACGAATGTGTCACATTTTGCTCGCAATATTTAACTGGAATGGATACTATATTTAATCGGATGGAGAGAAATGTAGATAAATTTGCATAGTCATCGCAACCAGCTCATGAATTATCAGTTTTTCCGGTTGTCGGTCGTGCCATCGGTGTGAAGGACGACATGGGAGACTTCAATACTGACTTGTGGAAGGCGGAAGCTTCTTATGTTCTACAAAACTGTGATGAGGTACAAGATTTTATAAGGTACATATACATACCTATTTTTATTTATTTATTTATTGTATGATAGAATATAATTTATTTTAATTAATAACATATATTGTGCAATTACAGAACTCACACGGAACAACTAAGTAATCGAGGTGTTTGTATGGTTGAAGCAATGCATAAGCAAGAATTTGCTAAGTGGTTCTTATTAGAGGTACGTACATGTCATATATAATTAAGAATTTTGATATTAAAAAATTATTGCAAGCTAATTTTAATTTTATCCTTGCAATTATTGTAGATTACACGACTACACAATGATAAAGTGCCAAATTTGAATCCTTCTTTGTTATCCTTAGCTCGAGAACCAGACAAACGAGTCCTGCACTACACATGATATTGTATCAATAGATTCAGATTTCACACTCGTACTCGCAAGTTAACCAAAACCAGTCAGAACAGTGGTGTGATGGCGAGAGGGGAGAACGATGGTGGAATTCATTACTATGGCATTCTTACCGATATCATCGAGGTTTGTTATACTGAAGGCCTTCGAGTTGTACTATTTCAGTGTGAGTGGTATGACACCGCTCGCGAAGGTGTTGGTTACAAGAAGGATGGACACGACACTATTACCATCAACACAACGCGAAGACGTAGAACATATGAACTATTTGTTCTGGCTAGTCAAGCAATTCAAGTTTATTATGTGCAGTCTTTGAGAGATCCGAATTGGAAAATTGTGGTTGAAACGCGACCAAGAAATTTGTTCGCGATGCCTTCTAATACGGAAGGAGAAGGAGAAGAAGAAGGAGCATTAGAAGCAGTCTATCAAGAAGACAATATTTTAATTGATTATCATGGGATACTCCAAACTGCGGGAGATCTCATAAACTGGACTAGAGCAGGGTTCGAAGATTAAGTATGACGAATTTGGTCATTTGTAGATCGGGATATATTACCTAATTTATATTTTTTATAGAACAATGCTTATTATTATTACTTAAAGAAGATGTGTTTTTTTATCGATTCAACAATCATTTCTAGAAAATGTCATGCTTGTCCGATTTTCATAACTGCCTCCCAATAATTTCTTCTAAAGAAAAAAATTGTCTACGATAATTAATTTTGTAAGAAAGGTTTGAATTTTGTAACCAAACAGTACTGAAGAATTGTGTAAGGCGTCACAAATGATTTTTTCCTGACCAAACAGTACATACAAAATTTTTATGGCGTGATTTTTTTTCCTGAAAATAGTACTGACGAATTGCTTATGGCGTCAAAAATATTTGTTTCCTGACCAAACAGTACTGACGAAATTTTTATGGCGTAGAAAATGTTTTTCTGACCAATTGTTACTGACAAAATGTTTATTGTATCAAAAATGTATTTTTCTTGACCAAACTGTACCGACGAACTGTTATTGGCATAAAAAAATGTTTTGTTTTTTTATCAATTAGTACTGACGACGCTTTAATGGTGTCAAAAATAATTTGTTCTAACCAATTAGTGCCGACGAACGGTTTATTTCGTCAAAATTAATAAAAAAATTGCACTCGATATTTTATCATCAATAATAATATTTTTTTTTCTAACGACATTTTTGTATTGGTCAGTAATGATGATTATTTCTAACGTGGAAAATGAAATCGTCAAAAATAATGAGTGTGGAAATAGAAACTGGTCCAAAATACATTTACTGACCGAAAAAAATAGAATTATTGATGAAAATTCACCTATGTCAGTAATAATTTCATTATTACTAACAAAAATTGTTTGTCGTCGGAATTAGGGAGCTTTTTCGACGGAATTTCTCAGTCGTCAGTAAGTTTTTGTCACAACTCTGTGCCTTTTTGTAGTGTATTATATATGGTGTTGTTGACCTACCTCAGTCTATTGCCGCATATATGTTAAAGGGTAATATCAGTTAGAATCAAAGAGTCAATTTCCGAGACTACATCCGGTCAAGGGGCCGGGTAATAAGCTAGTATGATATGATGCACAAACCTTAACTAAACCTTTGGTGGAGAATCAATAACGGTTAATCTTTCCTTATCAGAGAATCAATCAAACATCTTAGACGGACTACCCTTAATTGCTTGGATACTTGGGTTGCCATTTGCCACCCAAAAAAGGCCAATGCTACGGTGTCGCTATAAAATGTGCTGGTTGCGCTTCTGTTTTACATCATAAACGTTGGGGGAAATGGTGGGGGATTTCTATGGAGGCACTAGGTAGAGCCTGGAGATGGGATCGACGATGGAGAAGTCGTCTGAAGAGCTCTTGCACAGTCCGCTGGAGTGAAAAAGTTAATCTGCTAATTTGAAGATTCGTTAGCAGATACTAACTCACATCCAAAATACATGAACTAGTATCCAAGTACTAAAGTATCTAGAGAGCACAAACTAGTATTCAAGATTTGCTAACTGATATCCACAATGAATCAACTATTATCCCAAATTCACAAACTAATATCTAGACAACACAGAATAGTATACATACAGCACATAATTAGTATCCAGATAACACATAAGAGTATCCATATTGAATACTAGTTGGTTTGATTCGGATATTAGTTGGTAATTGATTGGCTGAATACTAATTATGTGAGTTGGATACTAGTTTTGTGATGTTTTGAATACTAGTCTGTGTTATCTAGATAGTTTAGTAAAATAATCAGACTTGTATACTAGTTCATACATTTTGAATATTAGTTAGTATATACTAAAAGTTAGCATAATAACTCTTATGTCGCCGGAGAGGGAGATCGAGGAGGCGATGACATGTTTTTAGATTCATTTTCTTTTTCCTCTCTTTCGGCTGGAAAACGAAGTTTAGCATATACACAAATTTTAATTAAATAATAAAAAAATACAAAACACAAAAGTGCAGAAAACGGGACACGATTCCGTCTGTTTGGATACTGCGATTTGGTCCCAATTTTATGGGTCATCGAGTTTGAAGTTGGATTTAATCAATCAAGATCATTCCACATCATCGTCCATGTGGACCAATCACATACACTGGTACCGCACATTTTAATGCGGCACCATAGCATTCGCAAAAAAAAAGAAAACCCTTATTGATTAGACGGTAGGGATGACAACAAAACCCGAACCCACGGGTACCCACCCGACCCAACTCTGTCAATGCGGGTAAAACCCTTGTTGACGGGTTTTAGGCCGGGTTCGGGTTTAAACCCGTTCACTATTCACCAGGTTGGGTGTGAGTTTAGGTAAACCCACCCCATGGGTATCCGCCCACACCCATATAATTAATTTTCTCGGTAGATTTAATATTCTAAACAACTTATCTTATTTATGTTTGGGGAGACATGTCTAATTTTTTCTTTCTAATTGTGTAGAATGAAGTTGATGTTATCGAGTGGAGAGTGAATAAACTTAATTGACAAGGAGGAAGAAGATTTCAATTAATCATGTTATTTATGGATAATTTGTGATTTGTTTCCATTTTCTTGAGTTTTATATATCTGTGTTGAACCATTTGTATAGTTAATTTGTAATTTGCTTGAATATTTTAGAATGATATTTTATATATGGATAATTTGTATTGAGATATTGATATTTGATAGGAACTTGTTATTGTAAATTTTTTACAAAAAAAACCCGTGGATACCCAGCGGGTTGGGTTGGGTTTGAGTTTTTCAAACCCAATGGAGTTTACCCCGGATTTTTTTCACTGATAAACCCATGAATTTGGATTTGGGTTTGGCAAAACCCGACCCATTGCTATCCCTATTAGACGGGCTTTGAAGGTCCGCCCACTAAACCCTCATTGATTAGACAAAAAAGCCCGGCCGGCCCGGCCCGGCTATCTTCGCAGAAAGGGCAATCTCCCTCCCTCACAAGTCCGCCGCAAAATCCTTTACCGACCAAATGAAAACAACGCTGGCAGAAGAAGAATACAGTCCGTCTCTCACTTAAACCTTCCTCTCGCTCAGAGCTTGAAAACCCCGGCAGCTTCGTCTCTCCCGTCAGCGGCTGAGCTTCATCTTCTTCACCTCTTCCAACCAGTCCAGGTACGAATCTTTACTCAATTACTCTTCGGTTCGCCCAAAAGCATCGTCTTTTGCCTTTTAAGCATAGTTAGCTGATGAGTCAATGAGCTTTTATTCGGCTCTCGCATCCCTTGTTGCTGCTCCCTTTCAATGGCGTTCGATCTGAATAAAATATATACTTCTCTTAGCACGACTCGGAGTTCGAATTTTTTTTGGGTAACTTGCAAAGGGTGGTGAGCTTTGCGGACTTCGTTTAACGAGAGGGGAATTTTTCGTGGCTAGGTTTTTGCATAAGGGAGCAAGAAGGATGTTGGACATTAATCTGTTTAGGGAAGATAAGGGGAACAACCCGGAACTCATCAGGGAATCACAGCGCCGCCGATTCGCTAGTGTTGAGATTGTTGATGAGATTATTGAGCTCGACAAGAAGTGGAGACAATGTAAGTAAATTACGATGTCCCCTCTCTTTCGTTTGTTTTTTCGCTGTATTTTCGATCCTAGTTGTGCTGTTACTACTGTCAATGTTGTCTCGCCCGGTTCTGGACCTATGTTTTTTCAGGTCAATTCCAGCTTGATAACATGAGGAAGGATTTTAACAAGATGAATAAACAAGTTTACCAGCATAAGAAGGTGAGGGATTTGTGTTTGTTCCTCTTTGTTTTCTGTCTCTGTATCAGCAGTTATGTTTATTGGTTTCTCAAAACTTGGTGGTTGTTAATTTTATCGAGGATCAGGACAATCTAGATGTAACTGAACTTATGAAGAGCATTGAGGAACACAAGCAACAAATGGCAGTGAAGGAGGATGAGGTGCAGGCCGACAAGAAGGCATTGTATGCAAAACTCGAAACTGTTGGGAACCTTATCCATGATTCCGTACCTATTAGCAAGGATGAGGTGAGCAGGACTTTGATGCTGAACCCAATTGCCAATCTGAGTTTAGTTTACGGAATGTTGCCCGGGACCACTGCTAACCTTTGTTTTTGTTTTCTACTCTTGATTTTGCAGGCAAATAATGCTGTCATTAGGGTTTGGGGAGAGAAGCGCACGGAGCAGAAGTTGAAAAATCATGTTGACCTCGTGGAACTTCTTGGGATTGCTGACACAAAGAAAGGTGCTTTGCTGTGATGGTGTTTTTATTAGTTCGTTTTCTAATTTTGTATGCCTCCAAGTCTCAGTGGTTATTTTTGTTTTCTATTGTTGAATTTATCATTCCATTTTGCTGCCCGTTGTATTTCGGTCGCCCTGTAGTCTCATTTTCATACCTTCTTAGTTTGTACGTTCCTTCCTGAATTAAGGTGCTTAGTGTGATGTTATACAGTTGTTCATTTCTTTTTTCTAGAATGTTGAAAATATTTCTGAATTTGAGGTTGATTTGGCCTTCTTTTGTTTGTTTGTTAGTCATCATCTTCTTTTTATAATGAGCAGGAGCCAACATAGCTGGAGGTCGAGGCTTCTATCTCAAAGGTGATGGTGTACGTCTAAATCAGGCGCTGATTAACTATGGTTTAGATTTCTTGGACAAGAGAGGGTACACAGCATTGCAGACTCCATTTTTCATGAGAAAGGATGTCATGGCCAAGTGCGCTCAGTTGGCCCAGTTTGATGAAGAACTATATAAGGTATCATTTCAAAGTTTTGTGAAATATTTAACATTCAAAAGGCGTGTAAATATGCATGTTCTTTTGTGCTGAACTATGTACTTCATATTGAATAGGTGACTGGAGAGGGTGATGATAAGTATTTAATTGCTACTGCTGAACAACCACTATGTGCGTATCACATAGATGATTGGATTCAGCCTGCTGATCTACCAATCAGGTACAAATGCAAAGTACACTAGTACTATTTGTGGAAGAAATCCCAGAATGAATTTTGTTCTAACTAGTTTAGTGTGCTTTGCCAGATATGCTGGATACTCATCATGTTTCCGGAAAGAAGCTGGCTCGCATGGCCGAGATACTTTAGGAATTTTCCGAGTTCATCAGTTTGAGAAAGTGGAGCAGTTCTGTGTTACTAGCCCCAATGGCACTGACTCATGGGACATGCATGAGGAAATGATCAAGAATTCAGAAGATTTTTACAAATCGGTACTGTCTCTCTTTCCAAAAATGTATACAGTCCTATCACATATTGCGTATCGCCTTTGGCACATTTTACAAGCTAATGTTGATGGCTACATTCCATTTGTTTCTTACAGCTGAACTTGCCGTACCAAGTAATTGCTATAGTTTCTGGCGCCTTGAATGATGCTGCTGCAAAGAAGTATGATCTCGAAGCATGGTTTCCTGCTTCAAAAACATACAGGGAGTTGGTGTCCTGTTCGAATTGTACTGATTACCAATCAAGAAGATTGGAAATCCGATACGGGCAGAAAAAGGTATGCGCCGCCAACCTGTGTCTTATTTTCAACTTGATCTTGTCTACCCCCTACAAGCTTTGTGATTTAGCAGTAGTTAATTCGGCTATGAAGCACTGAGACTAGTCTATGATAATGCTGCAGGGAAACGAGGCAGCGAAGCAATATGCTCACCTGTTGAACTCGACCCTGACGGCTACCGAGAGGACACTATGCTGCATCCTTGAGAATTACCAGAAGGAAGACGGGGTTGAGGTCCCAGAAGTTCTGAGACCCTACTTGGGTGGAAAGTCATTCATCCCTTTCCAGGCCAAGGGGAAGAAACCCACCAAGTAGAGCACTCTCATTTTCACCTTTCTAAAGTGCTTGTTACGAAAACCCTCTCATCTGTTTTGAAGTCAAATCTTTTTGGTATTTATCATCTTAATTTGCTGCATTTGAACAGCGATCATAGCTGTTGTATTGCCCTAATTATTTTAAATACAATTGGATTAGTGCTTGAACTATATGGTCTTCTTCCTGGTGGTGGATTCTGTCTAAGGCAAGGCTATAGAATTCTGCCTTTTAACATTTCGAAACTGGAAGTCGTCCATCTTGATTGATACTCTCCCGTTGTGAGTTGTAATCAGTGTAATGTGACTGTGGAGAACCGGAGCCTAGTTCGACTAGGACGGCCGAATATCAGCCACATCGCTAGTTAGGTTGGACAATATCCGGCAGGAATGGTTCAAATTATGTGCCCTAACTCAAACAAAGGTTTTGTATTCTTGCCAACTTGATTAACCCTCTCAGCTAACCGTTGCAGTGCAGGTTAGGTCGTTGCATTGCAGGTTAGGTCGGATAATATTTAATGCCGTTGCATTGCAGGTTAGGTCGGATAATATTTAATGAGATGGGTTCAAATTATGTTATCTAATTCAAACGAAGGTTTTGTATTCTTGCCAACTCGATTAACCCTTTTATAGTTGTACTGTTTGCATATAGATATAGATGTAAAGTTGGGGAATACTAGTGCAACAAAAAATAATTAATAATTAATGACAAATGTAAAACAAAATGATTAACTCAATGATGATGTCATTTAACCTATTGTTAATAAATTAAGGGTAAATACAATATATTAGCCACAACTATTCTGAAGCGGGAAATTATAGCCACAACTATGGAAATTCAAATTTTTAGGCAAATGTTAACTCTCTGTTAACAATTCCGTTAATAATGCTGACTAAACTTTATGTTTTAAAGTTATAAATTAAAAGCAGTCCGACGTGGCTGCTGCTGTGATTGATAACGTGACCTTCTCCGTTAAAAATTCAATTATAGTAACGGATAGTTAGCCATATCATGACCCGCAACAATAATTATGGCTAATAATTTGAATTACATAGCTGTAGCTATAATTTCCCGCTTCATAATAGTTGTGGCTAATATATTATATATTTACCCATTTATTAATTGAGATAAGTTTTGGTGAAAACGGTAAAGTATCCAAAATTTAAATGTATCGCTTGTCTACATTATATACTGATAAAAATTAACTCAAATATTCCGATAAAACTTAAGGACAAGGAAAATTAAGGGGAAATAGGCAAACAAAAAAATATTAAAAATGATAAGAAAACGAGGAGAGCAATGGAGAAACAGGCGTCAGGGGGATTGGAGGAAGGGAAGAAGGCTCAAGGCTCTTCTTCCGTCTCTGTCCGATCACATCTGAGATAACGAAGCCGGCCAAGGCCCCGTCTCACCATGGCCGACTCCGAAGACAAGGTCAGTCCTCAATCCTTCCCGTTTCTCCATCTTCAATTGCTTCCTATCGTTGCTGTTTCTCTGCCCTGTAGAAAACTGATCACAAAGTTTGCTTCCGTTTTGAATTCCTCGCCTCTTGTAAAGAACTCTGCGTAGCTTGACCTCGAATTCGTATTTAGTCTTGTCTGCAATGGGTTTGATGGGATTGATATATTACTCTCACCTTTGGCAATAATCGATTGGAGGAAAGTTTAATGGGTTTCCATATTTTGTTATTTATGTTGTGATTCGAAATTCATTTGACTCAGGATGGAATTCGTATTGGTCAAAAGCTTTTAGTTAGACAGAATGGTAGAAGCTGAATTGTTTATAAGAGATGAAACTGGGTTTGGCTAAAGCTGAGATTGATCCTTGCTGCAAATAGTCCGTAAGCTTCAGTTGGGTTGGTATTTGAGGAAGATTATTGAAACTAGGAGGGTGCACATGGTTCGAGTTTCATGTTTGAATTTTTTGAGGACCTAGTCGTTCGATGGATTATTCTTTCAAATGTGGAAACACATATTACCTGTGACGGTATTGTGCTGAAACATAAAGGAATGCCAATTTTTTCTCTTCCTCTTGGTAATGCAGGAGCAATTTGTGGCTACAGTCTCGGAGGATCATGAGACGACTTGTTGGGGCTGCGGTTTACGCCTAATTCTTCCATCCAATGCACCTGTGTTCAAGTGTGGTTGGTGTGGAGCTGTGACGAACCAAAACGATAAAAAGCGTGAAAACAAATGGTTCTGGTGGAAACGCCTGAGAGACCGATGCTTCGTATTTGTCCTTCTTGGCTTCATGCTCTTAGTAATAGGTACGTCTCACCCATGTTTCCTTCATATGAGAAATCCTGTTTTTGTAACTGTTCCAGATATACTGTGCTAGTTTGGTTTTGTACTTTCACCAATGATAATCTCCCCCTAACCCCCCAATTGCTTGTTGCTTAAGGTTGTCTACTTTCATTTGTATTTGATGTTCCTCTCTCGTTTGACAATGTAGGTGGTGGCCTGTGGGCTGTGCTTCCAATTCTTTTCGACAACAGCCTATTTGCTGGCGTTCTTCACTCGTTTATAGCTGCTGTCTTGTCTCTGAGCACTCTTTCGACATTCGCCCTTGCTTCCTTTGGGTGTGCTGGCACACCACCTATCATACAGTGGGGGAGCTATCCAGTTGTTGGGAAAGGTCACCTTGAGAACTATACCTTCTGTCATGATTGTTTAAAGCCCAAATCACCGAGGAGTCATCATTGTCGCTCTTGTGGATTCTGTATCCTAGACATGGATCATCACTGCCCTTTTGTAAGTCATTTTTCTGATTAAGAAACAAGCTGGACTCTTGCAATTAAGCTTCATATGTAATTGTCCTTCAATACTATGATAACTTATCCATCTTTATGTTTGGAAGTTGCCACTGAACTGCCTTCCTGGATAGGAGAAGAGGATGAAAACAGGTTTAAATACAAGTGTGATTTTATGAGTTCAGTGAGGTTCGATTGTGTATCAAAACATGGTTAATGGGTTAAATTGGTTGCGGTGGCTTTTTTCCCTTTGCCGGTTACTAGGAGTTCTGGCTGGGAAGTGCTATATTGTGATCCCAAATGTTGGTTAGCAAAATATTTATACAGCACAGCTTACTGCAAGTGGATGCACATTTCACAAATCTGATATTTTGACAACTCCCGGATCTTGCAGCTTAGGGGCCCTCAAATCCGGCTTGTTTAGGATCTGCTCTGTTTTCTTGTCGAAATCTTGCAGCTTCAGCTTGTTCTATTTTCTTGACATATTTAGTCCTCTTAATGCTGAATCCTAACTGGCACATCTATATATGTTGTTTATACAGATAGGAAACTGTGTTGGTGCAGCAAATCACCGGCACTTCATCTTGTTCCTCATCTCTGCAGTGGCCAGCATGTTATACGTTGCATTCATGTCAGCTTATGTAGGTTCCCAGATTTGGCCGCCATTAACATACCGACAACCCCTAGATCCATTGAGTGGGATAAACAGTGATGTAGCTTGGAGAACATTGACAGAGAGTTTCCTAGCTCTGCTGAACTCAGCTTTGCTTCTGTCAGCAAGAGGGCTTGTTCTGGTGTATCTCTTCTTTGCCGGTATATCAGTGCAGATAGGGCTTAGTGTGCTTCTCTGGCAGCAGCTGTCTTACATATACGAAGGGAAGACTTATCTAAGCCATTTAAGCGCTCAAAGGACTGCTACGGACGAGGTTGTCGAGAAAGACTGCAAGAACATTCTGCTGTTCTTCGGATGCCCGTATTCGGTGTCAAGATTGTTGCCCACTGTGAGGGATTCTCAGAAGCGGCACAGGAAATGAATGCTGATTGTGGTCATTTCTACAAACAGTGATCCCTCATCGAAGTCGAGATAAATCCTGACCATCACAACCGCCGGCTTAACCATGACAGAAACAGATACGACACTGTTTGTTTTTCTTTCTTATTGGGGAAAGGATTTCTCATCCTCGTTTTGTGTTTGTTTCCCACGTCTCCTCACACTTGTATAATGTATGATATACAGAAAATTGTTGAGAAAAAAAGGCAAAAGAAAAAGAAGGGTACTCGCATTTAGGCCCTGAATTTTCTTAAATTATACAAACTTCTCTTTTGTCAAATTACTCTGAAGAACGAGAACAGAGCTCTGCATTGCTAACAGTCTAAAAGTGGTGCCATCAAAGTGAAGATAGTCAAGGTTAATGGAAAATCGTTTTTACTTGAGAAATTCTCACTGTCAGTGGGGCAAGGACCCTCCATGAAAATCCAACTCTCAGGGTTTGAAGCTCACGGTTTATCCAAACAAGATCTTGACTTTCAACTCGATCGCCAGACTCTGAGCTACGCTTCTGAAGTCTCCCCGCCACCAGAACGCCTGCCGGCTGGCTGACTGGAATTACCTTTCTTTCCCCCTTATCCCGTATAAGGAGAGTGCTTTTGTGCATATGGTTAATTGTTGATGATACAAAGAGGAACAAACAATTGCAGAACGAAGCAACAGAGGATTATATATGAAGAAGAAAGCAAAACACAAAGAAGTAGCATCCAGGTCAAGTGAAAGGCGCGACGGCAGAATCTCGGGATCTCCGGCGTCTGTGAAATGACAAGACGCAACAGACGACAGCTCTGGTGAAGCAGGAGACGGCAGAGCGCACTGCTTCAAAAATGGCGGCGAATCGGAGCTCCTGAAGCCCCCACAGGGTCCCGAAGAACAAACCCATGTGGTGAACCGTCACCGCGAGCAGCACTATCGGCATCTTTTGCAGAACGAAGGGAGCTCGAGGAATTAAAAGGGTATGGAAGTGGAACGGTACTGATCCGATCGGCCCTTGGGGTTTCTGGTTCCGATTTGAAAGAACTAGGGATTGGGGTTTGATTCTTTTGATTGGAATTGGTCCCTATTTGTGTGTTTAAGAATGATTCCCATTTTCCCCCCAATATAAAAGGGAAAGAATGATTCCATTGGTTCTTCGTCTAGCACTCTAACGACCTTTAGTAGCGAGTCTTCTCTCTCTCTCTCTCTCTCTCTCCCTCTCACCGGCAAAAATGGGGATCGAGAACCACAGTCCGGCGGCGGTGGCGACGCTGATCTTCACATACGGCACTCTGAAGAAGGGATTCTCCAATCATGGCCTGATGCAAGATCTGATGCGCACAGACGACGCGGCCTTCCGATGCAATTGCCGCACCGTCGAACCCTACCCTCTCGTCTGCGGGCCCTACCGCGTGCCATTCCTTCTCAACCTCCCCCGCGTCGCCGGCTCCGACCGAGTCTCCGGCGAGCTGTACGCCGTCTCCGCCCGAGGACTCGCCCGCCTGGACGAGCTCGAGGGTACGGCACGCGGCCACTACGAGCGGCTGCCGATCAGAGTGGACCCCATTGACGGCGGAGGAGGAGAGGAAACCACCGCGTATGTGGTGGAGGCGTATTTCGCGGAGAGAAGCTACGCGGCGGAGATGTGGGAGAGGTGCGGGAAGAGAGGGTATTGGGTGTACGGCGAGAAAGAGGCGAACGGTTATGTGAGGAGGAAGGATCGGCCTCAGAATCTGAGCTTTCTGGAGCAGATTCAGCTGTTCGTGTCTTCTTCTTCTTCTTTTTCTTCCAGTTCTCCCGACGACGGCGAACTCTGACCGGCCGGGAATCTTGTAGATAGATAGACCTGTACGAATTAAAAAATTAGTTTCGCGATTCCCACTCCGCCATGGTCGTTGATCTGATTGGTCTTGAAATCTGTATTTCTTGGACGTGTTTGGTTTAGATCTCCGATTGGCTGCCGGGCTAGTCCGGCGGCTATATTATTATATGTATAATTTCTTTTAGGTTTTTTTTGACGGAGTTAGAATGTTGATGGTTGTGTGACAGTGCGATATGATCGAGATTCTCGCCATGTGGGTGGACGAGTTTTTCTTTTTCACAGTTACCTACTTTCCCTCCACCCCCAATATTCTCCGATCAGTAGGATCCACGCGCGGAGTAAGCGGGCTTACTGGTTGCCGGAACGGGGAAGAAGACGCGTGCAAGGGGATGGTTGTAACTTGTGAGAGAGGAAGGCGGAGGCAAAATGAGCCTTTGCCCAATTGGGGGTTAGGGTGTCCGGGAAAAAGTTAATACGCTAACATAAGATTTGTTAGCCGGTACTAACGCATCTCCAAAATATATGAACTAATATCAAGTACTAAAGTATTTAAAGAGTACATACTAGTATTCAAAGTTTGCTAACTGATATCCACTATGAATCAACAATTATCCAAAATTCACAAACTAATATCTAGACAACACATAATAGTATCCAAACAACACATAATTAATATCCAGATAACACATAAGAGTATCCAGATAACCCATAAGAGTATCCATATTGAATACTAGTTGGTTGATTGTGGATATTAGTTGGTATCTGCTATCTGGATACTAGTTTGTGATGTTTTGAATACTAGTCTGTGATATCTAGATACTTAGCAGACTTTGGATATTAGTTCATACATTTTGGATATTAGTTAGTATATACTAACTAATATTCAAGTTAGCAGAATAACTAGTCTGGGTGGCCGGCGGCTGAGATTTGCAAATCCCGAAATCACTGTTCGGATTCGGATCTAGCAATGGACACTCTCAACTGCAATGAGGTGTTGCGGATATGACAACGATGGGCTTGTAGGGATGGCAATTTCGACCCGACCCGATTTATCTGACCTGTTTGGCCTGTTTTGGGGCGGGGCGAGCATGGGTACTTCTCATCGACCCGACCTGCCCTGACCCACCCCATTCTCGACCCGTTCTTGCCTAAATTACATGTAATCTTAGTAAAATTACTTAGAATTTTCCTCTTATTAATTTATATTTTAGCTATAATAAAGTTATAAATAAGTGAAAACATCAATTTCTTTTATAATTTAACTACATTTTATCATATTATGGTCTATTTTTTGGTCTTTTAGTGATAATAACGAATAGTTCTAATGTTTTTTGCATAAGTTATGTACCCATTGGGTCGACCTGCCCCGACCCGCGCCCTGTGATAAATTACCCCACGTGCCATGGGGTGGGTATGGGTATCGAGAAACCAGCCCTGGACCTGCCCATTGTCATTCCTACTTGTACGTGTCGTCAAGTTTTATGATGGAAAAGGTAAAAGGGTAAATACTAGGGATGGCAATGGTTCGGGTTGGGTCGGGTTTTGTCAAACCCAAACTCAAACTCATGGATTTATCTTTCAAAAAAATTCGAGGTGAAACGCAATGGGTTTAGAAAACTCAAATCCCATCCAACCCGCTAGGTATCCGCGAGTTCATGGGTACCCATGGGTTTTCGTGGTAAAAAATTTACTATAACAAGTTCCTATCAAAATAAAAGTCAAACATCAATTATTCCATACAAATTATCTATATATAAAATACTAGTCTAGAAAATTCAAACAAATCACAAATTATCCATAAAAATTATAAATTAGATTGAGGGAAATTAGAATTAGGGTAGGGTTTGGAGAGAGTAGGCGACGAAATAAGTGTGGGCGGATATCCATGGGTCGGGTTTCACTAAGGGTGTTCAAATGGTTACCATGGTTATAACCAAACCAAATAAGGCTAAATTCCATTAACTATGGAATACAATATCATAACCAAACCGTCCAAACTAATACAACAACCAAATTAACCAAACCAATGTTTAATCGGTTTGGTTAATTGGTTAACCAGATTAACCAATATAAAATCACATTATCATTGAAGATGACAATTTTCCGGTTAATGTAACAATTCGCAATTTATATAATGAATAAAACATAACAACCAACACGTAGTTATAGTTGACCCTTAACAAAAATACATGCAACTACGACAATTATCTTACGATTAGTATAGAAGTATTCACCTAACAAAAATTTATGACAATGGTATGGGTTAATGAATTGTTGTGTTTGTGTAAATTGACTTGTGGTCGTTTGGATGGATCAATCTAGAAATGAGTCAATTTGATCAATTGTCTCGTTTTATAAACGAGACAATTAAAACGAGTCAATTCGAATTACCTGCCCTCACCCCAGGTAATTGAAATTGACTCAAAACTGATCAATTCAAAATACCTCAGGCAGATTGATCCATCCAAATTTTTTGCTGGCAAACGAGACAATTTGGTACACTTGTCTCAAAACGAGACAATTGTGTCAAATTGATCCGTTACAATTCCTCATCCAAACGACCCCTAGTCTCTTAGCAATTATCATAGGCTGGAAATGACCTTCCTTTCAAGTTTCCATCCATCATAATGTATGAAGTTTATCTAAATTAGGCGTCCATACGTTGTGGTCTACATTTTACATATACAAATATACACTATATGAGCAATATTGAACTTTATATTTTATGAGTCTAAAAGGGATGTACGTTAACTCTTTAGTGGTTATGCAAAGTATTAAGTATGTGTATATAATATATCTTAGATATATGACTAATTACTTAACTGGTTAATTTGGTTTGACTAGTTAGGAGTGTCTGAAACCAAACCAAACCAGGAAAAAATCCCAAGTTACACATGTTTTTAAAAAAAATTCTCAAAATACACATGTTATGAAAATAATTCCCAATCTACACATGTTTGGGCCTTCACCGCGTCAGAGAAGGGCGGTGATTGCTTCACCGCGTGAGAGAAAAACGGTGATTGCTTCACCGTGGGAGAGCAAAATGGTGATTGCTTCACCGCGTGAGAGCAAAACGGTGATTGCTTCATCGCTTCGATCCCGTTTGCGGCTTGCAAGATCTCGAAAAATTATGCGGAATCAAAAAAAAATTCGCTACGATCGGATAACCGTGCACAAAGTTACGTTGTTTTAAAGTTTGGACGCAGTTCAGTGCTTCACCGCCTTTCTCTACGGCGGTGATACAATCATCGCCTTGCACTGAAGCGATGAAGCAATCACCGTTTTGCTCTCACGCGGTGAAGCAATCACCGTTTTGCTCTCCCACGGTGAAGCAATCACCGTTTTGCTCTCACGCGGTGAAGCAATCACCGCCCTTCTATGACGCGGTGAAGGCCCAAACATGTGTAGATTGGGAATTATTTTCATAACATGTGTATTTTGAGAATTTTTTTTAAAAACATGTGTAACTTGGGATTTTTTCCACCAAACCACCTAAACCAAACAAGCTAAAAACTTTAACCAAACCAAAACAATTATCCAAATAGTACCGGTTAAAACGGTTACCATGGTAACCAAACCGTTTGAACACTCCTAGGTTTCACCAAACCCAACCCGGTAAAAATATAACAGGTTTAAACCCGAACCTGGCCCGAAACCCGTCAACACGGGTTTTACCCGCGTTGACTGGGTTGGGTCGGGTAGGGTACCCGTGGGCAATGCAGTCAAAAGCGCGATTCTTCCTAGAAGCGGAAAATGGATAAAATCGCAAAACGTAGAAACATGTATTATGTAAAATGTGAGCGTATAGATTTTAGATAAGTGAAAATATATACAACTTTTGTTTGAAAATGTAACTTTTCACATATAAACTAATTTGGATCGATTATAAAGTAGATGCAAAGATAGTGACGACGACCAAACGGCTTTTCTTTTCCCTTTTTTTTTAACCACCTCCGGTTAGTGTTAATGACTTAATGTGTAATAATTTATACAGTAAATGAAAATAAAAAAAATAAAAAATAACAATCATCATTAATAACATAAAAAATGGAATGTTTCATGTCCTCTCCTCTCCCCATCTATTCAATTTCGTTGTCTCCCGATCCTCACCCGTCCCTTCAACTAGGGGTGGGCAATGGTGGGTTGGGCGGGTTTTCGTTTCAAATTGATCCACCCGCTTACTAGCGAGTTGGAATAATTGTGACCCGCAATTCATCCACATTCTTCTGCGGGTCGGGTTGGGTGGATCGCGGATGAGTGCGGTAGGATCGTGGGTTAACCCGCAAAAATAATTCTTCAACTAGTTATTAAGAAAGTTGACTAACATTTATAATAAGTTCATGATAAATTAGTAAGACAGTATTAATTTTAACACTTATCACTTTGTCTTAAGTGAACCCATGTAGTATTTGCATAAAATTTTTTACTACTCTATCAACCAATTGAGTAGAGAAAACTTACACATTTTGTTATTTTGCTAAATTTAATCATTTAAATTTTGCATCCCAATATTTAATGGATATTAACAATAATTTACATTCCAATATCCAATATCTAATGAAAATGACACAACACAATAACCAATAATAGTAGTCAAAACTACATTTTTGTCATGTGAAAATAGGATGCGGGTTATTCGGGTGACCCGCAATCCACCCACCATCCACCCACATAAGTGCGGGTGAAAGATTTATCAATCCGCAATCCACCCACACCAACCACCCACTGCTTGTGGGTCGGGTTATTTGCGGGTGCATCGATATCAATTCGCGGATTAACCACCCACGTGCCCACCCCTACCTTCAACTTTCGTCACCGCCTTGGTCCATCTCGCTGGTGACGTAACTACAACCGCCTCCACCGCTGCAGAGAGAAGAAAAACCCGAAGATTAATTACTTGGATGTTGATCCGCGAGATGGAGCCTGTGAGAACATGGCTCCGTCGTCCCGCCGCTATCCGGGTCTCAACCCAATCCCACTTGCAATCACCTCTCCACCGTAGCAGTCACCAACGGTCATGAATCATAAGCCGCCATGGGAGAGTTGAACCAATTTGCTTACCCAGCTCCGCAAAATTGTCACTATAGGTGGCAATTATGATCCAAATCCATGAATCCAATCCAATTCATCCGCCAAATTATCCACCTAATCCAATCTATTTAAATCCAATCCATTTCCAGTATCGAGAAACGTAAGAAAGTAATTTGGGATTTTTCAACTAAAAAGCCGCATGTAACCCATTTGTGAGACGTTGAATTCCATCACTGTTATCTTTTGTTTTTCTTATGAGTGCTGTCATCCTTGCTACGTTCGTATCATTCACATAAATTAACAAAACCATCATACCTAGACTGGAGTGAATTGCATTAGTGATTGATTGTTCAAACTTCAAACCTTTGAATTTGTACAAAACGGTCACCAAAAATTTAATTTGTAACGAATCGGTAACAAAAGTTCAAACTTGTATGAAATGGTTACTCTGTTTCATTTGTGGCTGTTTTGTTGTAAGTACAAACTTTTGTTATCGTATCGTTACAAATTAAAGATTTATGGCAGTTTTCTACCAAGCACAAAACTTTGTGATCACGTTTATGCTAATTACCCGTGGAAAGAGTGAATGAATTTTTTTAGATTTTTTTAGCTACAATTTCAATTGAAGAGTAGCGTAGGAAAAAAAATGGGATTGGGTTCTAGGCTAAATCAATTTAGTCACTTTGCTTATATAATTCGTTGGTTGTTGGTTATTTTTATACATGTGGTAATAATTAATTATGATGAACATAATAATTGATCAGGTAATAATAAATTGATCACATGGTTGTGACATAATGAAAAATGAGTTGAATGTGATATATCGATTTTGGATTTAGCTTCAACAACAACTATTAGGTGAATTGGATCAACATGGTAAATCAAATCGGCATTTTGTTTCATCATTTTTGGGTCAAGTTGTGAAATAAAAAGGGCAGTGAGTCACTCAAGGTTACACGAGTGCTACGAGCTAAGGAAACATATATGATCAAAGGGTTCCAACGAAGTTGTTATGATAATAATAAATTATTGTGGGTAGGAAGTATAAGAAGGGTATTGTTAGAAGGATGAGTTCCGAGCAAATTTCGGGGACAAAATTTTTATAAGGGTGGAGGTTTAGCGATCCATTCAATTTTAATCATAAGTAGCAGTGTCATCAAATATTCATCCCGTTTTAACCATATTGTTGAAATATATATATATATATATATATATATATATATATATATATATATATATATATATATAAATGAAGCCTGGACTTGGTTATGCTACTTTTTCCACTAGTCAACCTTCTTCAATCTCTCAATTTCTTACTTCTCTCCACACACCAACAACTTTTTCTACATTAGGGGTTGGTTACCTTGATAAAAAAGCTCGAGAGAGGCAAAAGGGAACCTGATGAGAGGCAACGAGAATATGAGTGTCAACTTGATCGTGAAATTCAAGAGATGATGATGATGCTCGAAGGATTCATGCTTCGACAACAAGTATTGTCATAGCGTCATCGTTCATTATCACATTCATTAAAAACGGTGAATTATAATAAGAAAAATGCACACAAACAGTTGATGCAAAATTATTTCAATCCAAATCCAAACCCTCGTTACATCCATAACCTCCCTACAAAAATATATGGTAAAAATATCACTAAATCTCTCCTTGATCAAACATGGGGAAAATTCCCAAAATATAATTTTTTTTTATTTACCACCAATATTAGGGGGTGTTCAAATGGTTACCATGATAATAACCAAATCAATTAAGCCTAAATTTTATCAATCATGGAATAAAATGTCTTAACCAAACCGACCAAATTAACCAAATCAAAGTTTAATTGGTTTGGTTAATCAGATAATCGGATTAACCAAATAACATAACATTACATGAAAATAATTATCCTGTTAATGAATAAAACATAACCATATGTTGTTACTATCATAAACTATCATTATATATATAAGCAATTATAATAAGACTAACCATCCATGATTATCATTATCATTCGAGTTAATACATCATGCATAATCTCTTCATCTAATATAGTTAGCTTACAACAAATCTATTAACATAAATACATACCATTACCACTCATCAGGAAGTTAAAGCTCTCCTACAAAATACTTAAACTATACATAGTTTGAGGTGGATGTCATGGTATTGTACGTAATCCTAAAGTCTAGTGTTGTCCAAAATGTTTTTGTTTAGTAAATAGGCAGACCCATTTAATTTTTTACCCATAATGTTTGGGTTTTTGTTGTGCACATGGAAATAATATAGCGAATCACGAAAGTTTGGTTTGGTTGGTTGCATGGAAGTATAAATAATTATGTATATTATGTGTATCATTAATTGGTTAATTGGTTTCATTGGTTAGCAGTGTTGAAATCAAACCAAACCACCTACAACGATTGATACAGCTCCGGTTGATTCAATACTTCTTTGGGCACATGGTCAACATCGGGCCAACTCAGTTTGGCAAAATGAGGTAAGTATTTTCATTAAAGTTCATTAGCTAGTTAGATTATAAATTTTACTAGGTGAACTGAAATATTAGAATTGATTGTGAAATTTTGTGAAATTAGTATTAGTTTGATTAGATATATTTTACTAAATTATATAAATTTTACTAGGTGAACTGAAATATTAGAATTGCATGTGAAATTTTGTGAAATTAGTATTAGTTTTGATTAGATATATTTTACTAAATTATATAGATTTTACTAGACGAACTGAAAATAGAATTATGCATGAAATTGAATTAATATAAGTTTTGTGCACTATAGGTTGGTGATCGCGTTTACCAGATTCGAGGTACGACCAATTTGGTCACGTACCATCCACGTTATGAGCCGTATCTCCAGGATGTCGGTTTGTTTAGCGTTGAGCAGTTGGTCCCTATGACTACTGCTATTGATGCATCTTTGATCACTGCTCTCGTAGAGCGTTGAAGTCCTGAGACATCAACCTTCCACATGCCGCTTGGTGAGGTTACAATCACTCTAGAGGACGTTGCCACACTGAGCGATCTATCGATCGACGGTGAGGCCATCATAGTATACGTACCAGATCGGAGTGGTCGGCGACGTGTATCCGACTGTTAGGACATGCTCCTACCGATCTTTCCGACGGTGTCGTTAGGATTAGTTGGCTCAGCGAGCATAGCCTGTCCGACCTACTACTGCCTTCGACTTCATGTCGCAGTTTCATCCGTCCTCTTCTGCAGGCTTTCAGCCTTCTCAGACCCAGTTTCAGCCCTCTCAGCCTCAGACTCAGACCCAGTTTCAGCCCTCTCAATCGCAGTTTCATGGGGAGCCTACTTTGGGATTTCAGCCACCAGCCGATAGCTTTCATACACCGCCGCAGCATGTTATGATGGGTGGCGGATACACAGCCTCACCCAGAGCAGCCTCACCCTATAGATGGAGAGACACCCTAGAGGGGGACGATACTTTTATGGAGGCGATGTGGCACCATGAGCAGTAGCTTCGGGGGCAGGGGTTTACCACAGGTGCACCAGACGAGCATCCCTAGTCTCAGGTAGATGGTTTGTTCGGTAAACAGGATCAGGATGACATAGTGGACGGAGATCAGACTCAACACGATGAGGGCAGGCCTGTACGGGACAAACATGCACCGTTGTGTGGTACTGGCGGTCATCTAGTGGATCCTCGTGGTGGTGGTCGTCGTGGCGGAGGTCGTTAGTGCTACTATTATGTATGATTATATATTATTGTGAACTATTTATCATGTCATGATGTATTATTATGTATTATGGTGGACTATTATTTCATGTCATGATGTATTATTATGTGTTATTTTGGACTATTTATCTTACTATTATTGTCATGTATGGTGCCAATGTCTAGAACGAAAACTTGAACTATAGAAGTAACAACAACGCGGGGCATGCCTTCAAAAGTTCCAAAACCCAATTGGCACAATTGATCGTTCAAACCATAACAATATCAACCAATAACAACTCGTCGAAAAACAATAACAAACATCAAACAATAACACATTCGATCGTTCAAACCATAACAACATCAACCAATAACAACTACGTCGAAAAACAATAACAAACATCAAACAATAACAGACTCGATCGTTCAAACCATAACAACATCAACCAAACTACATACCACGTCTATTACCACCTCTCGCACGTCTACCACTTCTTCTTCGCTGGCTCCCACTGCCACTTGCTCCTCCACCAGAAGTTGATGCATCATGTCCACCTACGTCCTCTCTTGGCCAATCCATCTTTTGTGAATTCTTGTTGTTCGTGGCCTCCCCGACTTCCTAATCATGTGCACGTTAGGATGGAGAGTAGAGCCATTGTGCTTCTTCCACCCCTTAGGTTCACCAAGAGGTGTGAAACTTGTCCCATAACAAGCCAATACTGTTTCCAGCTTATAAATGTCGTTTACAAACCTTACGGGTTAGCCCCCATTCGGTTGCAAGCTACAATGGCATGAGAGTAAGGAATTTTATTTCCTTGAAATTTACCACAAGTGCAAAATCCAGCTCGATTGTGGTCATCGGAATGCACTGTGAGTGTGTTCGAACCCGTCATGTTGAAATTGTTGGGAGGAGTCTGAACTACATAGATGCCCTGACGTCGATGAACCCCCATCACGGAATGTCCAACTGTCTTTTGTGCCCACGACTTCATTAGCTCTTCACATGGTTTCATGTACTGTGACTTCCCACTTCTGATTTGTGCTTCTGTCTCCAACCTCATCTTATCGAATTTCTCCAATAATCGCCAATAAGTATGTTGCACAAGAGAAGCTATAGGAAGTGAACGAACACATTTGAAAACACCATTGATGCTCTCTGCCAAGTTGGTCGTCATCATAGACCATCGACGCCCACCATTATAGTTATCATGTGCTAAGCTCCAACGAAGTTGATTTTGATCCACCCAGTTATCACAAGAAATATTTCTTTCAACGGCCATCTTCTTAAATTGCTCAACTTGACGATCGAACTTCTCCAAGCGTTTTTCTCGGGCTACAAAATAAATATCCACACGAGTTAGATAAATTCATGATAATATTAAATAAAATAAATAATACGTCGAAAATTAATAACAATAACGATGAAGAGACTTACCGACTCGAAACAGTTGGTTTTACATAATTTTGCGTTTTTGTCTTCTTTTGCAAGTTGCTTACATAGTGTCGCATGCACCATCTCCACTCCCAACGACTTTCGATATTACTCATGGCTGCATAGAGTCCAGCATGTCTATCTGAGATGATGTAGACATCGTTTCGATCGGTCAAATCTTGAACGTGTCTTATGAACCATGGACAACTATCGGTATTCTCGCTCTCCACTATGGCAAATGCAATTGGAAAAGTCTTCTTCCGACCATCAAATGAGCTCGCCATGAGTAGCACTCCTTTATACTTTCCAGTAAGAACATCGACAAGTAGAGCTGGCGGCAACGACGGTCGGGCGGGTCCTGGGTGACGTCCCTGCTCAAGAGACGAGGGAGAATTGAATGTGAGCTATTTAAATGCCTTCTTACCTCCCTCTGTTGTCTCACTGGTTCTGCTGCATACAGTTACCCATGAGGCTAGGCCTTAGGCCTTGGAACCCTAAAGTATTTCTGTCTTAAGACTTCTCCTCTCCAGGAATTTATACTTGTAGGGGTAACAGCCTCCATCAACAACCATGATTCCTGGAAAATTCTCGAATCCATCTATACAAAGTCCATAAGCCCAGAATACTCGCCGGAAGATCAAATTACCTAGTTTCGATGAAGGAACTTTTACCCAAGCAATCACTGATGTTGGCATTTTTCTCTTGACAAACCCCAAGAATGTTTGCAAATAATCGTAAGATTCTTCCCAATTTCCATGCAACTTCTCCAATGCTCTTTGTTTCCCATACCAAGCCTTCTTATAAGTAACTTGCATATTAAATTTATCTTTCAACTCGGCTTGCACAGTTAGAACACTCAGATTTGGTTGGGCACGTACCAAATGTTTCACGGACTCAGATATAATGTCAACATCAAGATGGCGATGATCTGTCGATTGAGTCGTACTACTACAAGAATGCACTAACTCGGCCTTTCTCACAGTCCATTCGCTTCCAACGTCTCGACATCCAAACCGCACCATCCAAGGACAATTGTCATCCTTATGCTTCAAGCATCTAACCTTCCAGATTGAAGGTGACGACTCCAACATGACATACTGAAAGTTGCGTTGTAGTGCGTGGTGTTTAACCGCCACCTGTGCAGCTTGTTTCGAGTGAAAAATCTGGCCCTTGTAGAATTCTCCTTCAAAACCAGTACAATAGGCATTGGAATTACGCCATATGAATCAACATATGATAATTCATCATCCTCTTCATTAGCCTGCAAGTAAAAATATGGAGGATAATTAGGCTGCTTTCTTCCCCATCTTCCTCCGCTTCCTCCTCCTCCTCGTCTTCGTCGTCATAATCATCATCAGATGGCACACTCCATGTCTCATCTTCACCCTAATCAGCCTATCTAATCTCAGCATGTATCTCAACACCCAAACAATAAGGATTTTGTGCCATAAAATCGAAAAGCACATTCAAACCATCATCATCCACAATAGGCATCGCATAATGAAACAAAAAATCAATCTGCCATTCTGGAAGACGGTAAGTGAAACCTGTGATCATATCACTATCTTGTATTGCTTCGTCTCTACGTCGTATTCTCGGGATTAGATTCTCACAAAATTGATGATATGTCACCCGACATGGAACTGTCAACTGAAATCTTCTATCACCAGCGAGATGGACGTCAACATTGTCATCTACTTTCTCCGACTTCCACCAAACAATTAGTTCAAATCTCCTAAAATCACTACATAACAAACAAATTCACTAATTACTAACTAAAGAAAATTATAATAGCATTTTAATAATGTAATTACAAAAATAAATGTGTCTCTTACCTAGCCATCTTTGCAGCAACCAGCAGAGCTCCTCCCTCTCGTTTTCGTATCAATTTTTTGGTGTGGTGATATTGAAAGGAAGAGAGTGGGGTTAAAAAGGTCGTGAATCCGCATGAGACTAATGCGGGTCCGCTGGTCAAAGTTAAGGGAATCTGTCAGCCCTCTTTAAAAGAGAGTCATCGTCTCCGCACCAGTCCCACGCGGGCCCGCCCTTTTTCCGTCAAAATACATATGTAGCAGGTCCGCATCAATCTGATCCGAATTCGCTCTTCTTCCCCTCACAAAAACACAATACCTATGTCAATTAATTTAAAAACCACCATATTGGTGGTAAATAAAAAAATAACAATATTTTGGGAAATAACCCTCAAACATGTTCATTTTAGTCGCATAACAATTATTTTTCAACCCAGTTCGATCCCTTTTCGTAACTTTTTAAAATCTTACTTTCTTTCCAAGCGGCTAAATTACATGATTGGTCACTCGAATTATATAAATCTTTCAGGTTTGCCACTCGAATTACTTTTTTTTCTTATTAACCACTAACTTTACGATTTGTTTCACTGTTAGTCACCGGCTGTCAGTCTCCGTTAGCACCGTTAAATTCTTGATGACGTGGCAAACGGAATGGACCGTTAAGTTAGTGACCTGTCAATTTAAAAAATAAAAAAATATATTACACCTCATTTTCTACTAAAATAATATATATATTTAAAAACATACGGCGGCGGCAGCAACCTGCGACGACGACTATCCCCGGCGAACAGCGATTCTCCTCCCTCCCCAACGTCGCCGTCACCACCGCCGACAACCTCCTCTTAGCGCTGGAGCACCACTTCTCCCTCTTCAAGAAGAAGTTCGGCAGATTGACCCAGCGCTTCTCACTGAGTCACTCGGTTCTCCGATTTGACCCCTCGCGAGTTCAAGAGGTAGTTGTTGGGACTCAGGAAGCTCGGGCTCCCCAGCGATGCCAACACGGAGCCGATCCTCCCGACAAGCAACTTGCCTGAGGGTTTCAATTGGAGGGAGAAGGGCACTCCCGTAAGGAATTAGGTCAAATTCCCCCCTTTGTTCTCATTTGTCTTCATCAGCTACAAGTTTTAGGTTTCGTAATCGAATTCCTGATATTTGGTGAACGATGGAAACTAATGTTTCCTTATTACTCTGCTTGTTCTCATTACTCTTCATTGGTGAATGATGGCGACTAATTAGATTATGGGAACCGTCGGAAAGGTAAAGCTGCCGTTGGTCCTCATCGACGGGGGCTCCACGGGAGCGGGAAGTTGAGGAAGATTGCCGCAGGGTTTCTGCCGCCGCCGAAGTATATTTTAATTTTTATATATATTATATTGTAGTAGAAAATGAGGTGTAATATATTTTTTATTTTTTAAATTGACAGGTCACTAAGTTAACGGTACAATCAACAGTTCTGTTTGCCACGTCATCAAGAATTTAACGGTGTTAACGGAGATTGACGGTCGGTGACTAACGGTGAAACAAATCGTAAAGTTAGTGGCTAATAAGAAAGAAAAGTAATTGGGGTGGCAAACATGAAAGATATATATAATTCGAGTGACCAATCGTGTAATTTATCCCTTTCCAAGCAACTAACTATGATGACTATCGAGATTGACAAAGGTTAGAGCTCCGACAATGTCGTCGAAATCCGTCAAAGATTCACTAATGAAGAGTGTGGTTGATGTGATTTTGACTTGATGTTTCAGTTCTTTTGGAGAGAAAGAGTTTCAACATATTGGGTTTCTAATTATAAGGATTTTGAAAAATGAAAAATAGGAAAAGAACAACAAAGGGGAATTTCACTAGGATTTGGAACATGGTTGTTATGTCGGTGGCATATCGATCGGTTGAACCATGTTTAATCGGTGTCGGTCATGAAAACCGTGCATGATCGAAATAAGAATTTTGAGCAAAATGATGTTGTTTTAGGCAATTTAATTAGTAAAAAAATTATTTATTATTTATTTCATAAGAGTCAAAAGTTGGTGTTATTTGTTTAATTGTAAGTAAATTGTCATAAATATGTTTTATATATAATTAAATTCACTGGATGTTAATGTTTTCACATATATTTTGTTAAACCGGTACAAACCAACGTACACAAATTGTACCTCTACTCATATAATTTCACTTGTCAAATTGACACAACCGTATAAACGAGCTTGACCAACTTGATTTAGAGCGACCAAGAATGATTTTAGGCCCACAAACATAAAACCCGACATCATACACTTCCTGCGATTAATTAGCTTAACGGTAAAACAGGTAAATCATAATCGAGGAATAAGAATCACACAATCAAGGTTAATAAAATGGAAGGGAATATAATTTAAAAAGAACTATCGGCGTGGAAGAGAATGGATGAAGAGCATCGGAAGGTCATACTCATCATCTCCAGTAGCAGCATCGACAGCAGCAACTCTGGGTTTTCTCTCTTACGCTCGTAAAACCCATCTCTCCTTATTGGCGGCGGCTAGGGTTTCTGCCAGTCTCAACTTCTCCACTTTCTCCTCCTCTTTACCTGCGGTAGCCATGCCGGGAGAAGACCGGACCCAAGAGCTCCAGTGGCCGGCGAAGAAAGTCAGGGACACTTTCACCGAATTCTTCAAGGACAAACGCCACGAGTACTACAAGTCAAGCCCAGTTGTCCCCGTGAACGACCCAACTCTTCTCTTCGCCAATGCTGGTGAGCTCTCATTTCCCGTCTCTCTCTCTCTCTCTCTCTCTCTCTCTCTCTCTCTCTCTCTCGAATGATTGATGCGATTTCTTTTGTAGCGCGTAGATTCTGATTAGTTGCCCGGAGGAAGTATGGTATGGGGTATCAAGCTTACAATAGTTGCTAGATATGAACTTGGGATCCCGGTTCGCAATTGTTTATGAGTGAAGGATAGATTTCAGTTTCGCAATTGTTTTATACGGGATTCGAATTCCGTTTGGTTTGTGGGTGCTAATTGTTTAGTGTAATTTTTATGGACATAAATGTGTTCACAATCCTTGTTATCTTTACTTCTGTGAGCAGGCATGAATCAGTTTAAACCCATCTTCTTGGGGACAGCTGATCCTAATACCTACTTGAGCAAGCTAAAACGCGCTTGTAATACACAGAAGTGTATCCGTGCGGGAGGGAAGCATAATGATCTTGATGATGTCGGGAAGGACACATACCACCATACATTCTTTGAGATGTTGGGGAATTGGTCATTTGGTGATTATTTTAAGAAAGAGGCAATTGAATGGGCTTGGGAGCTCCTAACCAAGGTAGTATGGCAGTAAGATCGACTGAAGGTTCCAATATATACAACATGTTGACCAACATTCTTCTTAAGTAGCCAACTTTGTGCCTCACGTCTGTGACACTTCTTCTCTAACCCCTCTCCCTTGTACGTAAGCTAGTGCATTTCTTCGTCTTTTTCATTTCCTTGCCCTGTTTTTTATTTATTTATGGGTAATAGGTGTATGGACTGCCCAAGGATCGAATTTATGCTACTTACTTTGGGGGCGATGAGAAAGCTGGTCTAGCTCCTGATAATGAAGCAAGAGACATGTGGCTCAATTTGTTGCCACCTGGACGAGTGCTGCCATTTGGTTGCAAGGTCAATACTTATTCTGGTTAACTTCAAATGCTTTCTGTGGCTTCTGTAAATAAGATCTTGCAGACCATGTAAGACAACTTATTAGTTGACATTTTTTTTTAAATCTTTTACTAGGACAATTTTTGGGAGATGGGTGATACCGGTCCGTGTGGTCCTTGTACAGAAATACATTTTGATAGGATTGGTAATCGGGATGCAGCATCATTGGTGAACAATGACGATCCTACTTGCATTGAGATATGGAACCTTGTGTTTATTCAGGTATAGCTTCTCCTGAATTGTTACTTTATTACTTGCTGCTCATGTATGTTACCCTCCACATCAATGGTCGACGATAATTTTGTGATTGAGAGCACCGAGAGAGCTAGAAGTATCTCGAATTGAAACTAATTGCATGTTTTCTTCTACCCCCATCCTTTTGCAGTTCAACAGGGAAAGTGATGGCACCTTAAAACCTCTCCCCTCCAAACATGTTGATACTGGAATGGGTTTCGAGAGGCTTACTTCAATTCTCCAAAACAAGATGAGCAATTATGATACTGATGTTTTTATGCCCATCTTTGATGCCATTCAGCAGGTACTGTTCTGGTGGCTCTACATTTTCTGCCCCCCAACCTTTTATGTTATCTTTAGCTGTCTACTTTTTGGGCCTCGAGTTTTTGTTGAAAATGATAATTAATTTGGTCATATGTTTTGTTTGGTTCATTGTTTTTGGGGGGTAGTCCTGTACAGGTCAAGTAATGGTCCGAAGTCACGCTGTTTCTTTCAGTGTTTGATTTTTATGTCGTGGGAAATACAAGTTGACAAGTATATACCTGCAGGCAACAGGCTCACGACCGTACTCTGGAAAAGTCGGGGCGGAGGATGTGGATGGAATTGACATGGCTTACAGGGTTGTTGCTGACCACATCAGAACTCTCTCTTTTGCCATTGCTGATGGTTCTCGTCCAGGTAGATTATCACGGGCTTATTGGGTCATTATTTACCCTAGCTTGCTGGTGGAGGAGATTCTTATGTTGAATGTTTCAACTCAACTGCTTTGCTATTTGTTGCTTGTGCAGGTAATGAGGGACGTGAATATGTTCTTAGGCGCATCCTTCGCCGTGCTGTTCGTTATGGAAGTGAGAAGCTGAAAGCTCGAGAAGGCTTTTTCAACGGGTATGAAGAGACACGTATATTTTCTTGTTATGGTCTTCAAAACAGATTTTACAATGATTTGGTTTGATTCACTTACTATGACAGTGAATGCGGGTTGCCATGTTGTTTAACATTCATAACTCATGGATGAGGGTTGGAATCCCTTGCTGTCTAAAGAAGACTGAAATTGATGTGAAAGAAGGAAATCATGTCACTAAATATATTGATGGTTTCTACCAAAAAAAAAAAATAAAAAATAAAAATATTGATGGTTCACTTTTTTTCCCTGTCATTGATGATCTGTTGTCAATGCAGGCTTGTAAGTGTTGTTGTAAAAGTGATGGGTGATGTTTTCGAAGAGCTTAATGAAAAGGAACAACACATCAGGGAAATAATCACAGAAGAGGAAGCAAGTTTTGGGAGAACACTGCTCAAGGTCAGTGGGATTTTGTGTATCATTTTGGTTATTCTATGCGATAATTTCATTTGTGTATCTTTTGTTATGCTTTTGAGATACAACTGGGTCTATACGCTCCATGTATTTGACACGGCATGAAACTTCCTTACTTGTAGTTGTGCATGTCCTCTCTCACTTCTGTTTGCTACCTAGAGGAGATTATTTATGCATACACATGTTTCCCCTTATTTTAGTTTCTTGGAATTCTTTTCAAAGATGTCTTCTTCTTGTGTCTTAATTGATGCTGTAATTAATTCTCAGGGAATTGAGAGATTTAAAAAGGATGCTAAGGAGGTTGAGGATGTACAGGGAAAAGTAATCAGTGGGCAGGTAAGCACTTATCTGTGAACTTCATTGCTCTGATGATATTTGTAAGAGCTTGTATTCAACAATTGCTCTAAAAATACATATGGAAGTTTTCCTTCTGGCGTGATGTGCTAAAAATGTGAACTCCTGTGCATTTGGTATTGGATTATTGTAAACTATATTATTGTAAACTATATTGGTGGTTGTTGCAGAAAGCGTTTGTTTTGTGGGACACTTATGGCTTCCCACTAGATTTGACTCAGTTGATGGCAGAAGAGAGGAAATTGGGAGTTGATGTTGAAGGTTTCAATAAAGCCATGGATGAAGCAAGAGAAAGATCAAGAAGTGCCCAAACTAAGGTATAGCTGGCTTTATCAGTTTCTTGTGGATTTGTTATCATTATTACTTAGTAACATCGTTCCCTTTTTTGTTGATCTTAAAAGTGAATTTATGGAATCTAGTTAAGATCTTTCCATTTGTTTTCACAAGCATTTGGCTAATATAGACCTTTTGGCAGCAAGCTGGTGGTGCTATTGTCATGGATGCGGATGCTACATCTGCATTGCACAAGAAGGGTGTTTCTGCGACAGATGATTCCTACAAATATATTTGGTTCCAGGTTAGAATATTACTTTCTAGGTTAAGGTTATCTTGCCCTTCCTATCTCATTCTTCTCTACTCTTTTTCAGGATCATGAATCGTCAATTAAAGCCATATACACAGGTTCTGAGTTCTCAGAAAGTGCCTCTCTTGGCAATGAAGTTGGCATAGTTCTCCAATCTACTAGTTTCTATGCCGAACAAGGTGGTCAGGTAATCACCAGCCGAGGAAATGGCTCTTTGCTATTGTATTCTTAACATCGAAAGATGTTTATTATTCTCATTTATGCGTTGATACTTCCCTGTTACGGTATGGAATCATACAGTCTGAGTTTGCATATACATATATATTTGTTAAATCAAGGTGAAGTTTGTGGTGTGCTCTTGATGTTTTTTCCCCATTCTACTTTCTTAAGATTATGTATTATTGGTTCGTGTAATGAGACTTGTTTTCTTCTAGATTTTTGACACTGGGTTACTTGACGGATCATTTGGTTCCTTTGAGGTTCGCAATGTCCAAATATTTGGAGGATTTATCCTTCATATTGGTTCGCTTACTGGAGGCACAGGAAAATTCTCAGTCGGGGAGAAGGTTATCTGTAAGGTAGTTAAAATTGTAATTACTTGACTGCCTTCTTAGTATATTGGTATTTTAGTGTACCATTGATGTAAATGCTTCAATTTTTACCTTGTTGTTTGTTCAGGTTGATTATGAGAGACGCAAACTCATAGCACCCAACCATACTTGTACACACATGTTGAACTTTGCTCTTAGAGTAAGTCCCTTATTCTCCCCACAGAAATTCTTATTATTTTGAAAAAAGCACTTCTGTGATTGTGTCCTGATCTGAAATCAGGAGGTCCTTGGTAATCACATTGACCAGAAGGGATCTATTGTCCTCCCCGAAAAGTTAAGATTCGACTTCAGTCATGGTGAGCCTTTTCCGGTGGTTCATAATGTTCCGTCCAATTGTTAGGAACGTTTAATTTGCCTACCTACAGATGGTAGCTAATTTGATCAATGATCTTGTAGGAAAACCTGTGGATGCTGAGGTTTTAAGAAATATTGAGGCAATTGTGAATGAACAAATTAAGGCCGAGTTAGATGTATATGCTAAGGAAGTGAGCCTGGCTGATGCTAAGCAGATTAATGGTTTGCGAGCTGTTTTCGGTGAAGTACGTAATGCACATAACCTGCAATTGGCGTTTTTAAAAGTAGTATATGTACCTATATATCATGAATTCTTTGTTCATTGTCTCTGTTATGATTTAGGTCTATCCTGACCCTGTTAGAGTGGTTGCGATCGGTCGTAATGTTGAAGAACTTGTGTCTAACCCAGATAACAGTGAATGGCTGTCACTTTCAACAGAGCTCTGTGGAGGTTTGTTTTTTAAAAAAATGTCTCTTCAAGGCTCTTGTTCTTCACATACTTTTAGGTGTAGCGCGACCTACCCTTGTGGAAATATTTGACAGGAACACATATTACAAACACAAAGGAAGCTAAAGCATTTGCTCTTCTGTCCGAGGAGGGAATTGCAAAAGGGATCAGACGGATTACTGCAGTTACAACCGACAGTGCTTTTAAAGCATTGGAATTGGCATGCTCGCTTGAGCTCGAAGTTGACGAAGCATTGAAAGAAGATGGAAGTGCACTGGAAAAGGTTGCTCCTATCAAAAGTTGATGATACATCAAAGACAATATTCCTTGTAGTCTCCACATATGCTTGCTTTTTTGGCTCATTGTTTGCTTATAATTAAACAGAAAGTCGCATCTTTGAAGAGTCGTGTGGATGCGGCAACTATTCCAGCAGCCAAGAAAGCTGGTCTGAAGTCCAAAATGAAAGAGCTTCAGGTATTTGCCGACACTTGACTGTCAATGCTTTATCCTCCATTCCTTATCCTGGCGGAATTTTCATTAGCCCATCTAGTTTCTGCTGCAGTGCTGCCTCTTGCCCTATAATTACACTGAAATGTTCTGAAATCTTATCAGACCAAAGTGAGAAATCTACAGAAGAAGATTGCTGGAGAAAACATGCAGAAGGCTGTGCAGGTAGCAACGGAGATTGCTGAAACTGCTGCATCAGAAGGCAAATCATTTTGCATCTCGAGAGTCGATGTAGGTTCGGATGCAGCTGCAGTTCGCGAGGCTGTGTTGAAAGTCCTAGACCGGAAGGTGTGTTTTGTTTTATGCTTGGCCGCATATGCTGTGCTAGTGATACCATGGGTGCAAAGAAATTGGAACAAAAACAAAGTATTTTTTTTCTTTCTTCTGAAGCGGGCTGTGTGCTATATTATTTGCCAGGGGATCTCGATTATGGTTATCAGCACTGATGAAACCACAAACAAAGCGGTGGTGTGTGCTGGAGTGCCCAGCAAGTCGAACAAGGTGAAGCAGTTGGAGGTTTCTGAGTGGTTGAGCAATGCTTTGGGGCCTCTGAAAGGATATTGTGGCAGAGGAAAAGACGGTGTTGCCACAGGCCAGGTTGGTAGTTTTGAGTGAGAATTCAGTCTCCTCATTTTCTAACTCAGCATACGTAATGATGTGAGTTGAATGATCTCTCTCCCTCTTTCAGGGGCCCGATGCTTCGAATGTGGACGAGGCCGTGGATGTGGCGACGAAGTTCGCTGACCTGAAGTTGCGATGAGGATGATGTGGAATGTAGAATGTTTGACAGTTACTTAGCTTAAATGAATGAACAAAACAATGGAAATCGTCGTACCAGTTTGGCTGGAATCTGTTGTTTTGCCTCTTTTCTACTTTGGTCACTGTAGTACCTTCTATGATCAACTATTAGAAAGGCAAACGTTGATATATCTTTGGTGAATTGCCTTGAAATTGAATAGATCGAGTTGCAAATTTCATGGGAAACAAGAACAAGAAATGTGAAGTTATTTTACGAGTTTTACTATAAGCAATTGCAGCGGAAGTCGAGAGGGGTAATTGATGTCATTAGAGGGATCGGTAAATGTACAACTTAATAGAAGTTGGACTGGGAATTAAGACTTTTGGCTTGAGGAGTGAGCATTAGCAAATGAGCCGAGTTGAGTTGTGACCTAATTATTCGGGCTCATCTCGTCAGAAAGTGTATTAACTTGATCTTTTTTTTTCAGAGTAAGAGGTGGAAAGGATGTTAAGAATAGTGATGGTGATTAGGGGATTGAGACAAGGTGACCGCCTTTTCCCATGTTTGTTCGAGAGCAAAAGTTTCGTAGTGATTTTCATATGGGTGTGGAACAAAGTAGATGTATGGTTATACATTCTATGTGTCGAGTATTGACTTCTTAAAGAGGTATTATTATTTTCTGCTCATTATCTCGTACTTGCTATTTTTCGGATGTACACATTGTGCATCACTTTCTTTATTAAATAGTGGTTTTGATTTTGAATAAGGGGCTTGCTATTTGCCGCCAACCAAATTGCTATTTGCCGCCAACCAAAAAAAAAGTATATATATGCATCTTTGGTTAAGGAGTTTCACAATCTACAACATATCCAACTTTCAGAGAACGTATTTAATCAGAAAAATTCAACGCTCGCCGGAAAAGTCGCCGGAAAGTCGCCGGAAAATCATCGATGAAAAAAAATGTATATATATACATCTTTGGTTAAGGAGTTTCACAATCTACAACATATCCAACTTTCAGAGAACGTATTGAATCAGAAAAATTCAACGCTCGCCGGAAAAGTAGTCGGAAAATCATCGGGAAAGCCTATCCTCGACATATAATGCGTACACGCATCCATGAATCATCACTAACCATCAGACAATGTGGGCAAAGTGCTACACGAACCATGTGTTTCAAACCCTAAACCCTAAGTGAACCCTGAACCCTAAACCCTTTGTTGATGTGACTTGAATCGGACTATCAGCCGCTACGACTGGTAATCGGGGGTCTCGCTGCCCACGGTGTATGGGCTCAATGTTATTTGGGTTCGGGTTCTGGGCCTGGTCTGTAACTGTTTCCTTTGTCATATTGGATTAGGTTTAGACCCACATGGAGAAGTACTATAAATACTTCGTGTTAGTGAACTACGTAAATCGTGTGTCGTGTTGCAATGCTCTATTTATATGTTGTTGTTTTTCTAGTTGTATTTTTAATGACCCTAGTGTCATTATGAACTTATGAATTTCATTATGGATTTCTAGCGAGTTCGGGGTCGATTGGACGAAGATCGGGCGCGAGGCAAGTCAATCGTCGGTCGCCGGCACCGTTCTTCCGTCGTCGGCTAACCTCCCGTCGCCCTCAATCGTCGGAAAACAAGTAAGTTTACTTTTTCCGGCCAGTTTTCCAGTTTTCCGGCGAAAAACACGGCGGGCCGAAAAAAATTTGTGGCCGGGACGACGGCCGGCCGAAAAATTCTTTCGGCCCGGCGACGCCACGGCCGCAAATTTTTTTCGGCCGGCCGACGAACACGCCGCCGGAAAATTTTTGGCCGGCGTGTTCGGCGACCGGCCGAAAAAAATTCTTTCGGCCCGACGTCGCTCCGGCCGCAAATTTTTTTCGGCCGGCCGGAGAACACGCCGCCGGAAAATTTTTGGCCGGCGTGTTCGGCGACCGGCCGAAAAAAATTTGCGGCCGTGGCGTCGCCGGGCGAAAGAATTTTTCGGCCGGCCGTCGTCCCGGCCACAAATTTTTTTCGGCTCGGCGACGTTCGGGCCGCAATTTTTTTTCGGCCCGCCGTGTTTTTCGCCGGAAAACTGGAAAACTGGCCGGAAAAAGTAAACTTACTTGTTTTCCGACGATTGAGGGCGACGGGAGGTTAGCCGACGACGGAAGAACGGTGCCGGCGACGGAGGCACTGGGAAGGAAGGGAAAATTCAAAATTTAAATTTTTTTTTTTTACCGGCGACGGAGGCACTGGGAAGGAATAGAAAATTCAAATTTTGAATTTTTTTTTTTTTAGTTGGCGGCAAATAGCAATTTGATTGGCGGCAAATAGCCGTTCACTTGAATAAAGCATACAATGGATGGCTGTCTATGAAATTAGCGTCATTGCTTCAACGCCCTCCATTTTTAGCTTAGGAATAAGTATCCATATAACAATATAAGCTCAATGCATATAACAAGTAGCCTAGTGATTGACATACTTGTATAGTTAATGATATTATAGGATTCCTTATCCTTGTTTGCATTAATATATTCTAAACTTTTTCAAATTAGATTCATTATTTCAAATGTTTAAAAATTATTTTGTTTTATTTTAAACTCATACTGATTAAAAATAAGAAAACATATAATACATAATCATTACTATGATTCAAACACATAACCTGCAAGTATCAAATTATTAGTGTAAAGTTTCTAATCAATAAGATAATTATACTAATTGCAAAACTTACAAGATAAACTCCATTAATTATGTTAATTATTATTATAACAAGATTGTGACTATCATGTCACCGAACGTGTTTAAGGCACTACCTCTTATTCGTGACGTTTTCACTTAAGCGATAGAACCGATAAATGATTATGAATTCATTATGATTTCAAATTATTAATAAGAGTAAAAATAATCGATAAATGACGGAGAATAAAACAAGCTATATCTTAAAGATTTGATCTATTTACATAATGACATAAAAAAGAAAGAATCATCACTTTTTGAATTGGAACCTTCTGATTAATATCTACAAAATATATAAAGGGGTTTCTCAAAACCACCCTCCCCGTTCAAATTTTCTCGTCCTCCCCGCAATTCTCGGATTTTCCCTTTTTTATGCTTCTTTCTCAAAACTTTCTTCTACAACATTTTATGATTTTATCCATACTAGTGTGGGCCCCGACCATTTGGCCGGAGGAAGGTGAGGTATGAAATTTGATAATGTAATTGGGTGTATAGTTTTTTTTGTAAACACGTGATAAAAATAGTGAATTTTAGTAGGAAAGAGACATGAATGATGCAACGAATCAAAAATCAGCCTTATGAAACAAAATCAAGTACCTGTTACCTTGTGAAACTATATTGTTTCTGGTAATATAATGAGTTGGAGTAAGTTTTATATAAACCGAATTCCAGAAAATCGAATAAAAAATCGCCTATCCCGCCGGTTTTCGAGAAATGAGCATCTCACAATCGTTGCTAGCTTTTACTCGGTTCGTTAGCCGATTAATTTGCTTTATAAAACTTTCATCTTGTTGTAACAATAAACAGATTTGTATGTTTTTGTAAGACTATTGTACTGATTTTGGGATCTAAGGAATTGGGAGGGAAAGGTAATGGACAGCGAAGCCGATGGAATTTGCTGATCAAAATAAGGCGATAATTGGGGGAAAGGAAATGAGTCTCCCCTTCAACGGACATTTACCAGACGCTTTGGAATTGGAATGGAATTCTCGGCCTGCACTACCTGACATGATCACCTCATATAAAAGTGAGCATCTAACTGAGTAGCTTGCGGCCAGCCATTGTACCTCTATATATATATATATATATATATATATATATATATATATATATATATATATATATATATATATATATATATATATATATATATATTATAAACTAGCTTTTTATCGGTCCGTTGGCCGGAAAGATTTATTTTATAATTTATATTAATCAACTTATTTATATGTCTAAATCATTTTTGAGTTTCTAAATATTTTGGGTTTTTGATTCATAACAGAGTTTGTAATATGTCTATATTGAAAATTCCCAATATTTAGCATACCTACTTGTGATGCTTCGGTTTTCTAATCATAAATGATGTCACTGTCACGTCTCATTTAGAACTTATGTCAACATTTGTCAACCAAAACACTAATGTTTAGCATACGCCAACCAGAACCCCCCCCCCCCCCACACACACAATATAATATATATATATAGTTCAACCTAGCGTGCACTAGGAGTACGCTATACTCTTGCGTTCACACTACCATACGACCATTGAGTTTTACTATTTAGACCCCAAACTAACCAAAGTTTTTTGGGGCATGATACTATACCCTAACCTCTAATAGGTTAACTCCAGTCCCAAATTCTCTAACCTCTAATTTATGCACATACTTCTTCATACTTATCTTCTATCGTATCTTTAGTAAAATAAAAAGTATAGTATACCTTGATATTGGGGTGGCGTCTACGGTATCCTGGGTGAAATCTTAGGTACCGCATACCTTAAGTATGAAAATGCTATCGAGACCTCGAATTAGCAGGATTTTTTGACCGAATAATATACTCTAACCCTTAATGAGTGAATCCTAGGTCCTAATTATCAAAATTATAAACTATAAACCCTAAGATGGTGCATTCAATTTTTGCCTATATTTGGACGAATCATAATCGTCGATCATTGTTTCTAATTAAGTTGATTTTAGGGTATAAGATTTAGAGAATTAAAACCTAGATTTTGATATCTAAGGGTTGGAGTATAGTATCATGTCTGAAAGATCAGTCAATTCAAGGTCTGGATAACGTTTTCATACTCAAGGTATGCGGTACCCTGAATTTCACGCTAGGTACCATAGAACTCACCCCTTGATATTATATATATGTATGTGTGTGTATCTATAGTGGACTAAAAAATATCCAGATACTTCATCAGACCTATATCCTATCTCGCGTAATACTCATATTAAAAGAATAAAAGTGCTACTTGCCTATCCCCCACCCCCGGGATAGAGATCTCGCTTTTACCCCCATAACGTCAGACAACCATTGGGGTTGTCTATCGTTCGATATGTAATATATAAAGAGGCAAATCCTAAGATTATGCTATTTATTTCTTATCCTCTCCCACATCCCCCTTTATGAAGAATAAAAGGGTAGGGATGACAGGATCATAGCTCGATATGGTTTTATTCTGTTCATCGTATCAGAGTTTTTTTTTCTTTGCTATTTTTGGGCTTCTTTTCATTCCTCTTTAGCACCTATGGTTGTGATCATAGGTATTTAGTCCCCGAAAGGGATTGGGATTTTTGGTTATTTCGAAATCCAATACACATTCATGATCCTCGAGTTTGGACGAACTCTCGACCAATGTTGTAAAGATACTTTCATTATTGGATCAATTTATTCAACCATATCGAAACTTGACACACACTGTAGCCCTCATGATGATTAAATTCTCTAATCTCGACTCATTCCATTTTGGATGTTAGTTTTTTTATCAAGACACTTAAATTTAGTATATTATACAATAGTATCAATTGTTAATTCTTGACATTTAGACTAAAGCGTAATTCCAATGTCTTTTCAAGAATGGCGTGAAGCTTTGGTTTGGCTGTGTAAAGCCAGTTCAGTTCTCCTCGGCAATGATTCAATGCTTTCCTGGCCTGTGTTCAAAGGCATCTCAACCCATGGTCATTGTTTATAAGTTGGCTTAGAATCTCAATCTAAAACACTTACACATACTATAGAGGTTTTTGGTCTTAACATGGTCGTTGAATGTGTAATTTTCAAAGATTTTATCACTTATATATTAATAATTGATAAAGAGTGTCTACAATACACACATATTTCAAGTGCATTTAAAATGTCTTATCATTTGAACAATATCGGTGGATTTCATTTGATTATCTACATTAACTTAATTATCTTATACAACATATATCAATTCGTATTCTTGAGTTTGGAGGAACTGACAACCAATTTTGAGAGTTGAGATGATTGGATAAAGATAATTGATTGTTGGATAAATATGTTTATTCCCATTGACTATCTTACTAAAAATTGTCAACCTATATTTGCTAAATGCCTAGGTTATTAGTTGATGAATCTTCCTCTTCATTTGAGGAGTTTAAGATAGAACATGATCTGAATGAATAAGAAGTCTTTTTTAAATAAATAACTGTAACTACTCGATCAAGATTATACTCTAACATTTTGCTAAATAATAATTTTTTTATTTTATAAATATATACTTTACGAATAAGTGAGTGTTTCATTGCAACAAAATATAAAGTAATACAGTTTATTTTTCAAAGTTAATTGAATGTCAAATATTTATTTTCTCTCTTTTCATATATTTTGTTTAATCGATAAAAACATTATTATTTATGTGTATGTTTGTTTAATTTTTTCATCAAAATTAAACTTATCATTCAATTTTAGTAAAAATGAGTAGAAAATTTACTTCATAAAGTTTAATCATATATTTTTTATTTGAACAAATGTGATATGTGTCACTCTCTATTTTCTTATTTATATTTTATTTACTTGATAAAAAATTATTATTTATGTGTGTTTGGTTAATTTTATCAACATGTAACTTATTATTAAAGCAAAATAATAAAAAAATGGATAAAATAAAAAGAATAATTGGATAAAAGAAAATGAAATATTAAAGAAGAGAGAGGTACGTAGCTCCATTAATACATTAATATCTAATTTTTTTGTTTGTAAAAAAGTTGTCTAACTTGACAAATTGTGGATCCTCCAAGTGCTTATGTAGCAAGAGATTGGTTTTGAATTGTCATAATATATATATATGGTGGCGTATTCGGTGCACCCACTTTTTCGGGTGCACTCAGTGCACCCGCCTCATAATTATCATTCTGAGCATGCGATTCATATCAAAACGGTATCAATTGTAGCTTATGATATTATGAACAAGAAGCACATAAATTTGAAAAAAATTCATTCCAAATTCACTTTAATTCGAAGGATTTAGGATTAGGGATTTAGGGTTAGGGTTTAGGTTTACAATTTGGGATTTTGGGTTGGGATTCAAAATTGAAGGTTAAGGGGATAGGGTAATGGATTGATTTGTTATGATTCTATGTCATATCATCATATTATATTGAGAGTACTAATTAAAGTTCAAAATCGATGTATTATGGACGCTTTTAGAGTTGGGTGCACTGAGTGCACCCAAAAAAGTGAGTGCACCGAAGTAGCCACCATATATATATATATATATATATATATATATATATATAGATAGATAGATATAGATATAGATAGATATATAAAATAGATGGTCAATATTGTCACACGCTCTACTTATCCTATGTTTAGCAAGCTGTGTGGATCATGAATTAATTGCGATTTAGGTCATATGATATAATATCCAAATTTTTAGTGAGTGAACCGCATACTCTAATTTTCGAAACCCAAACTATAAACCAAGTAGTGTAGATAGAATTTTATACATGGTGGTTTGATTTTTTTTAATTCCACTATTTTAATTTTGGACTTATTACCATATCACAAAGCCCGAATTGTAGGCTCGTATTTCGAAAAAATCAAGACACATTCATATGATACTCATATCAATATAAACTATCATATACTCATTCATTATTTTGTTTGTCATTAATTTTTGAAGAGTGTTTTTCATGTAGCTTATTGCAAATATATTTTCTATAAGTGCAGTGCAAGTTTCAATAGGAAGAGGATTTGGTAGAAGAAAGAGTAATAAAATTTAGAATTTAATATTTGAAGGATGAATTTTTTATTTAATTTTAATATTATTTATGTAGAAATTAAAATGTAATACCAATATAAACGTAAAAAAACTAAGTGCTGTTATTTGAAGTTCATATAAAATAACAAACCACCCACGGCGGCAATTAGGCTGGAAGTTTGGTACCGGTATTTGGGATATACCGAATACCGTACCGAATTTGTGTATATTTGGTATTACCGAATATACGTATTATTTCTTGGAATTGGGATTGAGATTGAATTTCAATTGTAATTCGGTATTAGGGATTACGGGATTGGAATCGGTATATACCGAAATACCGATCAATACCGAAATATAAGCTAGTGTATATTTTATCCTGTCAACTAGACTCTCTCATTCACTACTACACGATCCTCAACCACCAAGAGTGTCATTTAATTATACGTAGATCATTCCATCTTTGTTTTACAACTCAGAAGTCCCCATCCAACTCAATTATGATTTTCCAATTTAAGTCACTCTCATCTCTCACCTAATCACTTGTTCATAACCCCAAAAAGCAAACACTAGTATTAGTCGTCTCTCAGTCTCCAATTCGTCAAATTAAAGATTACCAATGACAAGAACTTGAGATGTCACTCTCCTTCATTCTCCTTATCCATATCCTAGCTATAGGCAAACTCAAGACTCTTCGCTTAGTCTCTTTGCTCTAAATTAAACAATCAAATCTAATTTATATATTTAATTATTTAATTCAAATATAATTAATTTGGTATTCGATAATACCGATTGGGATACCGAAGTACCGATTGGGATACCGGAATATTTAGGGATTGGGATTGGGATACCGAAATTATTTAGGGATTGGGATTGGGATTGACTTTCGAATGTAATTCGGTATTCAGGATTTCGATATTTGGTATTGGGATACCGATACCGTACCGATTTCCACTCCTAGTGTCAATAGTGTGTGCTATGAGGCCCTCCAACTAGAGGGCCTCCATGTAAAGTCTCTTAGGTACTCAAAATATATTAGTGGCGGAGGGAGAGTGTGAGAGGGTGGGTCCCGGGACCCACCCTGGATGGGAAGGAAAATGGTTAATTAGTTATAATAATTGATTTATATTGAAAACTAGGAGGTGTCTAATTGAGAATAGCTGATCGAAAAGTCTTGTGTTCGAATCATGGCGACCTCATTTATTAAGCAAACGATATTCAGATTTGTGCAAACTTCAATTATGTATAAGCAGACTTTCTTATGAGAGAGCGTGCTAGTAAATTGTATAAGATATATATTGAACCTCTCCCGATAACTCGAGTTATTGATATTGAATGGTTCAAGACAAAGAACATCATTAAAAAATGAGCAACTAACTAAGTCATTAATTATTGTTTGGTACAATTTCATTATTAAAACTCTCTCAACAACTCGAATTATTGATACTAAATGGTTCTTGATAGAACACCATTAAAAAAGAATGACTAACTAAAACATTAATAGTTGTTTGGAACATAGAGTGATATTCTTGATATTAAACGGTTCTTGACAAAGAACAACATTCGAAAGAGAACGACTAACTAAATCATAAATTCTTGATAGTTTTGCCTACTAATGTATTTTAATTTATCAGAATTCACCAATATAAGATTATATCATGAATGACTAGCAAAGTTATCAAAAATTATTTAATTATGTGTGTTTTTTTCTAAGCGGACCCACCTTAGACAAAATTCTGGCTACGCCACGGTATATAAATATATGTTTAACTTGTAGTAGTGTATGACTAATTGATTATGAGTATGATTATGAGTTTAAATCAGTTAATTATAGTTAGTGTTGATCATTTGTCAATATTCTCATATATTTAGATTATCTTTTGAAAGTTTAATCTATGTCCTAGAAGGCTAAAATGATAGCCTTAATGGATTTGTTCTGAAGACCATTGAAAATGTATAATCTCCTAGAAAATATGCAATTTTAAAAACTAAAAAGTCATGGTATTTGAAACCCTAGCAGGAAAGGCAAAAGGTTTTAAATCACGATTTAATGATAATTTTCATTTTACTATGAATAAAATTATTTCGATAATATCTTCAGTCTAAAGCATCACCTCACCTGTCCTCCACATTTCATCGCTGCAAACCACTCGTCTCTTTTTGCTGCAAATTAAACCACCGAGTTTAGAGAGATGAGAGTTTCTAGTGAGAGAAACGGTCGTCCGTGTGAGTTCCCCCTTGTGAGAAAGGTGAGAGCGAGCTCCTCTGTTAGGGGACGCCTTGAGAGTTTTCCTTCTTCTTTTTGCAGGTACCCAGCGTATGGTGGAGAGGCACAAAGCGCTATATTGGGAAAGCATCCTAGAGGAATAGAGATAGGCAACAAGCTCATTTATGTGAACACCATTTCCGGGCGTGATGGAGTTCTAGTCAAACTATCTGTTGTGGAAAGAACTGGGAAAGTGTATCATGTGCTGTTCGATTCTAGCCAAGCGGAGTGGATGATTAGCTCGCTCCAAACCGCCGAGCTGAAAGGTTGGGTGTTCCCAGCCTGTAACGTTAAGAGAAGTGGTGGCAGAGTCATTCACTTGGGAAGGTTTGAGAACAGGAGGAGAAGCTTCCTAAAACTTTCGGAATCCTTATGGGCTAGGTGTACCTTCTTCGTGATTATCCCCTCGGAGAACAGCCATGGTTGCTGGCGATCTTTGACCAGTGTTGAGGGAAACGGTAACGTTTCCATGTAGATAGGTTAGATAGGTTATTGGTTCATGGTTGAACCGGTCAGATAGGTTAGGAGTTAACCAGTGTATAGATTAGTTGAGTTGTAAGAGTCATATATAAAGGGAAAGAATCCCTACTGTACAAACACGATTTCCAGTTTATTGATTCAATCTATTGAGAATTTGACATGGTATCAGAGCCATCAGGGCGTTCTTGATTCTTCTTTCGTTTCTTTGCAAATTCCTTCGATTCATTCCTTTTCTGCAACAATGGCGTTTGCCAATCAGACCTCTGTCCCACCGCAACAGTCGATTCCTTCGTCTATTCCTCCGCTCCGCACTCCACCTCTGGTGATCTCGATCCCAATAGTCCATACTTCATCCATCTAGCTGAGAGTCTCAGCCAACAGTTGGTTTCTCCTGTTCTTGACGAAGCCAATTACTCCACCTGGTAGCGCGCCATGATTCGAGCTCTATCAACGAAGAACAAGCTGCAATTCCTCGACGGCACCATCGCGAAGCCTGCTCCTGGCGATCCTCTCTTCCGTGCCTGGTCAAGAAATAACACATTGCTTCTTGGATGGATTCTTCGCTCTGTCTCTCCATCGATTGCCCTAGGGTTTCAATGGTTTGAAGACGCTCTCCTGGTCTGGAATGAGTTACGCGAACGCTTCTCTCGCGGTAACAATTTTCGCATCGCTGAGCTTCAAGAGGATCTTTTCCGATTCAAGCAAGGTTCGCAGTCTGTAAGTGCTTACTTCACACAGATGACTACTTGGATGCATGAACTGGATAACTTCTTGCCGATTCCTCCTTGTCGATGCAATGGTCTGTGCAACTGTGGTTTGGCTATAGTGCGTCAGAATCACCAAATCAACTATGTGCTTAGGTTTGTTAGGGGACTCAATGATTCTTTTGCTGCTGCTCGGTCTCAGATTATGTTGATGAACCCTATGCCTAGCCTAAACCAAGCCTTTGCTATGATCATTGAGCAAGAAAAACAGAATCGCATCTTAGCTCCACCTTCCTTGCCTGATTCAATGGCAATGTACTCTAGAGGTTTCCCTCCTGGTAGGAATCAGTCTTATCCTCCTCCGAGATCTCCTTATCCCACTCCTAATCCTTCCACTAATCCTCAGCCGCCTCATCCTGGTAGTAATCGGCCATTCTGCACTCATTGCCACTCTTATGGTCACACTGTTGACAAATGCTACAAACTCCATGGTTTTCCTCCTGGGTACAAAGGGAAGGCCAAAGCTCATTGTGTATCCACAGAGGATGGTTCTTCTGATGACTCCACACATCCAGTTCATCCTGCCATTCCATTCCAGCCTCAAGAATGGAATCAAATCCAAGAGACTTACCAGAAGATGACTCAGTTTATGCAGTCCCAGTACTTCCAACAACAGTCTCCTTACTCTGATATGGCTCAGGCTTCTACTTCTGCTCAGCCTCATCCTAACTACAGCACTCCAACTTCTACTTCTGAGTTTCCAGTCTCTCGTGGACTTCCTTCTGCAAGTCAGGCTTGTTCCACACTACTCTTGCTCCTCCCACACCATCAGGTACAGTTTCTGTTATCCAATCCTCTTGTATTTTAGTTAATACATCGCCTAAATGGATACTTGATACGGGCGCCACTGATCATATAGTTAGTTCCCTAGAATATCTTGATAACTATAGGTCTGTTTCCCCAGCATATGTTTATCTTCCTAATGGAGATAAAGCTTTAATTACCCATATAGGACAGTGTCGTGTTTTTCCTTCTCTTCCTTTACACGATGTTCTTCTTGTTCTTAGTTTTACATTCAACTTAATCTCTGTAAGCAAGTTGGCAGCCAAGGTAGCACTTGGACTGACCTTTGCTCGTTCCCACTGCCTCCTACAGGACCTTCAGTCACTGAGGACGATTGGTATAGCTAATCTCCGAGATGGCTTCTACCAACTGGATCCTCATGCTGATGGATTGTCACCTTCACATTTTTCCAACTCTGTTCAGAGCCCTTCTACCTCACAAACCAGCATTGATCTCTGGCACTATCGTTTAGGACATCTTCCCTATACCAAGTTTTCACTCTTGCATTCCATAGATCCTGTTATTACTATGAATAAGCATTTTCATTGTTCTGTATGTCCCTGTGCAAAACAGAAACGATTGTCCTTTCCTATTAGTCAAACTGTATCTGCTCACTGTTTTGACCTTCTACATATTGATATATGGGGTGCTGCTTCCATTACTTCTAATTCTGGTCATCTCTATTTCCTAACAGTAGTCGATGATTGTTCTAGACATACATGGTTGTTTCTGATGAAATCAAAATCAGAAGTTAGACCTTTGTTAAAATCTTTCTACACATTCGTTTTGACTCAATATGACAAGAAAATTAAGTCTATACGAACTGATAATGGACAAGAATTCTTGTATAATGATTTTTACACTGAACATGGCATTTTTCATCAACGTACTTGTGTTCAAACATCCCAACAAAATGGAATTGTAGAACGAAAACACCAGCATTTACTTGCCATGACACGAGCATTACTTTTTCAATCTTCTCTTCCTTCTACTTATTGGAATCATGCTGTGAGTCATTCTGTTCATATTATTAATCGTCTTCCTTCTCCACTCTTAGCCAATAAGAGTCCTTATGAATTACTCCATGCTAAGTCACCTAGTTATTCTCATCTTAGGGTGTTTGGTTCTCTGTGCTATGCTTCCACATTATCACACAATAGATCCAAGTTAGCTCCACGAGCTACTCCTAGTGTTTTCCTAGGTTATGTTCCAGGAACAAAAGGCTATAAGCTTCTCAATATTCAAACTAAAGAAGTTTTTGTATCTCGTGATGTCACATTTTATGAGAATATTTTTCCTTTTGCTTCTCCCCATCTTACTGCTCCCTCTCCCCTTTCCACTACTCCCACTGATCTTTCCACCATCATTTCTTTTGACACACCCCTTCATTTACACACTAGTACCCCTTCCCCTCCACCTACTGTTGACATCATTCCCCAACCATCACCCACCCTTACCTCTTCACCAGCAGACCCTCACACAACATATCACCAACCAGCACAACCACAGCCACGCAGATCCACTAGACAAAGTCACCCTCCATCATACCTATCCAATTATCACCATAATCTCTGAATGTCAAATTTTTATTTTCTCTCTTTTCATATATATATTTTGTTTAATTGATAAAAATTTATTGTTTATGTGTATGTTTGTTTAATTTTTTTTATCAAAATGTAACTTATCATTCAATTTACTAAAAATAAGTAGAAAATTTTCTTCATAAGATTTAATCAGATATTTTTTTATTTAAATGAATATGATATATATCACTCTCTGTTTTCTTATTTATATCTTGTTTACTTGACAAAAAAAATATTATTTATGTGTTTTTTATTAATTTATTAAAATTTAACTTATTATTAAAGAAAAAAAAAGAATAATGGGATAAATGGAAAAGAATAATTGGATAAAATAAATGAAAATATTAAATAAGATCAAAATGTAACTTATCATTCAATTTAGTAAAAATGAGTAGAAAATTTTCTTCATAAGATTTAATCAGATATTTTTTATTTAAATGAATGTGATATATATCACTCTCTGTTTTCTTATTTATATCTTGTTTACTTGAAAAAAATATTATTTATGTGTTTTTTATTAATTTTATTAACATGTCACTTATTATTAAATAAAAAAAGAATAATTGGATAAATGAAAAAGAATAATTGGATAAAAGAAATGAAAATAATAAAGAATAGAGAGAGAGCTCCATAAATACATTAATAACTAATTTTTTTGTTTGTAAAAAAGTGGTCCAACTTGGCAAATTGTGGATCCTCCGAGTGCTTATGTGGCAATAGATTACTTTTGAATTGCCATAATATATTTTATAGATAGATAGATAGATAGATAGATAGATAGGAATGAGAAATGACATCACATTCTCTAATAAGTGAATAAAGTAGTCCATGTCATGGTTCGTGTCGGAGCTAAATGAAACTAGTGAGTTATCTAAATTGAAAAGCATTTAATTTATTTGATTAATCAGTTGAAACTGATGTATCAACTTCTACTAATTAATGGGTAAATACCTCGGCTACCACTAAAGTATGAGAATTGGAGGAGTTATACTATTTTAGTTTGAATAGGGCGTCAGGTACCACTGAACTCTATTATATGTGTAGCCAGTACCACTTAAGTTTACCCCTAGGTGGATTCCGTTAAAGTTAACAGTATATTCTTGGAATATTATGTTTTCTAAATTTCAGAAATGGTTCTTCTACTTCTTCTTATTGTAAAAAAATTCTTTGGATTTATGAAAAACATCATTTTTTTGTTTTATTTTTTAGTTCGAATCTTCTTTTGATGACTCTGGTACCTAACCAATATTTGAATATGAGAAATCTATGATCAATTACCATTATAAATATTTTCAATTATCATTATGTGTTCTAATAATTGAATTACTTCTTGAAGCAAATATATCCTGTGAATTTTATCCCGATATAAATAATCTGAGAATGTTATATTTAATTCACTTACATCATTTTAGTGGTGTTTTTAATTGAATTAGGGGTTTAAATAGATCTTTTCATATTAATTTTAATTCTTTATTATTATCTTTTAGTATATTTATTATTCCTTTCTGATATTCATTTATTATTTTTACTAATTTATCTATTATATTGAAAAACATTATTAGCCATTCTAGTAGTACTATGTGTAGAAGGTTTTCTAATTTTTATATTATATAATACTTGTTGAAATTTCGTCCTTCAGAGCGTGTCAAAGACGGTTTTCGAATTCCTCGGGAGGTGAAGAAAAAGGGGGAAGAGCGCTGGAAGGATTGCCTTATTGGGCAATTTGTTGGAGCTCAACCTAAGGTAGCACAGCTCCAGACCTGGGCTACTGGCATTTGGGGGAGAGACGAAATGGTGCGTGTTTCGCGATTTGGTGATCGATTGTTCGTCTTCCAGTTCCCATCTTCGTCTACAAGTCAGTGGGTCTTTCGATCTGGACCGTGGCACTTTCAGGGAAATCAGCTCTATCTCAGGAAATGGGTCCCGGATATTCAACTAGTGACTCCTCTTGTGGAGCCTCATCCCATCTAGGTGATTATCAGAGGTTTACCGCTGGAGTATCACTCACTGGAAGGTTTGGAATGGGTCGCCAGTACGCTTGGGCCGCCTCTCTAGATGGATAAAATGACCAGGGTGGGTGGGCAGCTGGGATTTGCCAAGGTTTGTGTGGATCTGACAGCGGAGTGTGGCTTCCCTTCAAAGGTTCGACTCTATCCTGATGATGATCCGTTTTTTGAAGTGGATGTTGATTATCTGAATCTGCCTAGAGTTTGCTCGGATTGCCAAGTTTTTGGTCACGATTGTTCAGCTAATGCTTTGAGTAATAAAAGATGGGTAGTCAAAGGGACAGCAAAGGCTCCTGAGGCCAGTTCTGAAGCTTTAGTTTTTCAGGATGTTTCATCCGTTGGTATGCAGTCTGAGATTGTAACTGTGGAAAGTGAGACTGGGGTTAGTGCTGATTTGAATTCCAAAGGGAAGGAGGTTGCAGATCAGTCTCTTTGTTCAGGATAGGGTGCTCCTACTCCTTCATCAAATGGGAGTGCTGCTGCTAGGTTTGTTGATGTTGTTGTTGGACCATCAACTCAGGCTGGGAGTCCAAGTCAACAGATGCAAATGCCTGTTGGTACTATCTCACCAGTTTCTGGGAGGGTAGTTCCTCAGACACCTGTAGCAGTAGAGGAGTTGGAACCCAATCCTTGGATAACTGTTGGAAGTTCCAAGAGGAAGCCTAATACACCTCAAATTGCTATGCATGTTGGTCCTCGCAGAGGGGAGGGTAAGAAATAATGAACATACTAGTTTGAAATATTCGGGGTTTTAATGACCCGGATAAAAATAAAGCTGTGCAACAACCAGTTAGTAGATACAGTATAGATATACTAGTAATATTAGAGCCTAGAGTCAGAACTGCCAAGGCTGATGATATAATTCATAAATGGTTTCCTGGTTGGGAGTTCAAAGTATCCAGTAATTCTGCGGGTTTGGGCAAGTTATGGTTGATCTGGAAATCTGATGTTAAGCTCAATATTCTTCATAAAACAGATCAGTTCATTCACTTAGTGGCAGCTTTATGGGTGCCTTTTTTCTCTCAGTGGTGTATGCTTCTAATGAAGAGTTAGATAGAAGAGTTCTTTACAGTAACTTGAAAAAATTCCAAGTTAGTACTACACCATGGGCAGTCTTAGGGGATTTCAATGCAATAGGTGATGTTAGTGAGGCATCTAATGCTCCGCAGTTTTCAGGTAGTATGGCTGATTTCAGGTGTTGGCAATTTGACTGTGATCTGGAAGAGCATAAATCTTCTGGCCCTTGGTTCACGTGGATAAACAAGTAGCTGGGTAACCCTATAGCCAGGAGATTGGATCGGGTGTTTGTTAATACTAAATGGCTGGAGGGGTTAGGTTCTAGTACTATGGATATGTTGGACCCTTCAGTTTCTAACCACTGTCCCATCTTTCTTAATACTGATAGCTCAATAAATTTTCTCGCAAAACTCTTCAAGTTTTTCAAGTTCTGGATTAAGCACCCTCGCTTTATGGAACTGGTTGAGGAAGCCTGGAAGTCAACTGTGGAGGGTTCTCCTCTTGTTTGTGTCTGTAAGAAGGTGAAGATATTAAAAGGCTTACTAAAGAAGCTCAACAAGGATGTTTACTCTGATCTGAGTGAAAGGGTTAGATTAAAATCGGCTGAACTGATGGAAGCACAGGCTGAGGCCTTAAAAAACCCTTCTCCCTCTACTTTTGAAGTAGAGATTAGACTTGCAAGAGAAGCCAAAGAGTTAAGAGAAGCTGAGGAATCTTTTTTCGGTCAGAAATCTAGGGAAGTATGGCTTAAAGAAGGTGACTCCAATACTCCTTATTTTCATAAATCTGTCAAAAGCAGGCAGAAGAGGAACATGATAAGATCCTTGTTGGATGATACTGGTACAAGGGTTACTGATACGATGGAATGTCTATAATAGTAGAGTGTTTCTATCGGAAGTTGCTGGGTGAGAAAGATCAAAAAGTTGTTGTCCCTGAAGTTGACCAGTTAAGAAGAATATTGATGAAAACTTTGCCTCCTGATCCAGCTGAGGGATTATGCACTCCTGTTACAGCTGAGGAAGTCAGATCCACATTGTTTGGTTTTAATGGTGAGAAGGCCCCTAGTCCAGATGGTTTCCCTGCTTGTTTTTTCCAGGCTGCTTGGAGTATAATTGGAGTGGAGGTAACTAATGCAATCCTCTTTTGCTTTCAAGTGTCTCAGATACCTGTTAGTATTAATTCCACCCTCTTAGCACTTATTCCCAAAGTTAAGAACCCTGAGGAAATGAAATTCTTTAGACCAATATCCTACTGTAATATTCTCTATAAGTGTATGGCTAAAATACTAGCAACAAGGCTAAGTTCTGTTATGCCTAGTATTATTAGTGAATCCCTGACAGCTTTTGTTAAGGGTCGAGTTATTGGTGAAAACATTTTGTTGGCTCATGAGTAGGTCCAGAAATATGGTAGAAAGAACATATCTCCTAGATCATTAATCAAAGTATATTTGATGAAGGAATTTGATTCAGTGGACTGGGGCTTCCTATTCAATGTATTGCAAGCTATGGGATTCCCTATTAGGTTCTTAAACTGGTTGAGTATGTGTGTGACTACTCCTAAGTTGAGCATTGGTTTCAATGGAGGTTCAGTAGGGTACTTTTCTGCAAAAAAAGGGTTGAGACAGGGGGATCACTTCTCCCCTTACCTGTTTGCAGTGGCTATGGAAATATTTTCCTGCCTTATGAATGAAGCTGTTCAGCAGAATGCTATGCCATTTCATCCTATGTGCAAGAGACTAGGGTTAACTCATCTTATGTTTGTTGATGATCTTTTGCTTTTCTCTGATGGGTCTAACTCTAGAATTCAAAGTATCAGAGGGTTTTGTCACAGTTCAGGATAATGTCTGGTCTTCAATCTAACCCTGCAAAATGTAAATTATATTGTGGGGGGATCAATGAGCAATGGCAAGTTAATATGGCAAGTTTCTTGAGCTATAAGTTGGGGAAACTCCATGTTCGTTACTTGGGACTTCCCTTGATGGCAGGGAAGCTCACCATAAAAACCTGTACTCCCTTGATTGATAGAGTTACTAGACGAATTTCTAACTGAAAGTCCAAGTCCTTGTCTTATGCTGGTAAGTTCCAGCTGGTTATGTCTGTTTTGTATAGCCTCACACAGTTTTGGATGTCTATCTTTATCCTCCCTAAGGCTGTCATTAGAACTATTGAAAAACTGTGTAGTGACTTCCTTTGGGGGGTAGGAGATGGGGCTAGGAAAAAGGCAGTGGTGGCCTGGTCTAGAATCACTTATCCAAAAATAGAGGGTGGTCTGGGACTTAGGGACATGGCTTCATGGACCTTTGCTTGTGTGATGAGACATATTTGAGCTATCCTACTGCAACAAGGTTCTCTCTGGGTTGCTTGGATTTGGGAATATAGAATTAAGAGGATGGATTTCTGGGTTGTAACTGCTAAAGCAGGCTCCTAGCTATGGCTAAAGTTGTTAAAGTGTAGAGACAAAGATGAGGCCCTGGTTCTCTGTGAATGCTGATGGTGTTTATTGGAAAGGGGTTCAAATGGAGAAATTCAACATAAAGAAAGTGTGGGAGGAAGTCAGGCCAAAGAGAAGTCATGTTGCTTGGAGCTCTCTAGTTTGGAAAGGAACATGTATTCTCAGGAATCAGTTCCTAGTATGGCTTGTCGTGAATGATTATATAGTAACAGGTGATAAAACACAGGGATGATGGGTTGGTGGTCAGGGTTGCACCTTCTGTTCTTGCACCATGGAGACGAGGTCTCATGTTTTTGCTGAGTGCCATGTGTACAGACAGTTGTTTGGGGCTTTGTTTGGAAATTACACAGGTCGTACCCCTGGGGATCAATGGCTTGAAGAACTTAAATGGGCATCCTTGAACTTTAACAAGAAAACTACTATCTCTCAAGGGGGGAAAGTGATCTGGCAGGCCTTGATTGCTACCATTTGGCGAGTAAGATGCAAGGTAAGATTTGGGGGGCAAGTGCTGGATATGAATGAACTGATCCTGCTGGTTAAAGGTGAGCTCAGGCTGTTCCTAGATCCAGTGATAGTTGAGAAGTTTTTCTAATTACAAAGGTTCTATAGTTTTGTTAGTTGAGATAGAGCAGCAGGTTGTTTTTCTTTGTCTATAGGTCTGATGTGCTCAGTTGGCAGAGCTTGTTGCCAGCAAGTTTTGTTCCTTTGATGAAATTTGATGAAATGAAAGAATCAACCAATTCATAAAAAAAAAAAAAATTGTGTTGTTAAAAGTTTTGGGTACCAAAAGGTAATTAAAATTTTAGGTTGGATGGAAAACTAGACAAATGCACTTTTTAGGAACTTCAATGGTACTCGGCGCCCGATTCAAACTTTAGTGATATGTCTGCCTCAATTCTCAAATTTAAGTGGTACCGAGAAACTCTAAACAAAACATAAGCAACATTTGTTTTTATTTATTAATTAAATTTTGTGAATCATTCTACCAAAAAAAAAGTTTGTGAATGACATGCTGACCGTAGTTACGATGATTTACCAAATTGGAGTCCATCTGTTTCCCAGCACGAAACTCTGTCAGTGTCCATGTCCTTGATTCATTTCATATTTATTTTATTTTATTAATTATTTATTAAGTAGAAAAAGCCAAAAACCTCTCTGATTTCCTGTCTCTACGTTGCCTCGCTCTTTCCCCGTCCTACCTTTTCGTATTGGCCGTCGGAGGTCCGTGGTTGCCGCCACCGGAATCCGGCGAAGTTCTAGGCGCCTGCGTTATTCCGTGTAATGGAGACTATCTAAGCCTTGCTCCGGAGGGGTAGTCGAGGCCATTCCGACCGGCAAAAGAGAAATGTCTCGTCAAACGCCGACGGCGCATTTCCACAAATCCAAAACTCTCGACAACAAATATGTAAGCTCAATTCCTTTTCAATTCCCTGCCGTGGCTTCTGTTTTCGAGCATATTTTGCCTTCTCCGTTCTTCTCGAGGCTTAATTCCTGCACTTCCCTGTTCTACTCGTCGCGGACAATTTGGGCATAGATTTCTCCAGTTCCCTTTCTGTGTTCGTTCTTGTTGGTTGAAGTCTTCAGGACTGTAGGGTTTTATCCCCAGGTGGATTGCCACTCAATGCTTGCGATTTGGTTGGTTACCAGCAAAATTCGTTATCGGGATTCTCGAATTGTCTCTGTTCTGAACTCCTTAGATTCCGATTATCACTTAGAATGCCGATTATAGCTAACTTCTGAATGGCTTTGCTTCATCGGACCATAAGTTGTTCTTAATTTCAGTCGGCTAGCCTTTCCATTTGTGAAGTAACTGTTCATTAGCGAACAGACTATTGCTATTCTACAATCCGTCATACAGTATTGTGGATTTGGATTATAGCAAGTCTGGAAGTAAGCTGCTACTTGGCTCCTAAGAAGTGTGATCAAGGAGCTACAGTTTGGGTTCTAAGCAGTAGTATCTGACGGCATTTTGCAGTGAAAAATTTATAGGAATAAAAAAATTTCCGAGTCTATTTTGAATAATTGTTATAAGATGTTGACCCTGTTTTCATTACTTGGTAAGATGCTTGGAGATGAAATTGGGAAAGGAGCATATGGTCGAGTTTACAAAGGGTTGGATTTGGAGAATGGAGACTTTGTTGCTATCAAACAAGTATCGTTGGAGAATATTGCTCAGGAGGATCTCAATATCATTATGGTCTGTTTTTCTTTCTCTCATAATTTTTATTACAGTTCATGCCCCGGAGATTTATGTTTGAAGACTTCTTTTCTGGCATGTTTTTCATTTCGAGTTTCGGTTATCGATTGCTCACCCCTCCAAGGCCCTACAACTCTGAAATTGGAGTATTTGTAGTCTTCAAACATTTATTATAGCTACTGGATGCATGTGCAGGTTACCTTCCTCCTACCCCTAGCTTAGTCCTCATCGTAGTTTGATTCCTTTTAGATGAAATCGTATTTACGTTGTCATCTGTGTCAAAACTTCTTGGACGAGTAATAATGTGAAGTGATCTGTTGAAAACTTTAGTGTGCATATAAATCCACTAACAATTGCTTCTTTCTGTTGCGATGCACTTTCTTGGGATGGAAATAATGGTGATTCAGCAAGAGATTGATTTATTGAAGGTAGCTTCCATCTTAATTTCTGTTTCAGATTTTTTCTATTTTGTATTGTTCTTGTTTGACAGTTTTAAGTTGACTGTGTTTGATTCATCCTTCCATTGGTCCTCTAGGGAATTGATGTTGCTGTATCCTCTTGCTCTGAACTTTCAATTTGAACTATTCTCAGAAGTCATGATGGCCTCTCTTGTTTTGTTATGTTTTTCAATCTGGATAGGGAAGGGCTGACGAGCGATGGAGTTAGTTAAAAATGGTGTAAGCATTTTGAAAAATAGGGCTGGCAAGCAATAGTTGATGCCTAAGAGGGAAAAAGACAGTGAAGAGTAGATGGCAAGCCATTTTAGAAGAGTAATTATGGAAATGGTTGCTTGTACAAGACTGAAAGATTGAGATTTGGAAATGAGTTATGCCATTCTTGATTCTTGTTAAAGTATTGAATCCATGTATTACTTTTGCTTTCTTTTAATATTAATGGAGTTTTTCAGTGGTAATTTTGGAATTGCTTTGGAGAATTAGGTCATAATGTTACCAGATTATTTGTAGAGCACATCAGCTGATACTTTCCACAGGAACGCGTAATTATAAAGATGCTACTTTGAACTCTGGCCAAATGATCCAACCAATTTCTCTCCAAATTTTGATACTTATCTCTAGATGGGTTGATCCTCTATGCATCCTCTTTCTTCTTGCTTTAGCTCTTTCCCAAGGGATGTAATCGTTGGAAGTTCGTGGTTGAGTTACTCATTTTGGATGTGATGTGTCTGGTACAGAATTTAAACCACAAAAACATTGTGAAGTACCTTGGGTCGTTGAAGACAAAGTCGCATCTTCACATAATTCTTGAGTAAGTCAGATCAAATACTTCTCCTTTTTTGCAACTTTAAATAAAAATGGCATAATTTAAAAGGCTATAATGTGTAAACTCTGTGTTGTTCTTATAGGTATGTGGAGAATGGTTCCCTTGCAAATATCATTAAGCCGAATAAATTTGGTCCATTTCCGGAGTCTTTGGTTACTGTTTATATTGCACAGGTTCTGCTCCAATCGTTACAATTAATGGTGCTTTATGGTTGCTGTTACATTCGTGCCTTTTTGTAACAACCATAAGTTGGTGACAGGTTCTGGAAGGGTTAGTTTATCTTCATGAACAAGGTGTCATCCATCGGGATATCAAAGGTGCAAACATATTAACCACTAAGGAGGTAGATCTTTGGTTTTCTTCTGTTATGTTCCTGGTTGATTGTATAGTTTAAAGCCTGTCAGCTCCCGTGATGGGCCCTTAGCTTTTTATTTAGGATTCTTGTTGGATTTGCTTCTACATTTCGCATCAAATGACCAATTGAACTATTGAGCCTTAATATGCCTGAAATTGCCAATGAGACCATGATTTCTGGATAGGGTGTTATTATTTTTCTAGGCTATAAGGTCTACTCTGAGACTCCAGGCTAGTTGATCCGACGGACTGAAGTAGCTTCATCTTTGTTGGTGTTTCAAGTTTTGGGTTAAATGACCTCTTTATGCTTTCAATTCTCTATTCCTATTGTAAGCGTGACCTCAAAATTAATGAAAATCGGCATCTTAAGATCTTAATAAATTCACATTAGTTTCTTTCTCAACTTTACTTTGAACTGGAATGATTTTAATTAATTGTCTACTGGTCCTTGTTATTTCCAGGGACTTGTGAAACTTGCTGATTTTGGTGTGGCAACAAAGTTGACCGAGGCTGATGTTAATACACATTCAGTTGTTGGAACACCATACTGGATGGCCCCCGAGGTACTTAGTTATTTTCTTTAATATGTCAATTGACCAGTTTTCTCATGCCCTTCACAGCGGAGAACAGCTAACGGTGCAATCTTATGATGGAAACGTTGACTTTCATGGTTCAAAATTCATATGAGTTGGCTGTATTTTGCAGGTTATTGAAATGTCTGGGGTTTGTGCAGCTTCAGACATTTGGAGCGTTGGTTGTACTGTGATCGAACTTCTTACTTGTGTGCCTCCCTACTATGATTTGCAGCCCATGCCTGCTCTGTTTCGTATTGTACAGGTATGGCTTGCTCTTACTATGAATAGAATACTACAGCTTTCATCACTTGTTAGGTGTTTGTCTCCCTTTTATGCGTCTTGTGTATAATTCTTTAGAATGACTGTGTCCTCTCCAAAGTAATGTTTACTGTCGACTTCAATGGGCATGTGATAATGGATATAATATGTATTGCATTTTGTATGTTGATGTCTTGTAGCTTTAGTGATATATGTTCTCTCTTTTGTTTGCTTCATTCTTTCAGGATGACAATCCCCCAATACCTGATAGTCTATCTCCTGACATCACGGATTTCCTACGCCAATGCTTCAAGAAGGTATATATGTCGTTCCATGGTGATTTAGTGTTCTTTATCTCTGCATATAAGTCTTATGACCAGATTCTTCAAGAAGGTATATATGTCGTTCCATGATGATTCCATAGTTACAAGCAAGTCAGATGCTTGAAGGATGATATTGACTTGATGTATCAGTTATTTTGCGTGATATTAAGCTATTCCTTGGCATCTGACATCTGTATCTGTTTTAGGATATCTACCTTGAGCTTCTCAGTAGATAACTGTCATAACTAGGATATCTACCTTGAGCTTTCTGTTTAGTGAGAAAATTGCTAGGCCAAGTTGCAGAAGTTTATATTGTTTTTGAGCATGGGTAAAGAAGGGCAGGACTTGATCACTTAGGTTGGAAAAAATTATTTCATTTTGGAGGGCCAAAACTAATGAGTATCCTATAGGGCACTAGATCTATGCCCGTCCTTAAAAAAAGTTTCCATTTGACAGGCTTGCCAACTTCATATTTTAATTTTTTGAATGGCTTGCCCACTGTTTTTCTTTACCTGTGGTGATAAGTTATGTCACATTGGCTTGATGCCATTACTTTCCAATGATTGTTTCCTTATTCCGTCAACAACTTTCCTGGTCTTTCTTGTATCCGGGATTTTCCATTGTGCCTATATGTATTTAAAGTTACACTATATTTGGGGTTTGTTATATCCAGGATGCTAGGCAGAGACCTGATGCAAAAACTTTGCTTTCTCATCCTTGGATACTGAATTCAAGGCGTGCTTTGAACTCTTTACGTCATAACCCTTCCATAAGGTAGACGCATGTTTTTTTCTTCTTTTTATATTTCCCCCTCTTTTCTGAGACATTCTGATGCCATCACTCGGTGATAGCTTGGCAGTCTGCTAATTATTCTCATTACGTCATAAGTTTTGACCTTTCTGATTTCTCAGGAATATCCAGGAGGGTGCTGAAAATGGAGATATTGAGGTCCTTGATGAAGATCGGTCTACTGAGAAGGCAGAAGCTGGCATCACTAACTCTGAAACTGTGAGATGATCTAGATCTGGACTAGGCTATGAATTATAGTTTTTATCATGTTATCTACAATTCCATATCTCAACAAAAAATATAAAAAATACAATTCCATATCTATATTTGAATCCTGTGATTTTCAGGGCACTAAGACTGATTTGTCTGCGGAAATGACCGATGTAGTCAGGTCAGATAAGAATCTGGCCACAGCCTTTGATGTTGGAGATGAAAAAATTGGCGAACTCCAAGATGGCATTGATTCAGATCAGGTTCCCACATTAACTATTCGTGAAAGCTTGTGTCCACAACTACATTCTGATAGGGGATCTGAGCACAATGGAGTAGCTAGCAATGCTCCTCAAGGCTCAACAGACATGCGTGACCATGATGATGTGCTGGTGAATGGTAATGTGGAATTCCCTGACACAAGAAGGACAAATGCGGATAAGAAGATCGGAAGGAAAGGGAATGCTGGCCTAAATGAGGGTAAATCATTTGGTTTTCTATCGAGAAGTCCAGATAATGGGGCACAAAAGGTAAACCTTCTATTCTTCTACTTTGTTCCAAGTGTTCCGGAAAATAGATATGGTGATATGATTTAATGACATTTCTTTGCTCTTTTAAGGCTGTAAAAGGATCTGTGACTTTGGGTGGGAATGAGCTTAGTAGGTTTAGTGACACTCCAGGAGATGCTTCTCTAGATGATTTATTTCATCCCCTTGATAAAACTCCTGGGGATAGGACTGGTGAAGCTTCAACCTCTGCATCAACATCACATATGAACCAAGACGGGACACCTGCTGCTGATGCTGGGAAACATGACCTAGCTACAAAGTTGAGGGCTACTATTGCGCAGAAACAAATGGAGAATGAAGCAGGGAAGTCCAGTGATGGTGGTGACCTCTTTCGCGTCATGATGGGTGTTTTGAAGGATGATGTGATAGATTTTGACGGTTTGGTATGAAGTTAAGCCTTTTCCCTCCAATTGTCTTCGTTCGAATATAATCTAATGGTTCCCTGGTCATTTGCTTTCTGTCATGGTTCTTTGCCAGGGTTTTGATGAGAAACTGCCAGCAGAAAATCTTTTTCCTTTACAGGTACTGAAAAGCTCTCAAGTAGCAGCTCTGAAATTTTCCCTTAATTTGAGATTGATAGTTTCCTGAACATGTTTGGTAGGATTGTGCTTTCGTTCATCTCTACATTGTTTTCATATCCTTTGATATTTTGATACTCATTTGCTATAATTCACAGTGACTGCTGCTAACTACCTGTCTAACTTGGATATCCATCTGCATAATTTCTAATGAAATCCATCCCATTTTTCTTTAAGGTGGAGTAATCTTTGTTTGATGTTTTTTTGGCCCTTCTGCTGTAGGTTGTTGAGTTTAGTCGATTAGTGGGGTCATTAAGACCTGAGGAGCCGGAAGAGGTTATTGCTTCTGCCTGCCAGAAACTTGTTGGCATCTTTCATCAGCGCTCAGAGCAAAAGCTAGTTTTCATCACTCAACATGGGTTGCTTCCTCTGATGGAATTACTTGAAGTACCCAAGACCCGTGTAAGTATGCATAGTATAATATTTGGTTCTCTACTTTCTGATTTATTATTCTATTCTTATTGTGAGTTATTATACTGCTTTATTAACTTTAGTTGCTGATAGTAAATGACATGACAGAGCTTTCTGGAAATGACAGGTTATATGTTCTGTCCTTCAACTTATCAACCAAATCGTGAAAGATAATACTGATTTCCAGGAAAACGCTTGTCTTGTTGGTTTGGTAAGTAATATGTGGATTCGTGCTCTCATGTTCTATTGGGGGTACGTAAGTTTGTATTTTAAGGTCAAGAATTTTGCTGTCCTGTTTCTTCCTGGATGTTCATTCCTGTAAAAGATCTAATATATTTGTCGGGGTTGCAGTTTCAACTCTTAGGAATTTGTTATCTTATGACCCCAGTCTACCAAAATTCAGAAAGATAATCAGAGTCCAAATAACATTGTTGTCAACATACGTTTTCCCATTACATGTACAAGAATCAGAATTTGGAATTTATCACATTAACTTAGTGCAAATCTATCTGACAGATACCTGTGGTTATGAGCTTTTCGGGACCTGATCGTCCCCGGGAGGTCCGGATGGAGGCAGCTTATTTCTTACAGCAGCTTTGTCAATCAAGGTAAATGTGGTTTGAGTTTCAGTGTTTTCCTCTGGTATTCAAGCTATTATGGTCCATTAACTTGGAACTGTGGATGTTGAGCAGCTTTTTGACGCTACAAATGTTTATTGCTTGCCGTGGAATACCTGTATTGGTGGGCTTTCTAGAAGCTGATTATGCAAAGTTCAGGTTTGTGATCCTTTTATCAACCCCATTGATGTTTTGTATTTCTTTCTGTCTCCGAGGATAATGCTGGTGGTAATGTAAGAAATATGTAGACATTTGCTTGCTATTTTTTCTTAATTGTCAGAGGATGTGCAGGATGGCAAATGAATGCCGGACGCTGTTAGCTTAGCACATACCAAACAAACGAAATGAAAAGCATCCAGAAGAACTCAAATAAAATGGAAAAGAATTCATACCCTTTATTGTTTCCTTTCTGCTAATTCCTTGAACAGGGATTCATGATATGTAATTATTGGAATCTTTCCCAGGTAGAATAATGAAGCATGTTTTGGGATAACCTTTCTCTCAGTCGAATACGGTGATATTGCTGCTATCTGTGCTATGCTTGGAACTAGGAAGAATCATGCATCTAGTTCCAACTGCACCATTCTGTATATCTTTTGTCATACTTGCACCCTCTTTGTGTATGCTATTTGACATTTACCTTTCATGTGGTCTTCATTGTATCTTGTTATGATATTACATACGCTGATTCAGGTGTTCACGTCCAGGGAAATGGTTCACCTAGCTATCGATGGCATGTGGCAGGTCTTTAAGCTGCAGAGGTCCACTCCTAGAAATGATTTCTGCCGTATAGCTGCAAAGAATGGAATTTTGTTGAGGCTTATCAACACTCTTTATAGCCTGAATGAGGCAACTAGGCTTGCTACCATATCCGGTGGAACTGGCATTTCATCAGACGGTTCAGCTCCCCGACCACGCTCTGGCCAATTGGACTCTAGTCATCCTGTTTTCGTACAAAGTGAAGCATCGTTTCCTGCACCTGATCTGCCTGATGGCATTAAGAGTAGGCATGGAATGTTTGATCATCCCTCATCGTCTGGCATGCTAGAACCATCACGTGCTTCAACTTCTTTTTCTCAAAGATCAGATGCAATACAGTCAGAAACTAGATACTCTAATACTGATGCTGACAGACCACAAATGAGCAACTTAGTTTTGGATCATTCAGCTGCATCAAAATTGCCCGAAGCTGATAAAGCTGTGAATGTACCATCCGTGAAAGAAACTTCAGCTGCTGTTGCCAAGGAGCGAGATAGTTTGGAGCGGTGGAAAGCAGCAGATGGCTCTAGATCTGAAGCAGACAGTAGGCAACGACTTTCTGTGTCCACTAACAGAATCTCTGCTGATAGGCCACCGAAGTTGCTAGACAGTGCATCAAATGGTATTCCAACTACAGCACCTTTTCAGCAAGAGCAAGTTCGACCGCTTCTAAGTTTGTTAGAGAAGGAACCTCCTTCCCGGTTGTCTGGTCAGTTGGAGTATGTACGTCACCTCTCAGGATTGGAGAGACATGAAAGTATACTGCCACTACTTCATGCATCTAATGAGAAGAAGACTAACGGCGAACTGGATTTTTTGATGTCAGAATTTGCAGGTGATCCATCTTACCTGTTGAAAGAAATGTTTAGTTTTTCTATTGTTATCATAGAGATACATGAATGTTTAAGCTTTCTTTGTTGACAAGTGATTATGCGTTGTCGTCTTAAAGAACTTGATTAGACGTTATGTCTCTTTTCCTCTGTAACTAGATTTTATCTGTGCTTAATGAATCTCGGCTAGCATGCTTGCTTGACATTTGTTTATCTCTACTTACTTTCAGTCCCAACCAGGACTTGTTTGCTGTTGTAGCTTATATATTTTAGCTGGATATAAAGCGTAGCTGCCCTGAATAATTGTATTAAGTCGTGTGTTTAGCTTCCCCTGTCGTTATTAGCATCCATGTTATCTGAATATATTTGCTGTTTCTAGCAAAATTTGGCCCAGCTGATATCATCCTTTTGGTTGTTGGCAGAGGTATCTGGGAGAGGAAAAGAAAATGACAATCTAGAGTCCGCACCTAGAATTTCTCAAAGGACACCGAGTAAGAAAAATAGCCCACTATTTTCTACTGATGGTGCTGCTTCCACGTCTGGTGTTGCTTCTCAAACTGCATCCGGTGTACTTTCTGGTTCCGGTGTGCTGAATGCTAGACCAGGGAGTGCCACATCATCAGGACTACTTTCCCACATGGTGTCGACAATGAACGCAGATGTTGCCAGGGAGTACCTTGAAAAGGTGGCTGACCTTCTGCTTGAGTTTGCTCAAGCTGACACAACAGTAAAATCTTATATGTGCAGCCAAAGTCTGCTTAGCCGTCTCTTCCAGATGTTTAACAGAATTGAGCCCCCTATTCTCTTAAAGGTATTAAAGGGAATGAATATTGTATACCCTTGTTATGTTAAAGTTTCTATTTCCTTTTTTTGTAATTTCTTCTTGTTGCTCAACTTTCAGATCCTCAAGTGCATCAACAACCTGTCTTGTGATCCCAACTGCTTAGAGAACCTTCAGCGGGCAGATGCAATTAAGTTCTTGATCCCGAACCTTGAACTGAAGGATGGGCCTCTTGTAGGTCAAATTCATGATGAGGTAAAGGTTTCCCTACTTGAAGAATAAGGAAATATTCACACACAAAAAAAAAAAAAAAAATGCAGCAAATATGAAATCCTTTTTTTGTCACTTAAGCGAACTTAACAACTGCAAAACGCAAGTCCCGAGGCTTCATTAGAGGCGGGCAATGATCAGATTCAACTTTGTGTTTTAAGAGAAGCCATGGAACTGGAACCACAAAAAAAAAAAAAAAAGGGTCCTGTGTGAAGCGAAACCAAGTTGAATTATATTTTCATTTGCCTCCATTCGCTCCAAATATCTGTTGGTCTGATTCGGTTCAGTGAATCCTAGCCCGGTCCTATCTGGCACACCTTCTGTTGTTTGTATTAAAGTAATCACTCAGATCTCATGAAACCAAGTTTGTCTCACAATTTTTCTTTAATTTTCTGCAGGTCCTTCATGCTCTCTTTAATCTGTGTAAGATAAACAAGAGGAGACAGGAGCAAGCTGCTGAAAACGGAATAATTCCTCACCTGATGAATTTTATAATGCAAGGATCTCGCTTAAAACAGTATGCATTGCCTCTACTATGCGATATGGCTCATGCATCCCGGAATTCCAGAGAGCAATTAAGGGCCCATGGTGGATTGGATGTGTATTTGAGCCTGCTGGATGATGCATCATGGTCTGTGACAGCATTGGACTCAATTGCTGTTTGTTTGGCTCATGACAATGACAACCGCAAAGTGGAGCAAGCCTTGCTGAAAAAGGATGCAGTTCACAAACTAGTCAAGTTTTTCCAGAGCTGCCCTGAGCAACAGTTTGTGCATATCCTCGAGCCTTTCTTGAAAATCATCACGTAAGTGGAATGTTTCCTTGTGGTTTTATTTTGTTACTTCTTGTGATATTTTCTATATCTCAGAATTGAAGCAAGCTAACAATCGGTGTTTGTGCTTCTTGCCCTTTTTCTTGTATGGCTGTCTTCTTGCCAATTTTTTTCATGTTCTGCGTTTCATCTTATCTAAATGTGCAGGAAATCATCGCGTATAAATACTACGCTTGCTGTTAATGGTTTGACACCATTGCTCATTGCAAGGCTGGACCATCAGGATGCCATAGCTCGTCTCAACTTGCTTAAACTGATAAAGGTAAAATCTCTACTGTTCCTAGTTGTGTTGCTTGGATGTTTTTTCAACTTCTCATACACTGACCCAGCTTTTGCATTAAAAGGACACCTGCCTATGATTAGTGTTCACTGTTATGATTAGTATGCAGATGGTTGTCCGAGTTTCTGGTCTCAAGGAGGTCTAGAATAGGAAATGAGTATGCAGATTGTCTACATTATGTGAGGTTACATGCATGATTCTAAACTAGGGGTTTCCTATTTGTCTGGAAAGCAAGCATCTGTTTCTCTTTGTCAATGCTTCTACCCAGTGGCCTTTTTGTTTACAACAAATGTGCTTGACGTGGCTTTTCTTTTCCCTCAATCCTAGGCTGTATACGAGCATCACCCTCGGCCAAAGCAATTGATTGTTGAGAATGATTTGCCTCAGAAGCTTCAGAACTTGATTGAGGAACGACGAGACGGTCAAAGCTCCGGTGGTCAAGTATTGGTAAAACAAATGGCTACTTCACTGCTTAAAGCTCTACATATCAACACGGTTTTGTAAAATGTGAATATGGTAAGTCGTGTATATTTTTTTGGGGAAGAACTTGGTTTAGGCTATTCCAGTTGTTGTATTGTAATATCAATCGCTGCTCTGTGTTCTTCTTACTCTTTGTCGCGTGGGATTTAGGTCGTGTGATTTCAATTGAGTTAGGTTTCCTATCCCAACTGCGATGCAGGTAGCTCGGCATATATTTGTTTGTACTAGCTACCTACGCCTTTGTGATTTGGTTTCTTGTTTGCTTTCCTTCTCCAAGAGGTAGGCCTTGTCTTAGGAAGTTACTTGTGCAGAATTTATTTGTTTCAGCTATTGAAGGTATATGTTTGTTGTTGAGTACTAAACTAAACTTGACGCGATACTGCTGCAAGCTTTGTTGAAATGAAACGTTTTCGTTGTTCTTCCTTTGCCCGAATTGATGGCTTGGCTTAAGGGATCCCTTTTTTTTTTTTTTCCAGCCCCTCTTTTTTGTCATTGGCGAATTCAATTTGATGTGGCTACTGGATATGGCTGCATTGCCATTAGCTGGTATTGGTCTATTGAATGCGTCAGGTTCTCACATAGTTGATAGTTCTTAATGTGAGCTTAAGGCAACTATCTATGCATTTTTACTCATAAAATACAAGCAAAATATATTTTTCGCTTTTTATTTTTATTTTTGAGGTTATATAATTGAATATTGAGATCGTTGTAAGACAAATCAGATCAAAATGAACAACATAAAACTGGGTACATCAGTACATGACACACACTCAAAAGAAAACTAAAGCCAATACAATAATGAAAACTGAAGCCAATACAATCCTCCAAGGTGAGTATGAAAACTAGTGTAATTAATCTGTTTTATTCACTCCGTCTCTCTTTCCTTATCTAGCATACCCAGTCAAATCGGGAACTTTTCATGTTGACTTGGTTAGGAGCGGTCGGGTCCCAGCTGTCACGTGTTTGATTGTTATCCCTAATTTTGAATGCATGCTAGCAATCCGATGTTATAATCATTGTTTTTATTGTTTGCTGCGTCTCAAAACAATTACTAATCTTCAATTGTACAACTATTGATGTCGGGGTTGTAGCCGACGTCGAGTTTTTTTTATGTTGGGCATCGGAGTCGGTTGACGACCACCTTTCACCTCGAACTTCTTTTGGAATGCTAGCTTCGACCGTCTCTTGCAAAGGTCTGCCAACCGATCTTGGCAGAGACACTCTCCGACACTCAAGTTAGTGAGGGGGTGGAGTGGAGAGGAATATGAACTCGAAATGAAAGATGAGGGAATGAAGTTGAGAATGAATATCTGCGTTAATCATAGCGAGAGTTCACGAGTTTAGACATGGAGATTCTTGCTTACCTCAATCTGGAGACGAAGTGGCCTTTTATAGAGGCCTCCAGGCGAACATGAGGGGAGTACGTGTCTCCCTCAGGAGCTTGGTGGTGTGGATAGAGGACACGTCGCGGGGTACATGGCTAAAGGTTCTAAGTGACATGGGGTGGGCGAAGAGCTCAAGGTGGTCGAGGTGACCCGGGGTGGTTGACCACGGGGTGACCGGAGTGATGACTCGGGGTGGCCAAGGACCCGAGGTTATTGACCCCGGGGTAGCCGGAGTGACCCCGAGGTGGGCTAGGTGACCCGGGGTGATCGACCCCTGAGTGGACTAGGTGACCCAAGGTAATTGACCTCGGGATAGCCGGAGTGACCCCAAGGTGATTGACCCCGGGTGGCCGGAGTGACTCCAAGGTGGGCTAGGTGACGAAGGTAATTGGCCCCGGGGTAGACGAAGTGACTCCAAGGTGACCCCAAGGTGATTGACTTCGGGTGGTCGGAGTGACCCCAATGTGCAGGGACAAAGCTAGGATTTGAGGGGGGGGGGGGGACGAAATTTGTTTCGTTTACTAGTAGTGAAATGTGAATTATATGATCACGTTATTAAATTTTATGACAAAAAATAAATTTCTACGTTATTATGTTTCAAACAAGGGTAATTATATGAACAAAAAATAAATTATACATTCCAATGTATACCACGTCCTTCAATATCTTTATGACTGGAAAATTAATATATGTATATATTAATGTTTGAAGTCAATTAATAACACAATAAATAAGAATTCAAAAGTTGAATAAATAAATTGGTATAATCTAAAATCAATGACTGAACTTATAAGGAAATATAAAAACAAAATTATTTCTTTGGTAAATGAAAACACAAAAAGAAACGTGAATGGTGACCAATAGGAGAAGTTTTTTAAAGAAAAAGTACACACTAAAAAAAATTAAAAACCCGCACCTTCCAAGGATTGAACTCGGGTCAATGGAGATGCAGCTTTAAAACTTCACTGTTAGACTGGTAGTGTACATTTGATTCAGTTTTGCATGCGTACGTATTTATCAGTACCGTTATGTTTATACGTAACTTTTCAAATATCGTAGAAATTATACGTAGGTTCTAAAATTCTCGGGGGGCCCTCACCTAGCTCCGCCCCTGCCAATGTGGGCTAGACGACCCCAGGTAATTGTCCCCGGGGTGGCCGAAGTGACCCCGGGGTGGACTAGGTGACCCGAGGTAATTGACCTCGGGTGGCCGGAGTGACCTCAAGGTGGACTAGGTGACCTTAGGTAATTGAACCCGGGGTAGCCGAAGTGACCCCAAGGGACCCCAAGTTGATTGACCCTGGCTGGTCGGAGTGACCCCAGGTAATTGACTTCGGGGTGGGCTAGGTGACCCGAGGTAATTGACCCCAGGGTGGCGGGTTGACCTTAGGAGACCGTAGAGATCAGTGAGGGTTGTTGATTAGGGACTATTTAGGAACACTTTTGTCAAATTAAATTTTTTTAATTTGGGGTCCATCTGTTGCTCCCCTTCTCGTCGTAAACATTGAACAAAGGAGATTTTGCGGTGACAATCACATTTTTTATTGACTCTCAGGAACCCTTAACAAGAGTATGAACCAATTGTGATTCGTGTATTCCAACATATAAAAAATTATGTACTAATCATGGTTCATGAGTTTGGAGCTATTATAGACTAAACCAATCTTGGATTTTGAGATGTATATATGAAAGATCAAACCAATTTTGGTTCGTGAAATTTAAAGGGTGGAGTTGAGCCTATAAGGGTTCATGCATAGAGTTTGTGAACCAATGTTGGTTCATTATACAGTTGGTGACCAACCAATTGTGGGTCACGTATGTAAGTAACGAACCAATCGTAGCTCGTTAAGTGGAGGGGATCTGAACTAATATTAGATCAGATGTGTCCATTTGAATGGAGATAATGAAACAATGTTGTTTATGAATGGAGAGAATGAACAAATTTGGTTCATGCCATGAGCAAATGTACTAATCTTGGCATCAAATAAACCTTGATATGGGTTTTAGCCATATACGATTCTCTATAGATCTCTGACATTATACTCCATATTTCATTTGGCTTTCCATCATTCTCATTATCATTTTTTTTAGAATTCTCGTTGTCTGATAATTCTACTAAGATTACTTTTGCTCCCCACATGGATTTATGTAGGCAGTGATGATGACATTTATGACAGTCTGGGTGGAATCAATCATGATGATAACACCAAGATGACAACACTTTAATGTGTGTGATACATACTATTATCATGATGATTATATAAGAAAAAACTTGGAGGGGGCATCACACTAAGTGGGGATAGAGCCACAATAGCCATACTGACCACGACAATATAGTGTCGATAGGTGAGATGATGATGGCAGAATACCCTCACTGGATATTGTCACTCTAGTGAAAACAAAATGGGTACATTGATAATGGTTTAGGCATCTCATCTATCAATGCTGCAATTTACAGGAGATCAACACATCATAGTGTCCCAAAGAAAGATTAATTCAATTGTTTGGATAGTATATTTCTAGTCGCACAATTTTGTGCTTTCATGTGGCAGCTATTGCAAGGTATTGAAATTTATTCTCCTAACCCTAGTGCAATGGTTGAGAGATGACTCTTTACCCATTTCCAGTGCAATAGTTGGGGAATTACACTTCACTCAACTATTATGTGCTATGGTTGAGTGACGACTCTTCCCTAATCGTTACTTGCAATGATTAGAGGATTGATCAACCTTAGTGCAATGGTTGAGTAAAAAACAAATACATGCACGCAAATGAACCTCTCACCAACATTTATGTGCAATTATTGGGTTGAGAGCACATGCATGTTATTTTATGCAAGAAAATAATAGTAGACTCACTCAATGAAATAGACACTAGCAAATAACAATCAAAATAAGTCAATTCATTATATTTCTTCACCTTTAGGTGTGAATATTAGGGGGAGTGGTGATTAGGAGGCGATGAGTTACTTCTTGAATGCGTATATTACATTCTTTGGAGATATTCAAGTTATTGGAGGATCTTTTTGAGAACTTGGGAGCTTTGCCAAATGATTCGGTATTATGGGAGGACAATGTTGTCTCCCTAGACGGGACGACTTCATATGGGAGGTGAGAACATGATGAGTCACGATCCCGACTCGAGTAAGAATTTGGGTGGAGATGAAAGATGGATTAAATGGCTTGGACTTGACTCTGTGATACTCTACGCATTTTTCAGCGTGAAAAGTGACCAGCAATTTGTTGGTAGGGTAGTCAAGAGTGGCTGGGTCAACTAATGAAAGAGACCACTTTTGACATGAATTATTGAGAAAATTTTGTTTTGGTGGTGGGAGGCCAAAATGGTTGAATGGTGGCCACTATATTTGAGGTGATTGCCAATAAATGTAGCTAAATAGAGAGGTGGCAACCATGGAAACAAGGTGAGGACTGACAAAGGCATAAAAAAATCATAGAACTTGCCACGCTGATGATCAACATAATTGGTGGCAATGGAGAGCATTTGGTCATGAAAGGTGGTTTGCAACTTGTAAGTGAAAAGATATTTTTTATAAATAAACACTTTACCTCCATATTGCTATGGAGAGGCAGGGTACTAATGGTAGCACTCTGGTTCCTGAGAATTCTGGCGATCTCACTT